AACGGGAGTAAGGCGGCGGTGACTGTGGCCTCCTCTCCGCGTTCCTGCGCTGACTGCAAGGAGAGTCCGCCGGGAAATTGCGGAGTGTTTGCGGAGGCGGTCCGCGTCTGGACCTGTGTTGCCATCGGGTTTCGGTAGACAGAGGCCGATGTAGCGGGCCCAAGGAAGGTTGCGGGCGGACCCCAGATTGGCTGCTCCTGGGGCCGCGGGGCGTCAGGTTGGCGGAAGTTGGGTGAGAAGGGGTTGTGGAGGGGGTCGTCGATGACAGGCGGATGTCGGAGATGGTGTGTAGAAATCGAGTAGGAAAACTCCGGAGGGGTTTGCGGACGTTGGAACACAATAGAGTAGTTAGTGCTCCTGGTGCGCATACCACAGCGTGCTGATCCGGAATCTACTGTTAGACTCTACGGAACTGCGGAGTCTGCGGAGTCGAAGGGACCTTGGCCTCAACGTATTGCGTTGTGCCCACGCTGGTGGTATATGGTCCAACCCGAAAGGAGAGGGGAGGAGAGGGAGAGAGAGACGCGCCTTGCGGCGGAAGACGAGGAGAGAGAGAAGAGAGCCTTGCGGAGCGGAATCAGGAACACTATGCGGAGGTGTGGAGTATGCGGAAAGCTCTAGCAAGCCGAAAGGCTCAAGACTGGACAGAGGGGAAGTTCTGTATAAGTCTGATTCGAGATTCCGGATGAGTATCTACTACAGAAATCTAGCTAGCTTATATATTTGTAGATACTCTGGATATACTCTGGGACAAGTCTGGGACAAGAGAAGAAACTGAGTCATAAGAAATGCGGAATACCGCGGAATGCGAAGAGGATGAGTAAGACGATTCCAAAGAACAATAGCAAAGCAAGGAAGGGAGTCATAAAGAAGTATAAGAGGTCACATGCAGAGTCTGGGCGCCTAGAGGGCGGTTACGAGGTTTCTCCGCACGGTCCGCACCGGCCCTCAGTTGCGGGCCGTGTCGTACCGGCGGCGCTCCGCATAAATGCGAAGCGGAGTGGCTAGCGCCCGTAAACTCCGCATGCGGATCAACTGCAGAGCATGCGGGAGTGCGGAGGGAAGGGTGGCGGAGATATGGGGATGTGGGATGCGGAGAGGTGATGGCGAGTGTGGGGATGTGCGGGATCATGCGGGAGATCATGTGAGACTGTGCGGGGAGTGTGGGTCAAGGCTGGTGGGTTGTGGGTAGATGTGGGTGGATGTTCAAGACCCTAACAGCGTGCGGATTCTGGTGTGCATTGAGAGCAAATTCTGACGTGTGGCTAAATTCTCGCCAGATTCCGCGTGAATCCCACAATCCAATGCAATCCAGGCGCTCGCGGATTCTGCTCTGATACGCTGTGTAGTGGGAACATCGTGGAATGGACCTCTGGACCTCTCAGAAGCGATAGGGGCTAGCTAGCCCTCAGTCCCTTGACCTCATGCCACGACAGCCGCAACTGCATAAAGAGACATACGTTGCGAATGCAGTGTGAGGGGAAATACGCCAAGCACAGCCTTATTTCCTGACTCTACCGTTAATGGAAATAAGCCTTGACTCTGACAAGACCACCCTCTCCAGGAACTCAGCGTAGATGCAAAAAGAAATAGCCGGGAAAGGATGAGTAGGTGCGCTCAGTTCGTCTGGATTCCCACCTTTACCCTCTGCCCATGCAATCAATGAACCCTATACTAACTGCCTTCTACCGGTATAGATCTTACAGCATGACCTCTCTCGAGAATAGCACTCCCTGGTTTCTGACGAACGTTTGTATCGCCCCAGGAACTGCACTTGGGCTCGAAATCTTGGAGAGTCTCCAAATAACCGACAAGAGCTGTGGAGTGTCCGCTTGATTACCTTGAAACATGGCATGGATACAGTATCTATCTTACGGCGATCAGAGCCATATCGCCCTTCTCTCCACCGGTGAACCAGTTCTTGAACATGACATTGCTCATCTAGTCAACCAAGCCACATAAACCAGTGTTCAGTCACGCCCTTTACGGCCTCGAGAGAGCTTCTCTCGTCCAAAAACTGATCAACAACTCCGGTTAATTTCTACACTGGGCTTCTCCAGAGACGCCACCTCGTTAGGCGCCCATGATGTGCACTCGGTAACCTAAGTAAAAGGCGACTAAACCATTCTCCGTATCAGCGATTTCTCGCCAATTCACCGGAGACCTCTTCAACAAGTCGCCGCACACAATCACAATTGACTTCTGGCCGCAGTCCTTTGACAGGTTTTGTTCACCGTTTGCTTCCATCTCCTTATCTGCAAAAGTCCTCCGTGACGTCGGCCACCTGACATATACACCTAGTGTGATTCTGCTCTGCTTCGACCACTGCGCCGGCATCCTAACACCTTCCTTGCTATCTGATATCGGTCTATTGGAAACCTTTGTGACAGTGACAGCATTCAACGAGCGGTCCTTTACTCAAGTCGACTGAGTACCGCATTGCCCGGTGACCCATGAAACACATCTACAACTATCTTAGAGCGAGTTCGCCGTCTCTTCTTGACGTCTGTTCCATCGAATATGACCAAACCCGTCGCATCCAGATACCTCTAGAAGATATTGATCGACTGCAACCGCGTCCCTGACCTCCCTCCGATTCGGTTCCATCATGTAGACACGAAGCTACGGGAAAGCCAGTGTCCTCTCGACATGGGACGTACCCAACTAGGTCTTAATGGCTGTTGTGTTACTGTTGTTGTCTTGAAATACCGTCCCCCCGGACCACCCTCCCGAGAATACGCTAAGTACTCAATTGCCAATTGATACCCGGAGATATCCTCAGCGGCTACTCCCTCGCTCCCGCGAATGAGGGCACGTCAATGTCAGCGCTTCGAGGGTGCTTCTCCCGTAATCTCCACCTCCACACCGGACACCTCTACATCAGGTTGTTTGCCTCCGGATCCCCCTGGCTGTTCCCTTCGGCGTCTTCAATCCAATCTACGCCGATTTGTATCACCTTCTCTCTGGATCGATTGAGAATAGTGCACACGGGGAGCTCACTGGAGGACGAGGCGATGAATACCTACATGGCTTCCATTTGCTCATGGGTCATGGGTTCACTATAGCTAGCACTTGCTGTGTTAATCACGCGCGACCTGACCAATTGAGGTTTGAATCCCAGCGGCCTGACGAGAACCGATTAACCCCTGAAAATCCAACGGATACTCGAACCGTACGGACCAGTGTGGGTATGTACTTACCTACAACTGTGGGGGCAAGGGCATTACCCGCTACCATGATCACTCCCACCACCACATCCTGTGTCCCTAGAACAACGATATGGCACATATAGTGGGACATTATTATCCCGTTCTCACATGTTCTATGACAGCGCTAATCTTCATACAAGACCAGATTCGAACCACAAGACTAGATCCATGTTGACTGTCATTGTCTCATGTCATCAGATGTCTATACATGTTTCCAATAACAACATATCTTCTGGATTAATGCCATCTGTCCACAGGACGCAGATATTTTGGACCTGAGTCATTTCACTAGCACTTCGACAAGTAGGTGCCCACACACCAGGTGCTGCGCATCTTCCAGTCCTCGCTCACCAAAAGCGTCTTCGGATTCGCCGAAGGCGTTTTCTGGGGCCTGGGCGCCTGTCACGCGGATACACTTTGTGGGCGCTACTGTAAACCTTTGACCAATTCGACTCCACCGATACTGACACATTGGGTCCTAGGGCCCCCATAAATGATGGCGCCAACTACCACATATGCAACGGGTATGGCGGCTGCACGGGCGCGCCCATCTCCGTATTGCCTAATCCCAATCAGCCTGATGAGAGGATCAATCACTGGAGTCGACGGAGACAGGCAGGGCTCAGCGAATTGCACCCGGAATATTCCTGAAGTGGATATTTGGTGTGGGCGGATGGTGCGCCATGGTGTGGAAGTAACGGTGGTGCTCTTCAAAGTGGAATGGTATCCCCGGGTTTGTGCGTCCCTGTCAGAAATCTCAGATACCACCGTGACCATCGAGTAAATTAATAGATCACACTGGCTTGTGGCCTCCGTATCCCAAATGGAAAAACAAAAGTTGAAACGGCGAGTGAAAGCTCTAACCAGTGGCAAACTACCTGAAATGAAGTACTTCCATTGTAAGGAAAGCCTTCTTTGCAATTGCCACATATGACGGATATACACGAGGTTATCATGTTGTGTGACCAAAGGCTATAAACGGAGTTTCTTTTCGCCAAGTCGTGGCGGCACCTAATAACAATGGTGTATACTAGAACTAGAGCACGAGGCGTCCGACCCTCCACAGGGAGGAGGTGACTCGGGCAGATGACGGAAACTATGTTTGTCGCGTCTTGATTGAAGGGTGTGTGTGTGTGGATTTATCGGGACGATCAGTTGAAATGAGGGCTCCTCAATTCTAAAAGTTCAACTCGAGTTCAGTTCGCAACGAGTTCAATTGATGGCGTCCCACATGTTCCTGAGCGCGGCAACTGATGCCACTGCCTGCCCCATCACCGTAGCACGGCCGGTGAGATCCAGTGTCCGGCCAGCCTTTCCTCCAGAGTCCTCGACTTGGCTGATTCACCCCGCAAGTCCCAAGTTCTCGCCTGGCTGTATATTCCCCGTCTAGTTATCTACTCTGTCTATTGAATATATACCCACCAATAATTCTGAAGCCCTACCTTACCTACATATACCCTAATGGATCCTCAGGCTTATTGTGCCCCGGGGTAAGTCAGCTCTCCGTGACTGGGATGTTGACGACAATACTAACAAGTGCTTTTTCGCCAATTCGTACACGACTTCCGGGGTGCCCACTGTAGATCAGTACCCGCCTTTGAGCAGCAAGGCTTTAATGAATCCTTTCCTCAGTCTCTGACACAGGAAGAATGGGAAGAGGTCATGAGAGATCCCGATGCAGGTCAAGATTGTTACCCGGGTTACTCTTTTGTAAGTATTACTTGCAGGCTGTAAACGTCGTCACCTAAGTGCTAGAAAATGATTGTGTAGACCCAGTATAACCTCCCACCAATGACTTATGACCAGCGCACTCAGCCCAACACTGGTCACCACTCTCAATATGGAGGTGACGTGGTGGGAGCTCCGTACATTCCAGCAACCTCTGTACCCTACAACATGGTCCAGCAGGTGGTCCAACCGGTTCACCGCCCTCATGATGCTGTGAACAACGTTGAGCGCCCACCTGAGGCTACGGCTACCCATGGTGACGAGAATAGAGCGCCCGCATCTACCGACACGTATCACGTCAAAGCTCCAGAGCAGGAACATCAGACAGGCAGCACCATGGTGGCAGCCACGTCGTCGAAGAACAAACGTAAACGCAACGCGCTGCAGCCTATTTCGATTGACACCGCAAACATGGCCATCGACGAAATCATTGTCATCGATTCCCCGCAATCCACGCCGGCGCCAATGCAGAAGAAGAGGAAGCCAAACTCGAAAGCGAAGGCGAAGAAGATGGTCAAGCGCGAGCAGAACGGCGACAGTAGTGATTCGGATTACGACAGTGATGACTTCGACATGTCGAAAGCATCGGTCGGCGCATCAGGCAAGCGCTGGTCCACTCCAGAGACCAAACAGCTTCTCGGGGCGGTCATTGGGCCGGATGCACTTTACTGGGAGACATATAAGAAGGGTGCCAAGCGCGCATTCTCAAAGGTATTGTCGTCTCTGAATCGTACCAGCGCTGTTAGCCCAATTCTGCATCCAGATTTCGAAACGCATCTTTCCAGACACTCGGAACCCTGCCTCGGTCAAGGCGCGATTTGAGAGGCTGGTCAAGATATATCGGCAGATCAAACGGTTCGAGGAATGGACTGGCAATGGTAACGGCGACCCCGACACAAAAGTATCGCTTGAAGATCGACTCAATAAAGCCATAAAGTCGGGCAAGGTCGAAGGGATTGCCACCCTTACCTCAGCTACTATCACCGAATTCAAGATTAAGGGTTACTATGAGATTTTCGATCAGCGGTATGTGTTGCTTCAATGACATCCACCTGTGATGTCTAACCTGATTCGGAATTGTTCTTTCTAGGTTTGGTACCAATCCCAACACTAAGCGGACTGGTGTTTATCATTCCGGCACTCTCTCCGACTTGGAAGGGTATGAGCTGGACGATGACAGTGTCCAAGACGACGACGACGACGATACACTTTCAAGCGACGACGGTAACACTCCCAAGACCGTGCCAGATGCTAAAGGACCTCGCACCCCAGCCCCGCTATCTCGGAGCTCGTCAGCTTCGTCCAACCAGTCTCAGACCCAACGGGCGAAGCAATACAAGCCAGGCGTTCCGGAAACTCCCCATAGCAGTAAGAAGGCGGGCAAGTCAACCATTGATCCTAACGTTGCCGAATACCTCAGCCGCACTGCAGCCCTAACGGAGTCGGCGTTGGAAGACAGCAAAGAGCGACTCGAAATCTACAAACGCAAAGCTGCCTTGGAAGAAGAAGAGAAGCGGATGAGCCTCTTACGGGCTATCATCAAAGATCCCGAGATGCCTGAAGCTACCCGCGCGATTGCTCAGGAAGGTCTTCACAAATTACTTCTTAATTCCGTGTCAGGTGTCATTAACGTCTAGAATATTCCGTCGTGGCACTTGTCTTCCAAATCCCCTCACTTCTTTCTTCTGAACCATCCAAGCTTTTCACTTATTTCTCTACCCTACAATTTCGATAATCAATGATCCATGATCAACTGACTCTATACATATGCACTCAGAGGGAACCGACGATTCAACATCTCGTCCCTCTTCATTCTTCCCTCCTCCTTATGCCACTCATCTGTCTCGTAAGGTGCAATATGCCCATCTCCGTAGTGTACTTCCCCGAATGTAATAACTTCAACTGGTTCTCCTTCGTCTTCCGTCATCTCTTCGAGGACGTCCGGATCGATAAAATCGTGAGGTGAGTCTTCCCAGTCAATGCATAGGTTGTGTAATACCATGAGTGCGTGAATGACCTGGTATATCTCGTTGACATTACGGTGTCGACCAAGGTCTTTTAGAGAGTGAAACCGGCCTTTGAGTAAGCCAAAGGCGTGTTCAATGTAAATTCGTGTGCCCGATAACGTTCGGTTGAAGTCCAGTCGACGACGGCGCTCTGGACCTGCAAATGCGTCAACCTCTGGCTCAGTAAACGGTCTGAGGAGGTAAGGCGATGACTGGTAACCTGCTCAGTGCAATGTGAGAAGGACAGGACTATAGTAGATGTAAATCATTGCACGCGCATACCACGATCGGCGAAAAGATATTGATCACCAGTGAAGTACTTGGTGCGATTTCGCCACAGGTCCGAGTTTTTAAGGACCGTAACGTCTGGCGTTGACCCCGGCCACCCCATTTCAAATGATATGAAACGAAGCTTGTGGTCGCAGACGCCCTGGACATTAACCTGCGCGCCGATTAGCGCTAGTGATGAATCAGAACCACAGACCGAAACCTACCGCTGGATACTTCTTGCGACAATAGTAAACCTCTCCCCACATCGATGGGACGTCAGTCAGGCGTATCAATGTGCAGTCAATCATCCCAATGCAATCTGGAAAGCCTGTACGCTCGCAAACATGATCTGCCGTCTCGCGGTGCCTGTCCTCATCTCCCCAGGTTATCACCTCAAGCCCCAGCTCTCGGAGGGCACGTGTTACTCGTCGACAGTACAGCCAGACGGTGCCAACACCAATCCCCATCCTTTTGGCCACCGAAAGCGTGTCGGATCCTCGAGAAGCGTAACGCAATAAAAATGTCGCAAGCTGGTAGCGGACGGCTCGTTGAGGCTTTCTTCCTCGGCTTTGGAATATGGGATTGCGCTCGAGAACCTCTACAAGCTTGTCAAAGGTCGTCCTGCTTATCCTGAAGACACTAGTCAGAGCCAGGGAATGTGAAGGATCGAGTTACTTGCCTGAACTCATGTCGGAAAAGATCTGGAGGCCATCCCAGCGCTGCTTCAAAATAGGCAAAGCTTTTCGGAAAATCTATGTTATACGGGCCTCTCTCCTTATGGCCAGTCGACACGAGTTTCTGAATTAAAAACGTGGTGTTGTATTGCTTTAATAGATCGTGTAAGGAGAGGCCCGAAAGAAGGAGAGCTTCGTCGAGCTCATCATCATCTATACCATCCCATTCCACGCCATCGAGCGCCTCGAAGTCTTGCTGAGAGAGTTGGTTGAGAAGGCGGATGGTTTCGAGCTGGCCGTGCGTGATCAGTACGAGTTCTAGAGGTAGAGAGGAGGCCATCTTTGCTGCGACGTTTGGAACGATAGCTCAAAGCGTTATCGAGTCGTTATCAGTTCGTTATCGGGGGCATCGCGCATCACCGTTGGCCGTCAGTCAAATCTCACGCCTCCGTGCTACGGTGATGGGGCAGGCAGTGGCATCAGTTGCCGCGCTCAGGAACATGTGGGACGCCATCAATTGAACTCGTTGCGAACTGAACTCGAGTTGAACTTTTAGAATTGAGGAGCCCTATGGAGAGCGTGGGTCTCCCAATCGATATAGGTCGGAAACAACACAGATTTCCGAGGGGGTTTGTTTTCGTTACTGTGAAGTACTTTGGGAACAGATCCAACCAGGAATCTAGTTTGTTACTTCCGTTAGACACGCATGCAATTGTGGCCTCCAATGTTCACGGAACCAAATCGCACTTCTTGGCGGAGGCTGAGGGTCCCTTAATTAGTCTAATAGAACGTCACGTAACGCGTAACGTCTCGCCCTCGGTCAGAAGGGAAAGAGGCACTGTGAGACGTACTTATGATGGTTATCGATAAAACAAGAAAGCTCGATTGTTAGTTTCGATTGTCACAGAATCATAACACAAGCTTTTGACGACATTCCGTGCTCGCCGACCCTAGATCACTGTGATTAGAGTTACTTTCCTAGATCAGTGGAAATGTATAGCGTCTATTTCCCTCACCGGGATGAAACAGGGTCTATCTTAACCCCAGAGATCGGAGGATTTGCGTTTGGGAATGTTTAGTTCATAGAGACGTGCATCATTACCGGATCCCGTCCTATCGTTGTATACCACAGCTCACGAGGCGATGTCTACTACTGGGGTACTGGGCATGAAGAGGTACCTATCTCCCCCCCATCAACACATTCCCTCGTTTAAGAGGTCCCGTCCCTGTGTGGACAGCGCTGTGAAATGCAACGTGTTCTTCACGTTTTAGGACGGATGCTTCTGGCAATTGTTCTAAACTTCGACCTTTAACCTTCTCAGGTGGCAGTGCCGTTTGAAACCCCGTCGATGTCGCCGAACCAGTAGCTGATAGAACTTGGGCAGGAATCTGGGATTCCACTAGGCACTCGTTACTGTATGTCGAGACAATCATAACTTCCAAACACCAAGAGCGAAACATGAAAGGCATGAGTAAAGTCATTCCATGTCACCGAGGGATAAAATCAAAAGGGTTATCAAGTTCCAACTTTGTAGCCATCAAGCAACGATATGCGTTTGGAAGAGGCGCCTGAATGGAGTTTGGACCTGCACACGCTCTGTCTGCAGGTTCCTACGGGAAAACCAGAAAATCGTCATATCTCGCCAAGGAAATTTGACAAAAAGTTCTTCCTCGAGGCTGGGATTCTCTTCAGCGAACCTGACTCGGGACTCTGGCGGATAAGGACAAACTGGCCCATCAAAGTTCGGCACACCCCCGCCGACGGGCGCTTAAAGAACAGGTATAAAGGGCGATGCCGATGCCTCTTGCATTGCCCCACCAATTCCTCTCCTCCCAGCTGCAAGCCCTCCTTAACTATGCATCCTGAAGATATATTCATCATGGACTTCGACACGGACGACGAGGTACCTACCATCGAAATCCAGTCCGAGGAAGAGCCGGCGGAGGATGTACTCAAGCTGCCGGCTATGGCCGGCGTCGCGTCAATGGCTGATGCCACCTGGTGTGTGCAAGCTGTCCCACTTTGTCCGTTCCCAACGATGTTCTCAACCTCGTGTTCTATGTGTTAAATTCGCTCCTTGATTCCTAGCGCGGTCAGCGACGACGAAGACCACGACGGTGCTGGCCTTTCACATCTTCTTAATTTCCCAGACGCCGGTAAGCATTCCAAACTGGAATTGACTCGATTGGGGTATGTTTGGAGTAGGCGCCGAGTTTGCTGATTACGATCGTTGCAGGTTCTCTCGGTCTTGGAACGTCGTCACCACCTTGCAGTCCTCTAACTTCGGCCAGTGCGACTCCGGATTCAGGTAAGTCGCTGGCCCTAGCGAAAGATTGGGAGTTCGATTCACGGTGTGTACAGGGATCTTCCACCTTGGTCATGATTTTGGGCATTCTGAACCTGGCCTACCCTACTCAGACCCTGGCCCATCGGTTTTAGCAGAGCTTCAGGAGACCATCGATCGAACTGAAAGGGAGTATCCCGCCTTGCTTGAGAACACCTTCAATTTCCTGACTGGACCACGCTTCAACGAGCCATCGAGCGTCGGGTCTACGGATAATATCTTCAACCTTGACTTATCCGCGCGCTGTGGCCTCACAGCCAGCAGTGATCCCACAGGACTCTTAGATCCAACCACCCCTCCATTAGGCACAGTCTCCGAACCGATTCCAGATACCTCGCAAAGGAAGAAGCGCCGTCGGAAGCACAAGAACCTCCCCTCCCGCACAGAATCCCATTCTCAACGACCCAAGACTCGCCGCACTACCAGCAAGATGCATGCTGGCCATGGCAGGTCATACAGCCCTTACGGTTCCCCATCGTCCCATTCGTTGTTGCTGCCGCGTGGGCCAGCGCCGTCCACTGCAACCCTAGGTCGCGATCACGATAAGCCCTCCACCTCTCGCCTTCCCGTATCGGCGCTCACCACAGGACCACCTCACCCACAATCTTCCCCAATCATGGTACCCCGTCGTCACCACGGTGGCTCCCCAAGGCCCGACTCCCCGTCTCTAGTGAAACGAACAATCCCCCATATCAGGCACCGCTCACGGTCAAGCAGTCCGATTCCGGATACCGTGGACTTCCCTCGTCCTCGTCATGGTCACACTCGTTCGTCAAGCGATGTATTCCGACAACACGTCCCACATTTCCTCAGTTCGTCTAACCTGCCTTCGTATAACCCAGCAACCAACAACCAGTTTCCACTCAGAAACGCCCAGTTCGAGGGTGACGCGCACACAGCAACCCAGAGTTCCACGGATGCCGGGCCCCGAGAAGGACCTGGACCATCGAGTGTTCCCCTCTCTTCCATGCGAACAGCCCTCCAGGATAACTCATCTAGCGACTCCGAAGGCTCCATGGACGAGTCTCATGAGAAGGCTGAAGTCAATCAGTCACGAAGGCGAAGAGGCTCAATATCTTCTTCGTCGGTGGCGTCTTCGAGGTCGTCGGTCCCACCGCCTCCACCTCCGCACTCGTCGACATCGGACGGGCCCCCGGGGGGCTGGCTATCGGTCAACGCTCGCAAGCGTGCCAGTCTCCAGGAAGAGATCCGCCCACGCAGGGACTCCTTTTATAGCGAAGTGGGCAGTGACGTCGACGATAGGGGCGGCAAGAGGCCACAGATACGTCGTCTGTCTTATCCTTACCCAAGCAGCATCACTGGGAACCTCACTTATCCGACATCGAGCCTTGCCGCTCATGGAAGCTTCTCTCCTTCATCGGAAACGTATACCTCGACACACTCGCCGTCAAGAGAGTCTTCTAGGGATGGTAGAGTACCATTCCCATCCGCCTCACCAGAAGCACCGCCCTTCCGTGAGGGTAATCATATCCGTCGTCACTCCCTCCAGGCTTCTTCGTCCTCGATTCTTCCTTCTGAGCCACTCGGCCGCAGAGGTTTGCCGAGGAGGACGTCACTCCTGGTCCCAGAGCGTCACCCACGGGAGAGGCTTACTCGGAGAGAAGAGGCCAGAAGCTTTGACGGCCGCACCCTCCCTAGCCCCGTCATCAGTGCTCTGAGATACAACTCGGATACCTACCTACCCCCTGTCTCTGCTCTCACGGGCTACGCTGGCCCCCACCGTAGGCGAGAGTCGTACCAAGAGACTGACGATGGCTCGGTATATGAAGAGGATGAAGACTATCGATCTGACGTGGGTTCAGTTCGGAGCGCCCGTGAAGCATCGTCATCATACACCGCTCCCGCTCGCATCATCGACCCTCCCCGACGTGACTATGGACCGCCTTCGGCCGCCTCATCTGCGCCATCTAACAGCACTGACGCGGCAGCAATGGCGTCGATTGGCGGGGCTGTGGTATCTGGCGTCGGCTTGATGGCCAACAACAAGACTCACTACCGTGCGGTTGGCTCCAAGAATATCGACATGGCCAGCGAAAGAAGACGGAAAGGCGAGAAGAAGTATAAGTGTCGGTTCGAGGACTGTAACAAGATGTTTACCACCAATCAAAACCGGCAGAGTATGTGCCTTTTACACCACCGCCCTGTACATGTTGCTGACGCCCTGCTTAGTTCACCAGTGGAAGCATACAGGAGAGAAACCTTATCGTTGTGGCTGTGGCTATGGATCAGCGAGCCGCTCGGATTTAAGGAGACACTTAAACAGGAAGAGCATGCACTCGACATGCAAGGAACTACCAGTAGACCAGGAATACCTCAACCTACTGTCACAAGCTGTGGACGATTGACCCACCCCAAACTTGCGTCTATCTTGACCAACAAACGTTCATTGATATCCATTTTCCCCTTGACTCACGTCTTCGTTCGACTACTACTATATCTTGCATTTCCCTTTTATTCTCCCATTTCATGATTTCATCAATCTCTCTCTCACACACACCTCACTCAACTCATTGCAACCATCACTTCGACATTTGTACTCATTTATGATACCCCTGCATCACTGTTGTTTTCGTTCATGGCTCATACCTTTACGACTTATGTTTTGATTCACGGATTGGGCCATCTTATGGATATGGACATTTGCATTCATTGGCCTTAATACTTGCACTCCTTAAAACCTCGCTACCTACCTCTTCGTGCACGATTGACCCCCATTTTGGTTACAACTATCGTCGATAACCGTTACCATTCCTTCACTTCTTCCTTCGCGTCATGCCCGTTTTAATCTCATTACTGTACCAGGTTTAATCATGTCCCCACACACCCACTTCCCTCTGTATCGTTGCTTGTTTCTCCTTCCTACAGTTTCATGGGGACCCACTCTCGATTTATGTCCTTGTTTAGCCCCTTTAAGGTACTCTACACGCTGTAATGGGATTTTTGTGTGGTTCTTACAAATTCTGTTGCTTTCATATAGCACCGCCGGTCTATATATAGCCATTCATGAGTGTCTTCGCAAGGTATGGTACTCCGAGACGTCATGTATTCTCAGTTCTGCTGCTGACTACTCCCCTCCAGATGTCTAGAGGAGTACGAAGCATTTCTAAGCGTTTTAAACGGGCGTCCCGGCGTTTCAAGCGTGCGCTTTGGTGCTATATAAGCCCTGTGAAGCCTGCTTTGCAATCCATATCGCCTCTTTCTCAATAGCTCTTGCCTCCCGGTGCTCATGAATATGACCTCTGATACCCACAAGGCTCTCGTCCTCGACAAGCCTGGCGGGGACCTTGTCCTCATGACCAGGCCCATCCCCAAGCCTCTGAAGGACGAGGTCCTGGTCAAGGTTGAAGCTGCCGGCCTCAACCCAGTCGACTGGAAAATTCAGAGACACGGCTTCTTCGTCGACGGTTATCCAGCCCTCATGGGAGGCGACATTGCGGGCGAAGTGGTTGAACTAGGAGAGAACGTCACCAAGTTCTCCAAAGGAGATAAAGTGTGAGTCGTCGACCCGTTGAACGATGGCGCAATGATTTATCAGCCACTGACGGTATCAACGTGCACGGTGCAAAGTGTGTTCCATGGGACGTGGAGAAATGGGGATGAAAGTGCTGGTTTCCAGCAATATAGTCGTGCGGATGTGCACACCACTGGGAAGGTATGTCGTAAAGTCTCTTTGAACGTGCACTGTGTGGCTGAGGAAACAATGTTAGCTTCCTCCCAGTATCGCCACCATCGAAGCAGCAACCATTCCGATTGCTTTCTTGTGTGCGTATGTTGGGCTGTACAATATCCCTCCACATGGCCTTGGATTCGAACCCCCCTTGACTCTTGGTGCTCGAGGGAAGTACAAAGATACGCCAATCTTCATCATGGGAGGCTCCAGTTCTGTCGGTCAATACGGTAAGACCTCGCCCTGGATGATGGTCATATAGGGCTGACACCTCTTGTTAGCCATCCAGCTTGCCAAAGCTTCAGGATTCAGCCCAATAATCACGACTGCTTCGCTCAAGCATAGCGGTTATTTGAAGTCCCTCGGGCCAACCGACGTCCTCGACCGTTCCCTACCCCTGGAGGATTTGCAGACCAGGATCAAAGGCATCTCTGCGTCCCCTCTCAAAGTCGTCTATGACGCTGTTTCAAGCGAGGAGACCCAGAATACAGGGGCAGCACTCCTTGGACCCAGTGGTGGACTCGTGGTCACCCTTAAACCAGAGGTAGAGGTCAAGGGAGATCAGAAGCTGGTTCACGCTTTGGCTCTGAAGACGTTACCTCAGAATGTCCAAATTATACGCGATCTTTACGCCAACTTGGAGAATTTGTTGCGCGAAGGAATTGTGAAGGTGAGTGGATATGCATCGAACTGGCGCTTTTTCATGAGCTTATCTTGATGTCCCTCCTTGCAGCCTAATCGGGTCGAACTCCTTCCAAACGGTTTGAACGGGATTGTTGGTGGATTGAAGAGAATGGAAGAGGACAAGGTGTCTGGAGTAAAGCTTGTTGCCCTTCCCAAAGAGACTGTCTGAGCTTGGTAGACCTAGAACCACACTGTACTCGACGAACTTGAACACGACATACAACTCTCGCCTTGTGGTGTGACTGGAACCTGAGACTTCGAATTCAGAAGGGCTTCGATGCTCGAGCTATGACAGCCGCACATCCGCGTTCAACAGCTCGTTCTCCGCCTTCTTTGATGAGCCTTCCAAGATTTGCGTCCCTTCAGTCGCGCCGACGTTCGACGACGTGACTGGTGGGTGTCCCATTTGGAATCCGCTGTTGCTAAGCCCGGTGCACACAAGGCGCAGGCAACCGCTAGAGCGCCTTCAACAGTGATTCGACTCTGAGAATCCCTATAAGATTCCAACTGGTGGCGTTTTTGACAATGGTGAGGCTCGTGCAGTGGGTCTCAACCCACAGCTGGGCCGGTGCTCCCGGAGTTCGTTGCCCTGCTTTCCATTTCGAGAGGTCCAGTTGCCTAAACTGGCAATGCTTGGCGGAGCGTCATCTTGGCATACTTGCGGCTTGGGCATGCCAGTTGGGAGGCTCGCATGGCGTCGCGAGGACACGGAGAGATTGCCGTAAAACATAAGCCCCGTTCCTGCTTCGAAGGGGGGAAACAAAGGGCGAGGCGAACAACGATGAGTAATCCCAGTGTACAGTAATCGGATTTGTAAGAACGTGCCAAAAGTCGACGATGGCGATGGTGTTCAACATTCAATGAGGACATCAGATGGCGACTCATCGACATCCTTCCTGCAATTCTCTATTATGCATTAACGCGAATGTAGCTCCGGTGCTTACTCATTACAGAGATGGGAGTGCAGCGCGCATTTCGCTCACTGTTTGCGCGATCATTGCCCGCGATATTTATACCCTGGGATGAGTGCTTCGCAGCCGTCTTTCCAGACACAATCGAGCACATATTTCCCTTCCCATTGCCTTACCTCCCCTAGAAATGTCTCAAAAGGCGCTAATACTCGATCGACAATTTGGAGACTTCGTGCTCACAACTTTGCCAATTCCAAAGCCGGAACGCGAGGAAGTCATCGTCAAGATCGAAGCTTCCGGGTTAAACCCAGTCGACTGGAAAATTCAAGATACTGGTCTCTGGGTGGAGAAGTATCCCGTTGTTCTAGGAACTGATATTGCTGGAGAAGTCGTCGAACTTGGAGAAGGTGTCACAACTGTTTCTAAAGGCGACAAAGTGTGCGTTGCTTAATAGTCAATCGCTCCATTCAGCGCTAACTGCAAAATAGCGTCCTCCAAGGTACCATCAGAAAAGAGGACGGCAGCGAGGCGGGCTTTCAGCAGTACTGCAGAGCAGATGTACACACCCTTGCAAAGGTAGGAGCTCCCTTATAGCAGATTGGCTGTATCGGAACTTGATACTGAATTGACGGGCATAGATCCCAAGCAACATCACTGTCGCGGAAGCGGGTACGCTCCCTGTGGCCTTGACCTGTGCATATGTGGGACTTTATAATGTTAACCCACATGGACGGGGCTTTGAGCCACCTCTAACCTCTGGGCGAGCCAAGTACGTCGGAGTCCCTCTCGTGGTCCTGGGAGGCGCGAGTTCCGTTGGACAATATGGTAGGCTTCATTTGAGTCCATCTTCCATCCACAGAGGGCTGACGCTGCTTATATAGTTCTTCAGCTTGCCAGCCTCTCTGGCTTCAATCCCATTATCACAACAGCCTCGACCAAGCACACCGAATTCTTGAAGACTCTGGGAGCAACGCACGTTCTTGACCGATCGCTCTCGTTTGAAGCATTACAGTCTGCCATCAAGGAGATAACGCAGAGCCCCATTGAGACGGTATACGACGCCATCTCTTCTGCCGAGACTCAGAGGGCTGGCCACGACTTGCTCGTCCCTGGAGGCCAGCTTCTCATCACCCTGAGGCCATCGATCGAAGCATCCGACAGCAAGACAATCATCGGCGTCTTGGGTGTCAAGCAGCTGCCACACAATGTGAAGCTCTTGCGCGACTTCTATTCCAAACTAGCGGAGTTTCTTCGAGAAGGCATCCTCAAGGTGAAACTTCACCTGACTGCCTGATTGTCTGCTACTAACCTCCCTGCAATTGATATAGCCAAACCGAGTAGAGACCCTCCCTAACGGACTGGGCGGTGTCAACGATGGCCTGCAACGTTTGAAGCATAATAAAGTTTCCGGTATCAAACTCGTCGCGCTTCCTCAAGAGACTCCTTAGTGCATTGCACCATGATATACCTGCTGGACATGCATTGGGTCGGTATACAATAAACTAAGTAGTGCCACTGACTCGAACTCGTGGCAGCCTCGTGGATGATCGATGAGCGCTGAGCGGCGATCGGCCCTGAAAGACTAGATATCTGAGCGAGAAACCCAATCCCTTGTCAAATTACTCCCCTTCTTTCCAAGCCTTATAACCTCTTGAGAACACTTCGGAATATGAGCCCCAGGCAGTCATACATCCGAAAGTATATGGCAAAAGCCAGCATTACAGATACCAGTTTGCGCGACATTCTGGATGCGAAGTACGATTTTACATTTTACCCTGCAGAACTTAGGCAATTTGGAAGTTGAACTGGTTATTAGGGATGATGATAGCGATAGTATGGACTCGTACCTGACCTCAGATGGCTCAGATCAGTCAAGTATGCCAGAGTGGGATTTCGACTCAAACTTCTCGGACATAGACCCGGACACTGGTGCCAACGTGCGGGATTTGGAGGACGATCCGATGGAAAGTCGCATGTTCCCTTCTCTTGCAGCCCAGCGTTCCCAAACACCAGGTTTGTTTAACGAAAGCCTGGACAAGGGACCCCAAGTCGCATGGAAGGTTTTCGCCCTTCCTCTACGCCGCCAAGATATCCGGGACTTTCTCAAGCGCCACTGCCAGGAGCGATATCGATCCAAGTGTCCCCCTCCCGTCGACCACCATACGTTTGCTCTCGTATTCCGCGAATACTTTCCACCTCAAATCAGTCGGGTGGCGTACATTCGAATTCCCAGTGGTGACGGAACCTCTACGCCAGAGATCAAACTGTTTGCTCTTGTGTTAGGATCGAACGCAACGATGGAAGACCTTGAGAAGACGGAGAACGAGGAACTTGCACTGAAAGCTCGGGAAATACTTAACGTGAGCACACCCTTCGGATGGTATTTTGTTGTCTCAGGCGAATTTGCCACACGGAAGTACGGGAGTTCATGGTAGGCTGACCGGGTGAGTACCAAGGCGAGGGGTTGCTCTTTTCATTTCTAATAGTCAGCTCTGTAGGTCAAGCCATACAACTTATTCGATACTTCAATGTACATCGCATGATGAAAGTAGTTTGAATGTATCTGGGATTTGAAATGCGCAAAGGTCATCTTCCTTCCCTAGTCCAGGATTGTCTACCTCTCAAATACATGGAATACATGGTCCAAGCGCCTGGAGAGACAAAGTCCACGGTATATATCCGTTTTGAGGAAGTCTATTTCCAAACAAGACTGTGTCAGCCATTCACTGCAGCCCCGCGTCACTGTAACCCCGCGTCCGTTCCCAGATACGGGCGACTCTCTGCCTTTCCAGTTTGTGAGCAATGTATGAATTGTCAACTAAGTCACATGTCCGAGGGAGGTTCTTCAGAAAGTGGTCCATGGAACCAGCCAGCTTCAAGCGTTCTCTGACGATCAATGAGACACCTTGGTGCTTCACAACAAACCAGTGTATTTGTGGGCAGTGAGATTCAGAATCTTCGTATAGGGCAGTGTCATCTACATCATCGGGCTGGGCTAAACAATGTTCTAACCCATCAAGCAGCAATTGGCTTGACCCCATCCTTGACGGCCTTCCAGGACTCACGCTCGGTAAGTTCCTTGAACCATCTAGATAGAGTTATGCGAGTTGGGAGTCAGCATCAAGAACACTCCAAACCCAAGGGCTACTTTAAGGAATGACATTACCTGGCGACATTCGGCCTATTCTCTGTCCAGTTGCAGCCGGCCTGGGGAAGCAAGACACCATATGGAAGATGGAAGAGATCCGCGAGTGTCAGTTCCTGTCAACGTGGGTCACGTCAGTCCCTCCGGCCAGTGGCGACAGGGTAGAACGCACATCTCCAGCAAGATATCGCTGCTTCGACAGAATCTTCTCGTACACGTCGAGCTTGGCTTCCAACTGGCTAAACAGTTTTTCGTACACCGCAGGGTCAGGCGTGAGGTTGAGGTAACTGGAGAATCGAGGAGTCAGACGATGTTCATGGTATTAACTATTAAAATAAGGGTGGAGCACCCACGGTTTGAAAAGCTTCTCGAAAACAGCAGGAGATGCGTATGCGTTAAAGTTGTTTACTTCGATCGAAGCAGCCTGTTCGAAAAGTGCCTTCTTCTTCAGGTCTGTTGGGATGAGAGCGGGGCCTCGGTCAGCGTATTTCTCCGCGATGTACCGTGCAATTGCTCGGCTCTCGTAGATCCCAAAACCGTCATCTTCCTGTATGACGTTCGTCGAGTCAGCGAGTTATCTATGGGAGGAAAGTTAAACTTACAAAGTATGGAACTTGTCCAAAGGGTTGCTTCTCCAAGTACTCAGGCGTCTTGTTCTCGCCCTTGCTGTAGTCGACGACGTGGAACTCAAATGGTACGTTCTTCTCATACAGGACGACTGCGACAATTTTGACATAAGTCGACAAGGGATTACCGTAAAGCTTGAGGACCATTGTCGATTCGAGGGGAGACTTGGGGACTTTCGGAGGCGAGAGATTGGTAAATGGCAGGAGCCCGTAGATGAGGACGAATGGCCAACGACTCGATATATAGCCAAGTTGGTTGAGTCATCAATAGGAACTTTCCAGAAATAACATCGGATCCCTCGCGTTGTGAATCTCTTGATTTGCTGACTGGCGCGCAAGCTTCTGGGTGCTGAGTAACCTTCCGGGAGGCCATCAGCTTCTGCGTGTTCACGAGGGCAATGGAACACACCCAGTCTGATGTTTCGCTTCAACCATCTGGGCCAAACCACTTGGACGAATGACAAAGACCCTCATGGACAGATACAACCAAGGGCTGCTCGGACAGGGAAGTAATGATGGTGAAGAAAGACCGTCCATGTTCGCTGTTAGTACAAGGGGTATACGAGTTTCCAAAAGATTGCCCAAGAAAGAAAGGAATGTGCGAATACGTAGATTAATAGATTAGAATGATTTAAGCTGGTGGTGTCGTTTTAGAATCCCTGGATCAACAGAAACAGAGTCAGCACCCATACTTCGAATCTCGATCGATAATCACGAACTGTGTTCCGTTCCCAAGAATCTCCTCGAATGCTTGCCGGTAGTACTCGATCTTCTGATCGTATTCAGGCCCGGAGCAATGACCATGGTCGAGCAGGTACGCTTCTGTTTCTCGGATGAATTTGTCCAGGTCTTTCACCCGCATCATGGAGAATTCAGGCTCGCCGGAGCCTCGTTGGCGTGCCAAGTAAGAAGCAATAATAGTTGTCAGCCCTCCTGTAAGAAGTCCTGTCAATGCTCCATTAGCACAGAGAAGAAGGCCAGAACTAACCTAGAATGGTCGTTTGTATAGCCGTCTAAAACGAAGGATGTCAATCAGTCTGTCGGACCGTCGAACTTCAATGACCCTGACCTGCCGCCCCGTGGTGGCCACAACCGACAGTCCCGTGGTCAGCGACCCCAGAATCACCTGCAACGCAATCGCAACGTTAAGCGTTAACCCTGTCTGCTTCGCCTTCTTCGAAAACTTTTGTCGATGGCTCTTCGCGTTTTCAATCGTAGGCGCCAGGCGTTCAGCAATACTCTTCGGTCGCATGACACTCTGTGAATCGCAATATTCCATTGCACCTGTCAGTCCTTATCATATTCACACAGAGCGACAGAAACGGGAACTCACTTTCTCGTCCAAGGGCACAATCCAATCGAGGTTACTGGGCGGTGGACCGCCTCTAATCGTGTCGTAGGTTCTGCCTCGCCGCAGAACAGAAAGAGGCGCCTCTTCATATGATCGAGGGAGAGGAGGAAGGGCGTGGTCTAAATGCCTCATCGACATCCTTTCGCCTCGATGCTCCAACGTTGCCAACGACTTTGATTCCACAAGCTTATCTTGCGACGGCGACGGTGGGTGTCCTGCTGAAACATGGGTGATTGTGGTGGATGCTGTTGTGATAGACTTGGGATTTTCATCTTCTTTCGGCTCGTTCGACGTGTTGGCTGGATCGGGAGGCGGATGGACTGGAGGCGTGTCTTTAACTTGGCTCGGTGCAGGTTCGTTGCGTTGGCGGTCTCGGTCCATGGCGACTAAACCCTGAAGTGGCCACCGTTCTCAAGCTTCGTCGCGGGTGACACCTTGACTGCGCGTGGTCGAGGTCACTCCTCCTGGCCACAGTGCACCAACGAGGATACCACGTTGACTATGAGGTGGTGAACGGGGGTCAGCTTCCTTCCCTGTCAAGAGTACGAATGGGTTGCCAGAAGACATTGAAAAACGCATCCTACATATAAAGGTTCCTGAATCTTTCCGAATCCATTGTGCGGGAGACAGAGACCTGCCACGGTGGAGAACGCCAGATGCATTGTGAGTAAAAACGTTAGCGACGGACTCGCCCGTATTCGGTTTAACCCTGTCGCTGCCGTCAAATGAAAAGCCGGAACAAACAATCAGTGCCAAGTGGGAGAGAAAAAAGCAACATTGACATCAGTCGCCAGCGACATTGAGCGTTTTCCATTCCTCCTTGCACAAGCGCTGGGAAATTAGCGTGCCCTTTGAACGCTCCCGATGTTTTTAGCGCGCCCATCGCGCCATAATGCTCGGACAGGGGGACCAAGACTCCACGATGCCTGACGGGAGATGATGGAAAGAGAAAGGTTCGGATGAACCTGGTGTGGTAGAATTGAGGGCCAGAAATTGGCCCAAACCTAATCGTTACAACACAGTTACAGAACACCCCATCCATCTGAATCAATTCAAACCTGAAACCTCAAGGACCTAGGACGCCAAAGGGGGCGCAAATCCACGACCGCCCCTGCCCCGGAACCCTCCTCTTCCACCCCCGCGTCCTCGATCGAATCCTCCCCTTATGTGACCCCGGAATGGTGGTGGTCCACCACGTCCCCTTCCTCGTCCCCGGGGACCGAAATCACCACTAGCGTGTGGAGCAGGCTCGTTGGCCGCCGGGATGGGCTGGACTTGAGCAGCGGGAGCTGAGGGCCCAGCAGCAGCACTAGCCTGCGCGCCACGGGGAGCAGCTCCATTGACATGCCCGCCGCGTCCTGGGTTAACAGCTGGCACAACATGCGCGGGACCTGGCACACCCGGCTTGCCTCCAGGATGCCCACCCCGTCCGACTCCATTGACAAACCCACCCCGACCCCGATTAGGATTGCTCATGATCTTGATTTGAGGCCCCGGACCTGTCGAGTGGGTCCCGTTTTGACTGCAGAAAAGGATATGAACTGATCAGTAATTTGCAAACAGACATGAAAACTGTAGCACGCACTGTGCATGAGGCCCAGGTCTGAATCCAGACGCCGCAGTTTGGCCAGGTGCAGGCTGGATGGGCGGGTGCGGGCCAAACTTGGGATTGAACGGAATCTGTGGTCGGACAGGAGGTGGAGCTTGCGGGTTGGTCGAAGTGACGAATTGCGGGTTGGTGAGATTGAGGCAAGAGTTGAAGGCAACAGTCGATCCGCGATACTGGGAACAACTACAAAGACGCTCACTCAGTAATCCAACAAGGAAACAAGTCATTACCAAATACACACCGATTGTTCAAAGTCGTTCCAGAGATGAAGGCAACATCCCAGAGGACATCCATACTCCTGGCATTGAGACCGACGACTACACCCTTGACTGCCAGAGGAACTCCTCCCGAATCTTGAACCATCGTAACTCGATCTCCAAGGGCAAAATGCTGATTCTGAAGGCGGTAAACAGCATGCGACGGCTTGAGCACAGCTTGACGAGGGATACCCTTCACAATAGCCTTCTTGATCTGAGAGGACGACTTGCTCTTCGTGATAGAATCTGCAAGCTGCTCAATCTCCTCAATAGTTTCCTGTGAAGACCAGTCAGCCCTTCCAATCCATGCATTCCAAGGATCCAGAAAGCGTACCTTAGAGAGTTGATCGCAAAAGAGCGAAACAGGCTCAAAGTCTCGAACGCCCTTTGTCTTCAACCACGCCTTGATCTCCTTGACACGAGCATCGGCCTCGGCTTCGGGGAAGATATCAGTCGCGCGTGCAATAGCTAAACAAACAAGGAATGAGTTGGAATGCATGAGAAGAAAATGTAAGGCATGGACTCACCATCTCCGCCGTTATCCAAAGACGCAAAGACTTCCGGGAATGCAGCCTAGCGAAAGTCAGGTTAGACTACCCGATAAAACGCAGAGATGGAGGGAGGAACGGAAAGGCAAGAAACGAACGGAACAACAAGAAAGGAACGGAAAGACGAAGCAGGAACAGGAAAACCACAACGCACCTTATACTCCCTAATCAACTCAACAGCCTTCTCACTATACTCCCAATTCCTCCCATCCTTCCGACTATAATCAATAACCTTCATCGACTTGGCCTCAAACTTGAGACTAAGACCCAAATTCGTCTTCTGCTCATCCGACGTAAGAACCAGGAAACTCGACGTAATCTTGCCAAGCGCTCGTCCAGACATCCCAAGCATATCCGCGACCCTGTACGAAGGAAAGTACCGACTCGACTTGCGAGTATCCACAATCGCTTTGAATTTGTCGATTTCTTGGCGTTCGGCGGGGAAGAACTGGGAAGAGGGAGGGGCGGTCAGGATGAGTTGAAGATTTTGTAACCCAAGCTGGGTTGTGAATGACTTACCGCCACGATGACAGACAGAGTGTTCTGAGTGGTCGCTGAGACCTGCGCTGCGACGCCATACGCATGCTCGCCAAGGAAGAACACCTTGGACCCGTCGGGGAACTCCTCATGGAGCGGGGGTGGCGCCCTCTCCATATAACGCGGGTCCTCGGACACGACCTCCTGCAGACACATCTGCACCGCCTGCTCAATCTCCTTATCCGGCCCCTCATAATCCTTGACCAGTGCACCAGTCTCCAACCGCTTCAACCCTAAACCACAATCATCAGCCCAACCCATCATTGGATAAACAGATCAAAAGGTAGACTTACCCTTCAACGGGCGAATATGCAACAAAACACCCACAGATCCAGTAAGCACACCACACCTCTTCGAATAAACCTGCTCAATCCTCTCCGCCTTGGACGCCCAATGTCCCAACCCCTGCGGCGAATGCGGCGTCGACACAATCTTCGCCGGACGCCCAGGCACAACCGCCATCCTCTCATACTTGAACAACGAATCCGACACCGCCACCACCTTGCCCTCCTGCAAGAACGGCCACCCCATGAAAATCCTCTCATCGATAAACTTTTGCGCTATTTCTTCAGGCTTGGTGTTCTCGTACGGATTCTCGATGTGCACGATCATGGACTTGTTTCGGCTCTCGCTGCCGTGGATGTTGACGCCATGGTAGCCCAGTGTCGCGCTGTGCGGGAGAGTCTTGAGGGACGGGAAGCCAGCGAGGGCTTCTGCACCCAGGAATACACCGTCGCAGAGGCCAGGGACAAGATGCAGACCGTCGAGCGTGGGAAGGTCGAACGGTTCCATGACACAGGTGCATCGATATATAGGAGGGAAGAACCCCGGTAATGATGAAGGATAGACGGTCGGTTCCCCGGTGCCGTGGCTGAACTTGGTGCTTGTACCCCAAGTATTGCGCTGTCGTTCCTCGGGTGTCAACCGATGCTCGCGAGCTGAGAAAAACGACCGGTCAGTAATCGAGAAGGACCTCCAAGTGGAGCCAATAGGGCCCACAACCGCATGTTAGAGAATACTTACAAGCCATCGCCTTCAACAGCCTCTCCTCATCAATGAAGGGAATCTTCACGACCGCCTCCCAGTCTTGTTTCTTGCCGTTCAGATCAGACTCGAACTCCAGAGGGTAGAAATCGAGGATCGGGGAATTGGGATCATACATGAGATCCTATCGGACACAGCGTCAGCGCTTCTATTACCGCCCCAAAGGCAAGACAGCCCCGCCGGAAAGCTCGGGTAAACCCACCTGATAAGCCAACGGAATATGGTCCTTACTCGCCACCGGCAACACCCCCATAAGTTGCTCATAAGGTTTAAACGGCTTTCCCAGCTCAAAGTTGAAAGTCATTTGATCCACATTCCGAAGATCTAGAAAAGAATGAGTGATTGTCAATAAGATGCTCTGGCGTCCCTCTTGACCGAACCTTAAAAAGCCGATGACAAGCATGCCCGAGCACGAGCACGAGCCACCTGCCCAGCTTCTTTTTTCTACTCACCTGAAATACGCGGAGCATAGTGGTAGTTGTAGAACCAACCCCACGACGCGACACCGCTATAATAGTAGTGCATGACCCACTGCAAACCCTCCACATATCGATACACAAGGTCTCCCATCTCCTTCGGGTCATCATACGAAATCTCCAATTTCTCCTGCGAAACAAGGCAACATCAGTACATCCCCCCACCGGCTGAACAGTCATATAAGGTTTGAACAAGCACATACCCGATAGTAACTTCTCTTCCATTCATCCATCTTCTCCTTAATAGATCTCTCATAGCGGGCATCAAAATCACCCTCCGCATCTGGATCCTCCACAGGCGCCTTTTCGTACTTGTTCAGCACACGGTCGACGGCAATGACGTTCTCCTCGTCTTCCTGCATATCCTCCCACTCCCCTTCTTCGTCCTCCGCATCCTCGGAAACTTCCAGCGCCCTCGGGAATCGCCATGTGACAACATTGTTATCCTCCTCGTCGTACTCGTCCCAGCGCAGGCTCAAATGCAAATCTTGCGACAACTGCGTGATAAACGCACGCTCTCGGGCGGGGAAGTCGTTGACCATTTCCAACCTGGCGGCCTTGAAGTGCTCAAGCGACGGTGCTTTGCGGTTCTCCAAGACAAACGCCTTGACCTTGTCGAATATCTCCCGCTGCCTCTTGGTCAACACTATAATGAAGAGGCGTTAGTGATTGCGTCAAGGGTTATTGGTGGGGCGTGGCACGAACCTAACTTTGATCGCTTGCGGCCCATCTCCATCTCCTTCACGTGCCTGGCCTGCTTTCCCTTGAACCAGTTCATATCCGCATACTCCTTCTCGAAGATCTCGCGCTCCCAAACCGCCATCTCGTCCAAAACCACCTGCAACCTCTGCACATTGATGGTACCGCTCTCGTTGATATACCCATCTGAATTCAAAAAATCAGTTACAGCTCAAGCATACCCAAAAGGAAGAAGTATACGCACTCAGTCCGGGAAGAGCCTTCTTGTAAACGTCAAACAATTTCTCCAATCCGTTCTCGTGGATGTGTAAATCGGGAAGATTGGGCAAAAAGTCGTTGCCAACGAAAACGGCGAGCAGGATGAAGTCATCGATTACCCTCTCCAGGTTGTAAGGGAACGGGAGAACATGTTCAATATCCCGGAACTCTAGATCCAGATACTCTCGCATCAAGGAGAGATGGAGGAGGTAGAAGTTGGTTGATTCCAAACTGAGATGTCCCGTGTTGAGCTTTCTCTCTTCCTAACGAACGAATGAATGACATACCTCTGGTTGCCCTTCTTACGCTGCGGTCCAAACTTGACCTCCTCACGGAGAAGGCAAAAGTGCGGATCGTGGCTCAAAAGCCCCAACATGATAAGGTCGGCGTCCAGGCCGTACAAACAGTGGCGCACGTTCGGGTTGTAGTCAGGTTGCGCACGCGATAGTCGAATGTATTCCATGATCTTGTGTTCACCCTCTCCTGGCACCTCGTGGCCTGAGAGAACGACTTCGACGCTCCTCCAGTTTGAGTCCTCCGTGATCTTCTTGTTGATGAAGTAGCGGAGCTGGGCTGACAAACGAGCCATGAATGGTGTACCTAGAAGGGATATTGGGTTAGCGCTGGTGAAAAGACAAGGACCCATCGTAGCGACAGGGGTCGTGCGGACTGGGTTTATGGATGAATATAGAGTACACACCAGGTGTGATACAGTTACTGTCGAAAGCCTTCTCCTCAGGAAGTTTCTCGCCCCTCCTCTCCGCCTTCTCCCTGACCTCCTTCGCCTCTTTGGCCGTCCTGAAACGACGACTCCGCTGCTGGTTCATCTTGGCACGAGGCGCAACACCGTCCACAGCCATGAAGAAAAGTTTCTTCGGCTTGATCTTCTCGAACAAGTGGTCCACATATGCGAAAATCGAAGTGAATATCTGTTCCTCTGACAATCTGAAATGTGCATCTTCGTCGTTCGGATGGGAGCCTGTATTCCTGTTAGCTTCCGAGCTCAGTTTAAAGAGAGTTGAGGACGTACAGTTGTGAATAATGCCATTAAAGTCTAGGTAGAGATTGTCTGTGGACCGAATCGTGAGCGCCGACGAAATTCCATACGGACATTTTCAACCTACCGAATTCGGGGATCTTGTTCTCTTGGATTAGTTGTGAAGTCAAGGGGTATCGCTCTCTGTCACGGCCATTAGAGACCTCTCCGATTCCAAGAAACCAGAAAACCTACGAAATATAACGAAAGAACTGCGAAACAATCAAGTTTCAGATTCGTTCTTCAATACGCGACGCGCGGCAGACCGTACCTTTGGAATACCTGGATCGTTCTGTATTAGTGCCCGGCCTTTACGACCGTTTTGACGACGTACCCATATTGTACACAGATCTTTAAGACGAAATAAGACCAAAAATCCCGAAAGGATGGTGGTAGTTGTAGAGAAAGAAAATAATGAATGTGATCGTGCCAGGCGAGTCATGGCCTTCACCGCCAAGCACAGCCACGGGCGATGACCAACCTCCGTTCCACCATCTCCTCGACCGTCCTGACGATGACCAGCGCATCGAGGGCGTCGTCTGGCCCTCTATCTCGACGCCAATGCAATATGTGCTCAATATGAGCGTCCCTGACCAAATCCGATCTCATTTGTTGGCTCAGAATTGGCAAAACCCTATCGACCAAATCATACCACCATTGGGGGGCTGTTAAGGACACCTATCTCCCGCCAAATCGCTTCCCAAGAAGGCGGTTATCAGGCTCTAGATTGGAATTCAAATCCATTTCACAAGATTGACCCTTGAACACGTCAAGGCTATGGCTATATGGGACCCTATGACGATCCAGGTCACAAGTGACAATCTAACTCGATACGAACCGTCCCTAGGGAATCATTCCCTTCTCTGCGGGAGAAACATAGAATGACCCCTTCCCCTGGCATCTAGGGGGACTCGGAGGGCGTGTGATCCCGACCGCTCGACAGGTAATCAACAGCCTCAAGGTTCAAACTAGAACTTGGTCTCACTCAAATCCATGGTATGAAAATCCGATAGATCTTCATCTTCATCTTCGTCTTTCATTCAATTGGGTGGTATGCGCACTCACCGCTGACTCACTTTCCAGCTCTTACGTTCAAATCTCACCCTCCTTCAGTAATCGCAATCCGTACCGGGTCTTCGTCTGTTCTCTCGGTCATTTCGTTCACCTCGGGGAAGGCCGTGGTACGTTCATACATCCATCCATCCCATCCCACATCACTGGATCCCTTGCGAGCTCCCCGCTAACATCGCCCGCGAAGCGGAGAAGCCCGGTGAAATGGTAGAAGGCTATGGCTATTTCACCTCCTTCAGGCCGCAACGATCTCATCCACCATTCACACCGCAAGAAGAAACTTGAGCAGCACCACGACCCCCAATGGGCGTCTCTTTACCGTAATGGAACATCAACCGCCGCCATCCACCCGTCCATCAGCGCCATCTGGAGGTAAACACGCAGACCCACCTTCCATTCCCCATTGGCCTCCGCACCCAATTTCACAATTGGCCCTAGTAACGACCTCGTTAGTGGTACACAGGTTTTGTCTAGCGGCCTTCACGGTTTCCCAATCCCTCAACCATGCCGCAACGGTTATGACATAGTGACAGCACCACGCCTCAGGCCTCCGTCCACGCCTCGATCCATGTTCTCCATTTCGCATCTCCCATACCACACCGCGTCGACATCATCCACCCAACAAACGAAAAAAATCAGATCATCGTAAGTAGCGCGTTGCGGCATTGTATCCACCCTACCTGCGATTCCCCAAATGATACCAATATCTAACTACCATACCTGCTTCAAACTCCCCTCGATCGGGTATGCCTGAGTGTGTGTGAAATAGCCAAAGGAATCTACGCATGCAGGCTGCACCGCAGATACGGAACAGCACAGAACAGCCTGAGGCCTGAGGTATGTAATCCTGAATTGACGCAGAATATCACGTCAAACGCCTCCCATCCTTCAGACTTCACCTTTCCCCACCCACCCACATCGCTTTGTCCATTTCGCAAAAAGATAGAGCTCTTCACGAGCCTTTTTCGGCGTTTTATGACATGACAGCCTTCAGGTCAGCTAATCCGCCAGCGGGGTCCCATCAAACAGACATACCATACCACCGTACACACATCCCCTTAGCACTCACATACAGGCACCTTATCCCCACACTCCCTCAGACCTCAGGCCCGCAGGCTTCTTAAAACTTTGATGATGTGACCAGTACCAAGGAACCTGTAGCATTTCCCCGGGTGGACAAGTCACAATAGCCTGCGTATGCGCACTTACGCGTGATGTTATTGCAAACTTGGGGGAGGGGGCGATAAATTTCACTCTTGACCCTCGGCTACGGTACGACCCATGCCCGAACATACCCTCTTCGCGGTTTGACAAGCGTCTGTCTAACGAGGGGCGATCCGTTTGGTCGCTCCGGAACGCGCATAGATAGATCTCCTTTTACATCTTCTGGGTTATTTTATGTACGTATCCCAATGGGATTGATTCTATGGGACTTGGATGGGAATGGGAACCTTAGCAGTGATATCGATATTCCACCCGACTCGCAACAACTCAGTGGGAATGGTAGACGTATCTATCTATCTATTCAATGATCCTTATGTTTTGGAACTTTTTTGGAACTCGACGCAAGAGTTGGCAGATTCAAGACGAATCGAAGCTGTTCTGACATCATGCGTACAGACACTCTAGTCGTCCACGCAATTCAAAAATGCCACTCGTATCGACGTGCTCTGCCAACTGTAGCTCCAATACAACACCCCAACCACATTGTGACCATCATGATAGAAAGAAGTAAGGAAACGTCAACACTATATTTCAAAGTGTCATTTTTTTTCGCCGTCTCTAACAACAGCCAACCTGACCATCGCAATTCAAAAAACCCATCCAAAGCCTCTACAGATCCCCAAAAGCAAAAAAAGCCAAAAAGGTACGTCTTCTCTTCAGATCTTCAGATGGGGGTATGCCCTACCATACCATCTCTAGTCTAACATAACCACTTTTTCGCTGACCAACAAATCACAACCATTCCACAGTCTACAAAAAAAGTCCATGTCAACGACACTCAATCCAGCTGACGAGAAAAAAAAAAAGGGATGACGCACAGCAGGTGGCTTGGACGAAATATCATAGGTAACGCGATTGATACCAGCGACTTCGTTGGTGATCCGCGAAGATATCCTTCTCAGGACGTCAGGTGGGAACACATACCTACAAAAAAAAAAAAGAGGAAGAGGAGGACAGGAAGAAGAAGCCAGGTGGCAAATCCATCACAAACACGTCAGCAACGAGAGAAGACCGAAAGAACGCGTCAGAGATTCGTACCAGTCCGCTGTCATAAAGTCTTCAGACTGTACAGCGCGCAACGCGATCACCTAATTGGGATAGTGTTCGGTTAGATAAGATCGCTTAAGAGCACACGAAACCAAAGCGGGGGTCCATAAAGAGGATTATGTAGCGAAGGAGAAACGTAAAGGAGATGAGAGAAGGAAGAACGAGTATACGCACCTGTTCGTAAGTCCGAGCGTCGCCCATAACACCAACAGCCTTCACAGGCAGGAGAACCGCAAAAGCTTGAGAAATTTGATCGTACAAGCCCGCCTTTCGAATCTCCTCGATATAGATGCTATCCGCGTGCTGGAGTATCTTCACTTGCTCCCGAGTGACGGGCCCAAGAATCCGAATCGCAAGACCAGGACCTGGGAACGGATGGCGTTGCACAAGTGGAGCCGGTATTGACAGCAATCGTCCCAACGCTCTCACTTCGTCTAATCGCCAAAACAAGGGTGGGAGAGTCAGTAAAAAAACAAACGTTTGATTTGGTCGGAGAACCAAAACAACCCATCCACTCCTTCGCCTCCTCCTTCTCGGAGATGTTACCGAAAGAGGATGGGTGTGCCCTCCACGAGAACTGAAGTTGGAAGGAAACGTACCTTTGAACAGCTCGCGAAGGGGTTCGATCAACTTGAGCTTCATGTCCTTGAGAAGACCGCCGACGTTATGGTGCGTTTTGATGGTTGCGCTCGGCCCCTTGAAGCTGATACTCTCGATAACATCCGGATACAATGTACCCTGGAGCAACCACTCGACTCGCCCCTTCGCGTCCGCGCCCTTGGCCTCCTCAGCCTCAGCAGCAGCCTCGATCTTGGCAGCCTCATCCTCAAAGACGTGGATAAAAGTGTTGCCAATGATCTTACGCTTTTGCTCCGGATCCTCGATGCCCTCGAGACGGGAGAGGAAGCGCTCAGAGGCGTCCACGACTGTCAAGTTGACACCCAAGTCCCTGTTGAGCATCTCGTACACCTGCTTCGCCTCGTCCTTGCGAAGAACACCATTATCGACCATGATCGCGTGGAACCTGAGACAGGCGGCCGCTGATAAGCAAACGCCTAATTCTCAAAAAGGATTATGATGATAGATAGCACGTACCTGTCGCCAATCGCCTCATGCATGAGCTTAGCCGCCACAGTGCTGTCCACACCTCCGCTCACGGCTCCAATAACACGGCCCTTGGGACCACAAATCTCGCGAATGCGGTTGATCTCCTTTCCAATAAACTCTTCCTAAAAGGAGCCCTATCAATGTCGCGATTCGCAAAGACGAATTTGGGAAGGGGCGTACCATGGTCCAAGTGGGCTTGCATCCGCAAATGTTGAGGATAAACCTCCCGATGACTTCCTTTCCTCGCGGGGAGTGGGTGACTTCGGGGTGGAACTGGATGCCGTAGATGGGCTTCGAGTCGTGGGCCAGGGCAGCGTAAGGTGCGGATTGGGTATGTCCTATCACATGGAAATTTGCTGGCGGTTTCGACAATTGGTCGCCGTGCGACATCCAGACCTGTAATAACGTTGAGCTACAGCACGCATCCAATCAAAAAAAAAAATTGCAAAACGAACCTGCATTTCGTCTCCCAGCCCTTCGAACAAAGCATCTACACCGTTCCCACTTCCAATTTTGTTAATCTTGACCTCAGCGAAGCCATACTCTCGATGATCGCATTTGGTGACCTCTCCGCCGAGGTTCCACGCCAATTCCTGTGAAAACAGATGAGCTATGGGTATTGGTGACCAAATGAATAGGTGGACGAACCTGTAGACCGTAACAGATTCCCAATATCGGAACTCCGAGATCGAAGACTGCAGGATCAACATGAGGAGAATCTTTATCATACACCGAATACGGTGAGCCCGACAGAATGACGCCTGGGTGCAGAAGCAACTGTTTAGAATTCCTGTTATCTTCTCGTCACAGATCTATACAAACCTTTAGGTTTGAAGTTAATATCCTTGATTTTAGTGGTGCATGGCAGGAGCTCTGCATAGACCTTATGTTCTCGACACCTTCGAGTTATCAAATGGCTATACTACGACCGACTTTAGTCAAAAAAACTTCTTTCTTCTCATTCACAGAAGACTTACCTGGGATCCAAAATCCAGAATAAGGATTGTATCGAACTGGTCGTGGATTTCAGCCATTTCAACTGTGACGGTTCGAGGTCAAGAAACGAACGAGGATTCAATTCAAAATCGAGCTAATCCATCTAATCGACCGACCTCCCAAATTGGAACTGCAAAAATTAGAGGCACGTGACTAGATCAAGCTCTAAATTTAGACGCCCTTGGCCTCCTTGGCGCTGATCCCGGCCACGGAGCTCTAATGAGTCCTGGAAGCGAGCTGCCTGCCCTTCAGGGAATCGAAGAGCTCGAAGCAACAAATGAGAGAGCGTTCGGGTAATAGCATGGAAGAAATACCGGTACCCTTGAGTCACCGCGAAGACCATTTCTGTGACTTTTCTCCTCCGCGTGTCCGACCCCATCTCTCTCCTTCTCACCTTGGTCACGTCTATTTTGACAGGAAACTTCACTGGTCGCTTCTTCAACAACGCTTATAAAGTATGAAAGGAACTGAGCTTCTTTACTCTTATCACTGTAGTCGCACGCGGATCGCGGGTCCTACCGAGCTTCTTAACACCCCGAATCATTCGCCACAATGAGGAATTATTTAAAGCGGCCTCAGAACTCGAGCAATGGCGCAGTGGGCATGTTAACCCGGCCAGGATGGTCATATGGTCCATTTTCCCTTGACTAGAAGCACACCCACTCCCAACCACCCTCGATTTTGAGTGTGTAGCCAATACCATCGCAGGAAGAACACCGAGGGTGCGAGTCTCCGCAATACCATTACTAGTAGAATCGATTGCGTTATGTACCGACCTTCCTATCACTTGCCAATATGTCCATATGCTCACGGGAGAAGAAGTTAATCACCAATATTGTAGTTACCGCTTCGGTTGATACCCCTCGCATTCGGTTGTTTCGAGCCTTAATCCCACTGCCCAAGTATAGGAAGTGGACTTTGGGATGAAAACCGTTGCTTTGCCTCCGTCATTCGCGGTTTACTTCCGGCATGAGATCTAATTCTGAGGATAGTTGACTCTTCTTCCCCCATCTGAGCGGAGCCTCGGATGACCGTCACGAGCGTCCACGATGCAGTAATGCGCTCACCAGCGCTGACAAGCCGAACGCTATCTCAACGCAAAATCAAGTGTGCGAGCCGTGGGTACTTAGATACCTGCCAAAGTTAGTCCGCAGTTGGTAGTTCGCTCTACAGCCTAACAGCCCCGTAGGTTGTCTTCTGCCGCGTAAAAACCTGAGCGAGGATAGTAATGGCCGACGGTGTTCATGACTTCAAGGTCATTTCTGACCGAACAAGCACTTGGTCTATTATTAGGCGCCCAAGAATAGTGAAGACCGGAAAAGGGACATTCTGTCGTTCCGCTACAGATAAGAAGGGCCTGCTTCATTCTTTGATCAGAGAACCACTTTAATTTCACGATCATTGTCATTGACGAAAACAGTTAATCTGACTTGTCCGTTTAAATCTAAAGACCGGCCTAGACGGGTTGTGATGTACTATTCACCCCAACACGAGACGCTCCTACGCCATTGGCAATGATCTGATTCCGATATTTGTCTCCACCGCCGACCGACTGACATTCCCATTTACAATCATACTAACGTACGCCGCTGCACACCACGAAAAAACAAGGAGCTAGCAGACACTTATCAAAAGCGCTGCCCTCCCGGCGCCAGCGCCAACGGTAATTCTCGGCCAGCGCCCGTCCATCACTCGAGATGATCGCATGTCGCGTTCCCGATGTCTGATGATGTCGAAGGTACGCGATCAGCGACATCACTCCTCGTTTTGGTCGAGGCCACCCCTTTTTCGCCTCGCTCAGGTTGGGAATTGGCCTTTCATGGGAAATAGATGGTGGCGCGCATACCTTACCTGTCGGTGCTATCACCGCGAAACGAGTGCGGACCTCACCTGACCCATCCAAGGCGGTGCTGAAAAGACAATGGTCGGTACTCGATCCTTTTGGGCAAGTCTCGTTTTTTATTCTGGCTTAGGTCGTAGTAGTGGTTATACTACTATTCGCTTGCGCAGTATCAATATCTCTTGTTCAGTGATATGATATCTTCCGTTCTGTGGATGCAAAGAGGGCGCCGTATACTTGGAAGGCATAATTTCGGGCACTTGAAGAAAATAGCACCACACCGCCTCCAAGGTTCGACGATGATTGCCCGAGGTTCCTTGGAAGCCCATCACTTCGTCGACATTGTACCAGGAACAATCTCCGAAGCTATTCTCGAGCCTTACCCACAGCTACACGTAGTACGCGGGGACTCGTCCAACCACGTCTCCCGGCGCCCTCCACCCGCCGCAGCGACTCCCGCACGCATGTGATGACTGCGAATGACTATTTTTAAGTCAAGAGAGAGGGATACGGATGCCCGTGATACCTAGATGCTGATAATAGATTGTTTCATTATGACAGCCTATAGACAGCCGCATGTGGGGTCCTGTTGGGAAGACTAGAGGGTTACCTTCGAAACGTGCTGATCCTTGTCTTTGCCAAAGACCCACTGCTGATGGAACGACGGGAACTATGCGCTTCAACCGTATTCCCTTCTTGCCACCTGACAGCTGAGTTCTGGGGAGGCAATCTGCCTTTTGACAATAGTACGCGGTTAAAGATCCGTCGGTCGGAACGAGTGCTACGGCGTTCCAGCCACCAACAAGCGAAGAAGCTCAAAAGTGTGGCAAAGGTGGGTCGGCTGGGAGGCCTTGTGCGGCGGGTGAGCGGCGTAATCGGGCAGTAACGGTGGACCATTCTTCTGGCATGACCTCTTGGGCTATGATGTGTTTCAACGACCGTCGTCGAGGCCATGGCATCATTTCTTGTCTCAGGACATACCCACAGCACATAGGCAGTGACATTACCTTCGCATGGTTCCGCTTACTTCTTGCGATGATCTACATACCGCTCTTGACCGTACCTTTTCATAAAACGCGGCATGTTTAGTTCTCGACGATGTGGTCCATGGTCATCGTCAATACACCATGCGTTGGCCTACGTTCACCTTACTGGTTCTTGCTCATCATCAAGGAACGGCTGATCCGTCAGAGTAGAAGCTAGTAGAAGCCTGAACGAGCTCACGTTCGCCAAGTGATAGTGATAATGGTCAGTACCTCTTGTACGGCGTTCTCCTGACCCACTCGCTGTGCCCGACCGAGCTGGAAAAGCCGATTCGGATTGAGATAGAAAGCACGCCTGGAGTGCCACAATCGTAGTTCGGTTAATTCTGGCGTCGATCTATCGCAAGCCCGTATAGTTTTCCCATCATAATTTGACCCCACGGTTAACCCCTGTATTCATTAGCGAGCAGTAGATAACCGGCTGAAAGCCCTCGAAGTTTGCGGAAAAGGCAGACTTAAAGGCGACTTCCATCATCGAGTCGAGAGCTCTGCATCAACATCATCTGGAATACAACGGCTCAAAGGGAATAATCCCATTTTTTCTCCGATTTTCGTTTCTTGATTTCACTTTGATCTCACCGCCTGTGAAATCTCCCATAGAGTGTGCTTCTCGAGTTCTTGTGCCTGTTGCGATCCTGATATTGACATGTGAGTTGACTCTTTCTGGCTCTATCCTTAGTATTCCGTAGCAAAATCTGTTGTAACATGAATACCGAGTTGAAACACTGCCTGGGTCTCGTGGTTGGGACTGAGAGGGACAGCTCGTCCAGACCTACAGAGGCGTGTGGGACAAGATATTTATTTGATGCCCATGTCTTTCCTCGAGTGAAATCACTGAGATAAACACCACTTGAGAGTCCGGAATGATTATATCTGTCCACAAACAGACCAATGGCTATCAGAAGGGGTGGAGAATGTAGCTCGACCCACACCTAGTGCACGATCGGGGGTACGTGAGGCCTACGCAATCAACGTATGCAACCGTGACCACGGGAGCTGAGGTCATTCGTCGTCCCAAGAACTAACACCGCCGAGAAAAGTCAAAGATGCCTGTTTTGTCCTCGAGGACTGATATTGAAGGGTCCAAAAAAGCCAATTACACGTATTAGTTTGGCTTTAGGACCCTGACTTCATTTACGCAGACTTGTATTGTCCCTGAACCTTACATCCCGACGCAATTAGTAGACTCGTCGCAGTTGCCTTGAGGGAGTAAGGTCGAAGATCCCAACCAATGAAAAATGCTGTCCGGGTGTCGAATAAGGTGGTGGGTGCTTCAGGAGTGTGATAGAGAATCTGGCCTTGTTTTGGCATCTCCAGCGTTCGGAGCACTTTCAACTCAGCTCCATGAAAGGGAATGAGTGGGTTATTGGGAAAACCGCACTCGGTGAGCTCATCTCGAGGCGCGCCCTTGACGGAATTCCTGAGATAAAAATACACCCCCATTCTTCTGGAATACATACTGAGGGAATGATCCATCATTGCTGCTCCAGAGCGGCTCGGACCAGATTGAAAGTGATAGAAAGCGGAATCATCCACCTCAATGTCACTGTTCGATTGGCTACTTGTTGGGGATTGGAGCGTCTGTCAATCTGAGGTAGACCAAAGACACGTTTTTGTGATTATTATTTACGCAGTCGTTAAGGGCTGCATGAATGCAGCAGCTTGGAGGGTGAGGCGAGCGGAGAGTGAAGTTGAAGGAGGATAGGCCTAATACTGGAAATGGGCTTTCTTTACGCAATCGAGGAATGCCAGGGACTCCAAGGAGACAAGGCGCTCAACCCTCGTCACCGTGAATCAGGAATGGTTTAGCCTTGCGGGAACTAACAACGGCAATGATACTGATACTGAATTGGAACTCCCTCCCAGCTTTTACGGAAGTGCTCATGGTTGTCATCGCCAGTGCACACCACAACCATCACCTTGTTGGATGAGTACATCGCAGGCACTAGCTCGAGGTTATTTCAAGTTCAATGGCCGGCGGCTTGAAGAGAGGAATGCACTAACAACAGTCGGGTCAAATTCTGTTCAGGCTAAGCAGATTGGATGCAAAATCTATGCCAAATGGGAGATGAGTTAGTACCAAATTCTCGGCTTCTTCCGTCAGGCTATGCACGGGAGTTTAAGTCTCTAATTATGGTCTTCCCTCGATGCCAATATGCAACTTCTCTTTACTCAAGGCGAGTGAACACTGTTGCTAAGAACTCGATTACCACTTCGAACCTACATGTGCGAGGTCTCGAAATAGCAGAGAGTTCCGTGAAGGCAGAGCCACCGCCCAACTTGGCTATTCAAACTCGAAAAGTACAGATCTTACCAAGTGAAGGCTTCCACATGTAATAGTCGCCGCCTTCATGGTACTTTTTGCATGGAAACCCCATCTGGACAGGCGTATTGACTCCCCGCTCTCGGTCGTTTTCCGTAGATGGTACGTCGGAGGTGGAGTAAGCAGCGACGAAAATCGATCTTGATTCAAGGACCTAATCTTGAACAACACGTTACATGAACTGATCCCGATCTTGGTGAGAAAACCTCTGAGTCCCCATTTCTCGGTTTGGATGACCAGTCGGTCGAGCGAATATTAAAAGACCATCATGTCAACACGGAATCCTCAAGTTACAGCCCAAGCTTCGCTGGTCCACTTCCCCCTCTCTATTCCACTTCTTTCGACCTACCCCTACCAACATGCTTTGCAGAGAAAGGCGCTCATGGACTGCCAAAGAGGATCAGTTGCTGCGGGAAGCTGTGAACAAAGGTTGGTCGCCCTCCTCGACGACGGACGACTCGGTCGGGAATTGACTAACTCTTCCATTGTAGAGGATCCCAACAACCCTAATCCTTCGAAGTGGCATGCTATTGCCAAACATGTTCCTAACCGGACCAACAAAGACTGCCGCAAGCGCTGGTTTGCCAAGATGGCCTCTGACGTCGTCAAGGGTGGCTGGTCTCCAGAAGAAGACGAACGACTTGTAAAAGGCATAGAACGATACGGTACAAGATGGTCTCTTGTGGCATCCGTGGTTCAGACCCGTAACAGCGATCGTATGTATCTCTGGTCGGCACCGCATTGCAGGCTTAATCTAAATCATTTCTCTAGAATGCGCAAAGCGCTGGACAGACACGCTCAACCCTGCCATTGACAGGACTACATGGACGTCGGAAGCCGTAAGTAATGGCCCCTCAATGGAGAATTACAAGAGCTGACGCTCTCCTTTAGGATGAGATTCTCTTGAGAGCCGTTGAAGAGCACGGCAAAGTATGGACGAAGATCGTCAAAACCTATTTCCCTGGACGGACAGGACTTTCTGCCAAGAACAGGTAAGGAACTTGGATCGTTACCGAGGAAGAAATGGTTCACTTACGTTGGTCCATAGGTACAATAGCATTACGCGCTTCAACCACGATAATGGTCGGGGTGCTCGGTCAAGAAGGAAGTCTGAATCCGTCGACGGTGGCTACTTCTCAACATCAAAGACCGAAAGCGTCTCCTCATCTTCTAGCGCTTCCCCCACTACACCTTCCCTTGGACTCCCAATGGGCTCGCCTCCAATGTCGTTTTCCCTTACTGGGGCACACCTCCCACCCTACGACTCCCTGAGTGGATGGCAATCTCCGTCGTCTATAGTAAGCGACGACCTCTCACCTATTCAAGGGTATGGGAGGAACGTTCCTTCATCGGGTTCCTCCAACGCCTCCAGCGATTCCTCCTATCAGTCAGTTGACCTTAGCATGCCTGCTTTGACTCCCACCGAGATGGGCCAGTCTCTGGCGGTGTATGGTAACGGCACGCTGCTTCAGGGTGGTGACTATTTTAAAGCATCCTCCACCTCAAGCCCGCGCATCGTCGAACACAACAACTTCCTCTCCTCCCAGGCGGCGTCAGACCCCATTCCATCAACATACTCCCAGTATCCCGCCATCTACAATGGAAATAGTTCCGACTTGAACAATCACTTCTCTTCCCTCGATACGATGCCGAATCACATCGACAGTCTCGGTAACATCTCTTGGGATTCTTCGCTCTCTTCTGCCGCACTAGAAGTCAAGTTGAAGCGCTCCCCCTCAGAGTTTACTGTAAGTCCCCTTGCACCTCCACAAGCCTGCTCAAGTGCTAACGTCGACCTCAGTACATGTATTAGTACCAAAACACAAGAACGATTGCTGGTCATCCCCGTTTTTCACGAACTATGCTTCTCGTCTAGAACATGTCGTCTTGATGGCATGGCACCTTATCATGACTTATTATTCCACTTTGATCTCTGATTCCTGGTAGCTAGATTGTATCAATCCCAACGTCCCATTAGCATATGTATCATCTCATGCCTCATGTAGCACATTTCAATCCACACAGCATTTGTTTTTCACGTCACTCTCACGCATGCTTTCGGGTGTGAAGTTCAACGGCCTCTCCCAGAGTCCCAGCCTGCCACCAACGTAAGGAATAGGCAGGGACGGTGTGTGTAATGACCATTCACGGGTCGTAGCTCTATTCCCACCGTATGGAACGCACGACCTTCATGCTGTACGTTGTGGACCAGTCGAGCGCCGAAAGGTTTCATAGGGCCGTCACCGTCGGAGTTTAGGGATATTTCCGGCCTGGCCGTGCAACCAATGCTCGTTGTCAGAGCTCCACCGACTGCGACGCCCCGAGATATCTATCCTTGGTTGGGATCTAGCAAGCTTACACCATGGGCGATTCTTTACATCTCGCAAGGCCTCCATGCCAACATTACTTAAAGGGCCACGAAAGTCGCAGCCAGCGCTGGAATCACTGGACTCTTTGATCGCTCGAACTCGTGAGTAACTTCTCCCTCGTGACTTGCTGACTGGAATTTGGGACTTAGACGCTTCCAAAGAGATTCAGTAACATAATGGAAGCGATGGTTCAACGAGGCTGATCGGGCAACAGGACCAAAATAACTCGGCATGCCTTACCCCTCTGATACTTTTAGAATGTCAAATTCGCAGATAATTTATCGGGGATGCACTACATTTGTACCAGGTGAGCTGTGGTCACCATAGACAGAGCATCGCTCGCCAACTTCGCGTGAATGCAAAGGAGACACTGGCCCCTACGACAGGTTTCTACTGTTGAAATTCGCTGCGAATAGTCTTGTCTTACTCACTGCGCGAAGCTATCAATCCAATAACCGATAGAGCCAGATATGAATAGTACCAATCGCTATCATGCTGCGCTTGCTGAGTCTCTCTACTGTTTTAAAAGAGATTGGTCAACCCTTTCAGCAAATCAATGTAGCTCTCGTGGTGCATTTCGTAATTTTCACAAACAGGGCCCAACCGGCCAGCGGTGAAGATGCCCTGTGATACCCAGCTTTAGTCAACGCGCAAAAGCCGACTGACGATCTAATTCAAACATAGACTGGAATTGGGACGTGGATGAGTACCTTTTGCGTCATAGGACAAGAGTGATAAAGATAGTACGGACCGAATCCACGCACGCGAGAATTTGCGACAAGCATCTCTATGAATTCACAGGACACTTTTGACCCTTTGGTATCATAGACCTTCTGATATTTACTCAGATACGACCACCGGAGGCCCAGTGAATGGTTCCGCGACAAGGGATGACCGAGCACATCTCCCGCTCTAAAGATTCAGCTGAGAGGGATTAAGCAACGATGACTGTACCTAGCTGATAGCTATGAACTTCACAGGCTCTTCTGAATACAGAGCAACTTAAACTGTCCGAGAAAGCAGTCCTAAAGGGTGAGCTTTTGCCTACCTACTGCTTTCCTCGGGCGTCCTATACACGTCCTTCGACGCCAGAGAGGAGAGATTGGTTTAGCAGGAGAACGTAAAATCTCAATCTCCGCGAGGTCGGGGATCTCGGAAACATAATTTAGGGTCAATTTATTTGAAGACCTGCTCTGAACGTCTTTCGTGAAGGATGCTAGGCCCTCTTTCGCAACGTTGATTGAAGTCACATCGTGCCCCGAACTAGTCCCTGTATGGCACTAGGCGCCCGTGTCGGATAAGCGCTCGGATCGATTATTCCTTCAGCCGGCGGAGGTTTAATTTATCATCACGGAAGTCTCCGAGCCTAAATGAAAGCCGGATTTCGAGTCTCGGCTCCACTCCCAAGAACATGTTCAAGGGCCGATTCCTCTCCTGTGAACCCAAGGCGAAATGGTCAAACCTGTATACCGCTCAAAATCCTACTCTAGAGCGATGCTTGTAGGGCTTTGTGGCCGTTCAATTCATTTGTTTTCTTCGAAGAAGAGGTTGGCAATGACTAATTTGGGTATAGGAAATTCAAATGAGGAGGAATCCGGATGAACCTGGCGGCCAAGAGCACGTGTAACGTCCTCGACAATCGATACGCTCACTTGTCGGGGAAATGACGGCGATGCAATGCCGATGGTTTATCAATCTACAGTGGGAGCGATTATGACGGCTGCAATCTCTGTTCATCTCCTGCTATCATCGTCTCTCGCTCTCTAGGATGGCCGAATTTCAACCAGTTCAAATCAAGAACGGTCCTCTGACCTTGGAAATCTTACCCTACGGTATCACGATCCACCGCTTCCTCGCTGAAGTCAACGGAAAGGTCCGTACTGAATCGCATCGGCAGGCCTGATCGCGAGGTTTGACTGACGCTCTGCCAGACCCATGATTTGGTGATTGGTCCAGAGAAACCAGAGGACCACAAAACTCAGAAATACACCAACTCTATTGTCGGTCGATATGCCAACCGAATTCCCGTGGGCACTCACGTCTTGGAACGGAATGGCATCCAGAGCACCTTCGATGCCAAGGCCAACGGTGAGTCTTTCTGCTCACTCACACACAGGCTGTGTATCCTCATCCGTATGCAGAGAACCCTCGTGTCTCACTTCATGGAGGCCCGGTTGCCTGGGACGCCCTTCCCTGGACCAATGTGAAGGAGACTCCATCCCTCTTCACTCAAGCCGAGATTTCTAGCATCGCGGCTTTGAATTCTGAGTCCTACACGGTCTTCCGACTCATTTCACCCGACGGCGACCAGGGTTATCCAGGGAAACTTGTTGCCGAGACCCTGCTTGCCATTGTCGATGGAGGAGAGGGTTCTTTGGGAAGCGTCGTAATTGTTTACCGAGCGAAATTGGACGAAGGTGAAAAGAAGGTCGTCACCCCCGTTAACCTTACCCAAGTGAGTCCAGACTCGCTGTTTGGTATTCAGGCACTCACGGAACATCTCAGCACTGGGGCTTCAACCTGAACGCCAGCTTGGATTCGCACCCTGTTTCGATTAAAGATAATGTTCTGATCTTGAAGGTGAATTCATATTTTTAACTGCAATCCTGTTTCCAACTAAGAGAGCTGTTCATGCCGTTTGCAGACGGATCACATGGTCGTCAGAGACGGGGATAGTCTCTCCACCGGATTCGCCGACACCACTCAGAACCCAGTCCATACCTTTGGAGGGAAAGCTATTGGAGATTTGTACCCAGAAGGGGGTTACGGTATGCCTACAGCTAGCGCTATGTTCGGGACCTTTGCTCATACTTGTTGACCCCATCGCAGACGATTACTACCTTTTGAAAGCTGGAGTTCCATCTTCTGTGCCCACACGAGTTCCGCTCGCTTCTTTCACGTCAGAATTGAATTTGGTGCAAGATCTCTTCAAACCCCAAGGCGCCAGCCATGGTGCCGCAGCTGAACTCTCTTCAAAGCAGTCCGGCCTCAAGGTCACCTTTGACAGTAATCGTAGGTTCTTTTCCCATACCGCTGGGAATTGTTTATGCTCAACCGTGACCGTTACTCACAGAGCATGGATTGATGGTCTATACCAATGGGCTTTCAACGGTGAACAAGGGCGCTCGCAAGCTCGCCCACGGCGGTTCTGGTATCAGTGGCAATGGCGATGCCTATGGCCCTGGAGGTGCGTCGCTCTCACTGTTAGTGCCACAGTTCACAACTGAGTCCACCTTTTCTTGACAGATGCCGTGTTCTTGGAATTCCACCATGTACGTTTCCGTCCCTCCGTTCTTTCCCTCGAACAGCCTCTGAGATCTTTGTAGCCTCTGACCGCTTTCCTCGACCCCAAAAACAAGGACAAAGAAGATACCCTTGTTACCTCAGACGAGATTTACAACAACTTCGTCAAATGCAACGTACTGATTAACTGATGGTCGTTGAAAGGTAGCGTCTAGCGGAATAAGCAAGACGGAATTGAAGTGGAATGTAAAGCGTGTACTATTATTGTTAAACTATTGTTCCGTGACCTATACAGATCCCTTTGCAACTGTTACATACATCCAGCACGGTTTCTACCCTATTGCAGCTCGTGAGGCTAATGAGAAAAATGGGAAAACAGCCTATGTATTGAGTCCGACTCGTGCGATACCCAGCGATGACCGCAGGGCTTTCTCATCTATTCCATAACGCCGACAGGCTATGAGACCATTGACACAAATCCGTCTTTGGGCGCTTTCCATTGGGACTTTTTAATGGTGGCGCACGAGCCTCGCAGGTTCTTACCGACAACCACAATGACTACATCTAGAAATCCGTTTCCTTCCCCAGTGTATGGTCTCCGTCGATCAACCTTCTCGAGGTTTATTTGGAATCGAAGTTGTTTCAGCGTCTCTTTGGGAAAGGGACCATTTGAACATGTCGACGATAGCCGCCTTCATTCTCAGGCGCTGAGGTAATTGAACTTCGACGAAATGCAATCTATTTTGAGACCATGAGTGACTAGGTCCACATCTTTATCTGATAACGCAATCCCCGCTTCATCCCATATCGGAAGTCTGCAACTTCACAAGTCGGCGTGAGTGCCTCGATGTCCAACTGAGTCTTCCAATACATTCCTGACCGGGTCAGAAGAAGAAGGTGATCCGATATAGGTACTGGACTCAGTAAGCCCCAGCACAGTAGCAGCCGATTCTCGACAGGGCTGGAGCATGCGTTTACCACCTGTTAAAAGGCTGCACATATCTGTCCAAGGGCGTTAAGGCTACTTTTGTACCGTATCGGAATAAGGAGACCACTGGGAAGGTCCCATCAAATCTGGGGTATGTATCTAGGTAAGTGGATATCGTTTGTGTAATTGAACCTAATTACTGGGATAGATGCAACCTCGATTCTCGTCACGTACGCGATTGGTAGTTCCTGCTATTGGAAACCCGAATCGCACATTAACGAGGTGTACCTTTCTGGAACGTGCGCACTTTAGGGTGCCCGACCTCTTCATCACAGTACTATTGCTACCAGGAGAAAACCGACATCGGAGGAAGCAACTCCGCGAGTAAACCCACCTCAGGTCCCTCCCAGATCGATCCAGTGGCAACATGTGTAGTTGAATCTCACCAAACTGTCAATCTTTCGAGGGCGTGTCAACGCTAATCGCACCTAACAGACAGCAAGATCATGGGCGCAGATTAGTCCCCAGCTCGGGCTTCTCTTGTGGGTCATGCTGGTACTGCACTGGAGGTTCGGTTTGATGTTGTTGTTGAGCGATTGTCATACCCGAGGACATGTCAAGACCGTCCAAAACGGTGGCGTATTCCCTGCGAATCAAGGTCAGTGTGAATTCTTGTGTGTCATTGAGTTTGTTCAGATCGGTTTCGCCAATGGTCGTCGCTTTCACGTCATCGAAGTCCCCTTGAACGGAGGTCAATTCAGTTGAGTTACCCGCGAATAGAGAACGAGAAGCCCTCTTTGGGTTCTCTCCATGTAATCTTCCCCGCTTCGCCTTCACACTGTCTCCCAACGGTGATTACGGTGGTGCATCAACTCAATTCAAGCCCGAGAACATTGGAGCTAACCAAAGGCTACGAAGTAGATGAATATCTTCGTAGATGAATTACAGTAGCAATACTAGTGAATAGAGAACGATAGTCGTAAGTAAATCTGCCGATAAATGTCCATCGCCAACTCCAAAGTCCGAGATAACAAAGAGAATAACTGTCCTTATAGGGGAGGGTGTTCGTGTAAAAGAGTAGGTTGTGTATTGTTGGAGATATCACCGAGCCTCGGGACACAGCTTCATCCCGAAGCGGATAGTCCACAATCGAACATGCATTTACTTGCCTTCGCATGTCCAGGTAGCCTGGAAGTACCCTATGTGAGGCACAGCCAAAAGATAAGACAAAGGAAGAGCCTACATCTCGAGGGAAGGGGTTGCCGACCCACTGGTAAGGCTGCTGTCCCACACACTCAGCAAGAGTGACCAAGCGGTAACCTGCGTTCTTCAAAACCCGGATGGCGTGAGGAACAACGACATGACTATTCAAACACAATCAGTAATGAAGAAGACCCCAGAAGTAGAAGCTCAAAGAAAACCCACGCGGTGTGCTGATATACTTCGTGATTGAGGGCGAGGACAGAGCTGGGACGCGAGTTCGCCAAGCTGGTGTACTGAGCGTTGATTTGGTCCGCAGTCTGTTGCCAATCATTCGAACTGCAAACACGCATGGTTAGATATGTGACCTCACGCCGCAGAAGAAGGACCACTCACTCGAAGTCCCAAAGCGCAATGGCTTGGCCCCTAACCCGGGCGACTTCCTTCACCAAATCGTTGTAAGAGCCATACGCTGTGTGAAAGAAAGATAAGGCGTGCTTCTCCACTTCCAAAAACGACTTTACTCACGAGGACGAACGAAAGCGGGGTAGGCGCCCGTAATCTTCATAAGGGCCTCTGCAAACACCGCGCGGCCACCGCTCAATGCAAAATCGAACCCAAAATTATGCAATCGTCGTACCTTCGACAAGCCAGAATTCGTGATGAACTGTAAAACGCCGTCCCAGGTGGTCGCGTCAGATTCTAAACGTCAACAGCATACGTTCGAAACAAAAACATACTTTGGTCCCAGTTGAGCGTGGCGAGATCTTTGTGAGACCAGGTATGGGAAGCAACCTGGTGGCCCTTGTCGAACGCGTACTTCACGCGCTTCGCCTGATCTGCATTGTAAATGCAGCCCGCACTTCCGCCATCTTCCAAGACAATCAGAACTTCGCGCGACCCGTTTGAATTAAACCGACTCGGACTCACAGTTAAGACCGTCTAGTTGCAGAGATGTTCATCGTCAGGAGTCGATATCGACGAAATGGGAATTAAAACGCACTGAAGAAAAACGTTCCCTTTCCACCCTCGGCGATAAGCTGTTTGCTGATGTCGTAGCTGTTGCAAAAAACGGTTCAGAAGGCGTTGCATCGGTTTATTCAGGGCACATACAGGAACCACCATGGGCCATCGTCCTAAAATCATCCAAGAACTTCATTAACATCGGCGAGCTAGGAACACTCCCAATCAAAAACTCACAAAGGTAAGGGCAGCAGTTCCGGGAACTGTGCACTGGGTGATAACCTGGCCAGGAGCCCTCGCATGAAGGTTGGTACTGGGGGACTTTTCGCCAATGAACGAATCCGCGGTGTAGTTGCACGGGACAGCAGCAGCCGAAACACTGGTCGCCGCAAACGCAACGGCGAACAGGAGAGAGCCGAACATATTGATAAAATCGAAAAGAGTGTGGGGGTTTAAGGAAGGAACGTCGGTGGGTCGGTACTGGGTGTCGAAGGAGGAAAGGGAGGAGATGGGGGGAAAGACGTACACGAAGCACGGTAAGGGGAAAGCTTCCACCACCGGTAGGACCGAGGCTTATAACACAACCCCGACTTCCAAATGATTTTCAGCGATCGTTCCTAACCCCTTTGCAGAGTCTAGCCAATCGCGGAGCAGGTCCTTGCCATCTTCCGCTCGGGGGATAACATTTACCCTCCCAAGGATGACTTCATGTTAAGGTTTTCAAGATCGGTTTCCATGTGATGAAGGGGGAGGCGGGGGAGGCGGGACGCGGATGCATAAATTGGGTCTTGGGATGGACGATCGCGTTAGCGAGGAGGCCGACGAAATCAAGAGAATTCACCTTTGAACGTCGACCTCCCTGGAGACTTGCTTGCTGGTTCCTGTCAATCTTTCTCCAGGGCACAGGTGACAAGGCACTGGAGAGAGTTCGAGGGCAAGTCCCCCGTCGAACTCCATCATTTTCAGTGTCATCCCCTACGAATTTGCGATCGAGGCTCGGGATTAAGACCAAGGCTCGCGTGGTGACAGGCGGATCGAAAAATTCAAATGCTTCCAATGAGTGAACCAAGCCCACTAAAAACCTTATAAGGTCAGTCGTCTATCGGACGTCTGTACTATGCATGTGCTGTTCACCTATAAAAATCATTGACAAATGCACAAAATTCGAGGAAGTGACGGATACGCACATTGACGCTGGCCATCGCACAGCCCCATAACATTAAGCTGCTGATTAGGAGGCCGCAGATGTGCTGACTCGCACCGATTGAGAGGCGGCTGGCACGGAATCTGAACGTCATGTCCCAACGATGGGATCCAAGAAACACCAAGAGAAGGCAGCCCACATGAATAAGATAGGTTAGAAAGCGGGAATGAACGAAGGAGAAGTGGCGAGCTCCGACTCGAAAAAAGCACTCTACAGGAGCCAATCCGCCCCTGATTCCAATTGCAAATGCCAAGTTGACAAGGCAACAATAATCGAAACAACAGCGAACAGTCTGCGAAATCAAGACGCGCAAGAGAGAAGTAAAGATCGCAGAATAGCAAGCGTAATGAACCAAGCCATAAATAAAGAAAAGGCTGAGGTGTGATATGATATGAGTGAAGACACGAATAGAACCAACCAACCAACCAACCGCACAAACCAAATCCCGCCCCTCCAAACATCCAATAGTATCAGAACACATAGGGTAAATAATCCAGCAGTAATGCCGCAAAGCAATTCAAGAGACGAAAGCATCTAGAGTCTAGATTATAATGAAACCAAATAACGAGTAACGACGTCTTGGAGACGAATGAAACCACAAGTGGGGGAAATAGTAGTAGTAAAAGTGGAATAGGAGAGTCAAAAGGCTGTCCGTACAATACAGTTTCTATAATCTTCCATTCTGCGGAAACGGTGGTGGAATCCCTCCTCGGTGCTGTTGTTGGTGTTGTTGGTGTTGGTGCTGTTGCTGCTGCTGCGGTTGCTCAAACGCATTCGCACCTCCATGCGTCATCTCGCTCACATTCATAAGATACGTCCCCCACTCATCCAACCTAAAAAGGGGCGAAATGACCTCAGAACGGGAATACACAACCAAATCCGAAAGAACAACTTACTCAAAACCAGTAGGCGCATTAGACCACATAGCCATGGTATCATTATCCATGAAACCCGCCTGGTTATGTCCAGGATTCGTCTGGTACTGGAATGCACTGGATGACGCAACTGGCTGATGCACCCCATAATCGACATGCATCTGCGACGACCTCCTCTGTTGCTCCATCATATCACCAGCGCTATTCGCAGACGAACCAGACGCAACAGAAGCTGTGTCCTGTCTTCCATACGCCGGCGCACCTCCTGTCGAGATTCCCTGCATACCGGAAAACGTAGACGCTGAAGATGCCGGCGAAGGCGTCACCGAGCCCTTGGGCCCAACCCCTGAAGGATACGCCATCATACCCATCCCACTAGAACCACCACTCGCAAAGCTGGACAGCTGGGGATGTGACGAATTCCTGCTCAAGGCTGTGGTCGTTGCGTAACCAGTCAAGTCTTCCGAACTAGGCTGCTGCATCTGTGGTTGTTGCTGGTGCTGCGAGATAGAAGCTCTCGGCATGAGGTTCGACGGAGGAGCATTTCCACCGTTCTTCTTCAAGCTTGTTGGAAGACCCGTGGTCGACGGAACAGGTTCTGGCGCTTGAAGCGAGCTATACCAATAGCTGGGTTGCTCCATCGACGAGAACTCGAGATGGCCATGTAAGGGGAGTTTGCCGAGATCTTGACTATAAAGGGGCAAGGACGAGAAGAATTGGCTTTGACCGCCCTGCTGTGTCTGGTCAGGCGGCGCTGGATGATGTTGCTGCTGTTGCTGTGCGGGTAGATGGGGGGATGGAATGGCCGTACTTGACGGGTGATGGGATAACGAAGAAGACGAACGTAAACTTTCCGAAGAGGCTTGCAAGTGTATTTGTCGCGCGACTTGAGGGCTATTAATGTGATGCACGTCACCCTGCAACATTCCGGCGCCAGAAGGAGGTGGTGGAAGTATCGCAGGGTTGGTAATGGGATGCCTTCCTGCCAGTGTTTCTTTCTGAACCCGCCTCGATCCAGCAATTGGCCGTGCACCGTTGGGCTGGGTGGTGGTAAGAGTGACCGAACTGCTGCTATTCGGGGATGAGATCGGGGTTTCGGAGTCTCGCTCTCGTTTGTTTGATGGGGGACTTGGTTGGGGTAATGGAAGGTCCCCAACTGAGGCCAGCTCGTACAAAATGTCCCTGAAACATGAATTAGCTCACCAGCAAGACTGATCATTGGGGGCCTTACCAAAGCCGTCCTGCTGAATGCCATTGCTTTTCGCAAGCACGCAGCATCCTCATGCATTTGTGGACGTCGACCATCTCTTTGTTCGGATCTGTCGAGAGGCCAGAGCGTTTGCCACCCCAAATGCTGAGCAAGAGCACGATTCCAGAGGTGAAAACAGCCATCTAAAATAAAAACCAGATAAGCTCAGAGTTCGATCTGATAAATGTCCCCACATACCTGAACTTGAGGTGGAGGGGGTATTTTCCTTTGTTGGACCATATCAACGACATGACTGCACGAGCGTGCCGCATTAGTGCATATGGCTAGCGAAGGGAAAGAGAGTGGAGATGGCTTGTTCGGAGATGGAATGAAGGGTCGGTGAATGAGAATTTGGATATGGTAATAGGCGCAATAGAGGGACGCAGATTGATTGAAGAAATCTTCATTTTCTCGGGTCGGGTCCCAGCGCACTACAAGCGGAAGCACAGTCAGCAGGACGGAGATAGCAGAGATAACTAGCACCCTTACGGTGACTCGGAATCGAATCTACCCATTTGTTGAGCGTAGAATCTAATTCTGCGACGATGTGTTGCTCCCATTGGGGACCAATGAATCCCAGAAGGATCTTCGACTTATTGATGGAGTACTGGAAGACGGTCAGCATCAAGGGGAAGCTTAGATGAGACGGAGAACTTACAATGGTCCGAAGGGAGAAGGCGAGGATCTGATTGAGTTTGAGGAACAGGCAAAAGTAGGTCAGGAGGGAAGGCTTCCCGGGCGGCTGCTTCCATCGTTGTTCCACGTCGTCACACTCAGTTTCCCAGTATTCGTCGTCACATTCGATCGGCATTTCCAAATCGAAACTAAAATGGAGGGAGATGAGGAACAGCAAGTTTTTCATTCCGATGGAATACTTACTCTTCATCTTGGATCGCACATGGGCGTCCTAAAGCTGCACTGACCAGGCGATCCATACAAACGAGCACCCTGTCACGATCGTCAGCATTCGCAAGGTCTGGGAGAGTCAATGTCCTCACCAAAATGCGCGCTTCCACAACTCATCCTCGGCGGTAGGGCCAGCCTTCTGAGCCTTTTTCCTGTGTGCACCGACATCCTGAGCTAGACGAATCCCGATCCCGACCATCGTCCAACAAGATTGCGGCGCCGAAGAGCCCTGCAGGAACTGAACCGACAGCTGCGATAGAGTTATAATTAGAGGCTTCGATGGTGGTAGACGTGTTGCTCACACAGTAATACTGCAGGTCGTACAGTGATGGTGGTGCCAGTAATGACTTTCTCACCACCTGGACCTGCTCGAACCACTTCCAGCCAGCAGAATGGAAAGATTCTTCGCCGTCCAGTAGCACTCGAGTGTCGTCAGAGAACCGCGATGCGATCGCGCAGACAAGGAGGACAGTCCCGGCAAAGCTGTCGTTCGTGAGATGAAGGCCTTCAGCGACGGACCGCTCAAAGCTGGGCCGGTGCAAAAGGGGCATGTAGAGATTGACACGTTTGAAGTACAGAGAAATCAAGTTGGCCATGAGGTCGGGCTCAGGGAACGTGTAGTTGGCTCGAGTTGGTAGTGACGTCCGGCTTTCCCACTGTCGAGAGCAGGTAAGACATTCGTTCATAAATGAGATAACCGCCAACAACGTACGGGTTGTTGTACCCAGAACTCTTCCCGTTTATTCCCCAGGACTTGATTAGCCTTCCGAAGATCGCTGTGATCGGTCCCAGCGTATTCGTTTTTGAGTTCGATGGCTGTTTGAATCAGCATGGCTCCACTCGATTTGCCAAAGAAGCGGTAGTCGACTGGGTCAATCGAGAGCGTTCGCAGGTTGTCTGCAAGGATGAGATGAGCATTGTCTTCATCAATGTCTTCTGCATCCATGTTTCGTATCATGGACGTGGCAATCTCCTTGGGATCGGCGGTCCTAGGCGGAGACGACGGCTGGCTAGTGAACACACTGCTTGACTCTGCCTCCAACGGCAGTGTACCCTTGTCCAACGACGCATCGAGTTCTCTGAGTAGATTGTCATCTGGACAAAGCTATGAACAGGTCAACAGCTATAAATGATGAGGCCAGAAATACACACCCTCCGCAGTAGATTCTCCAGCTTCTCTAATCGGTTTTCCAGGCTCTCGACGTAGCTATAGATATCCCTGAGTTCCGCGACGTTCTGACTGGTCTTTAGGACAACTTTACCCTTTCGGAGGCCCTCGTTTCTGTGAATTTACGCGTCAGATTATTGAGAACATAACCACATTATCCTCATTTACCTTCGCGGCCTCGACATAGGTACATTCAAAGTTGTACGCGATACAGTTGGAACAGCGGTTTCCAGGCATTTGCACGCCATCGCCTAGTCTCATGAGCATCCTATTGTGCTCTAATCCAAAAACCTAAAGACTTACAGCGAACTGCAATTAGCCCGCAATCCAGTTAATATTCAAATCTAGACCAAAAAACCAGGAACTACATACTCTTCTTTCGTCTACAAATATCGCATGCCCGCTGTATTCTTCGTTTCTTGAGGCCCTGGACGTTGGACTGCTGGCCTTCATGGTCGTTATACTCGTCTTCGTTTGAGGACATCGTCGCCGGAAAGAGAACGGTCAAGGCGGCACGCGAACAACAGCGGTCAGGGTCAAAAGGGCCAAGTCAGATTCAGGCGACGGGCGGCACCGTTGTTTGGTCCCATTTACCGGCTCCGGCATCCCCGTACGTCATCGGCCGGCAATTTGGGCGGCTAATTTCAGGAGATGCCTTGTCCTCGCTTGCCAGTGATGGCCCATGTTCTGCTGTGAATACAGTCGCTGCGGACTGCGAGTACGCAGCCTCGCAGTCCTTCGTCTTGACAACTGTATACATCTCGCGGGATCACTTTTGTTACAGCATTACCAGGAAACTCGAACGAGGATATGATATCGCTGCCAGTGCATCACGACAGGAACCTAAAAACGACTGCTGTAAATTACAGATAGCGCCCTGAGGCTACGTTCATGCGGCGGTAACCACCGAGGAGCCAGGATACAGCGGTAGGGTAAGCCATGCGACACATCATCAAGGGGCGGTACACCCGTGCTTCCTATTTCCCAACTGGTAAAAAGAATCCGAGACGAGACTCAGACTCGGAAAAGCGCTATCGCAGTCCCTGGAAGAAAAGAAACGTGTTGAAAAATATCATTTCTCTAAAGAGACCCTTTATCCACGGCGCTAGAGCTAAATCCGCCTCCTTGACATCATGAAGCAAAAGTGGTTCGAATGTTTTCCAGAAGAAATGACCTTGATTTGAATTTGAAGACTACTCGATAGGCCGACGATATCGAAGGGGCTTTAATTCGCCACCGTCCCTTTCGCACCTGGCCTCACTGGGCGGCTTTATAGGGACTCCCTCGACCACCAACCGGCTTACCGGCTCAGACATACCGCTCCTTTCTGTTCTTGAGCCGAAGTTTATTCCCCATTTTCTTCATCAAATGCGCTGGAAGCGGTAGTACTGGCCAGGAAGCTCCTCATCTATTCCGGAAGACCCAAACTCCATCACAAACTCCATGAAACATCGTCTAGAACTTCCGAGTCATCCGTTGAACGTTAACTTATCTGACTTCATTACGCAACAATGACCCCTCCGCTCCTAAATACCTACCTGTACGCCTGGTTTTGCCATATTGAAATGGGCCGCAAAGAGGCAGGACTTCCGAGTACATAGATCTCACACTCCACAGGTCTTGTAGGAGCCTCGAAGAATGGACCCAAAAGTCATGGCACTGATTCCCAAATTCCGACGCATCGAGGCAGTTGGCAATGTAACACGCCACCCTCTCCAGACTCCGCTCAATCGATAATCACGAGCGCGACTGGCGCTCTAAACCGATGGAGTAACATACCCAATAATAATCCATCCTGGTTATGGTCGAGCTCCCAGATCATCGTCGAACAAACGGCCAATCCTCACCTCCGAGCACTGAACCCTCCAAAAAAGGATTCTCGACTCCGGCGGACATCGAGCGCCCAAAGTTAACCGACCAAAAAGTACCCTTATTTCTTCTCGATCGCTCCTTTTACAGAAATTACCTCTTCTTTACAAAATATTGACCTACTTCGTAATCCCCTGTCATGAGATCGGATTAACGGACCCATTGGACCGAAATTCAAATATCCTTCCTGCCACCTTCCATACGCATTCTTCCTTTCCTGCCGTCCTTTTCTGAGATGAAAAGACCGATGATATATCAACCACCCAATGGTACTGACTATCCCCAAGGCGCAACCCAAGTTGAAGAGTCTTACCATCGGAAATCCATCATCAACTGAAGAACAGCAGTCTAAAGACACCCTCGTCAATATTTTGCTCGCCATCCCACTTTCTTTTTCAATACCCACTCCACTAAAATTGTCATCGCCCTCAAATCTGCAAGATCCAGAACCACCATACCAGTAAGGCAACCTTCACAAAATCTCCTTCTATTTATTCCCATTCAAACCTTTTCACCGATCAGAGTCAAAGTAGTAGTAAACCCATCTGACGTCCCCACTCCCCGCCCTTAAGCTTGTCCACTTCACCAAATGCTCAATTGTAAACCTCCACTTCGTCTCGCAGGCCTGGATTCGCCTTCCTTTGCATCACCCCACAACCATTACAGTCTCAGCGCCGCTGCTACATACCAAGAAGGATCCACGCATGTAGATATCAGGACAATACTATCAGGGTTTCATGTATAAAAGGATCTCTCTTTCCTTTTAGATTGTCTACCAAACGTTTATGCAAGATTCACGGTATTCATTCTGGACTGAATTTGCAAGCCCCTTCTGGTAGACCTTGTACATACTTTTCGCCCCAAACGCATTCCAAACACCCTATTCCCCATCCGTACCCATCCTCCCAAAAGACCCTATCACGCCTTACAAAAATACCCCTTTCCATCCTCCATCCTTTCCTACAATCCCAAAATATAGCCCAATCTTCCACTCGATTTCACTCGATTTTGAACACGAGAAATCGAGATCTCAACAACAGAGTCCACAAATACCACCACCTATACTTCACAAAAATATGCTGGCGAGTCCAACTACTCATACGAAGCACTTTTCCAACGTCATCCAAAGACCTTCTCGTGATGCCGTCAAACCAGCTCGGCACCGCGAAGAACGAAAGCAGCCTGAGCTTACCGCACCGGCGGCTGACAGCTCATCGAGAACCCACCTGCACCCCCGAGTCGCGCCAGTGTCCATTCAAACTGTGCGTTCGAAGCTTTCGTAACCTCAGCCTCCACTACCACATCTCTACTCGTAGCACCTAAGCATGTATACTTATCGCCCCAATATCTATTTCGTAGACGAACATTGTACCAGGCGAACCTCACCACCCCCAGCCACTTTCCAAATCCCGAATTCCAAGCCAACACTCCCACCCGCACTCCGAGTCAAACCTCTTCCCTCGATCACACACCCAATCACCACAGAGAAAGGGAAAACCATGACATTACTGTACATTCACGGACAAGGTTCCACAGACAATAAAAAGGTCAAGTCTTTTCGCAAGTGAAGGCAACTCGTAACGGATACCCGGATCCTGCTCTTCGCCGCGCACTCTCGCCCGCTTCAACGTTAACCGCACAACGAACATCACCCGCGCATACATCAACCACACAGCAGCGACGACGAAAAAGCACACGGCCAAAAGCACGACACATCCAAGAAACCCAATAATCGAGTACCAACAACACAAAAAGGACATTATAACAAAAAATGCGAGGTAAAAAAGACGTAGTAAGGTACAACTCGAACAGAAGCGCGAGACAGAGAGGTTTGAGTGAGATCGATATCGATAAAAAAAGAGACAGATAGTATGACGTGTGGTGTAGTATGAAAAGAAGAAGAGAAAAGAACAGTCGATGGAGAGGGATGATGATTGATATAGATGATGAGTGGGATACTACTAATCGTAAAGAAAGAGAAAGAGACTCGATGGAACGAGAAACGGAAACATAATCGACAGCGACAAACGAGCAGACGACGAGAGGAGTAGTTAATACAATAAAATACACAGACGGAAACCAGGACCAAGACGATGAAAAAAGAAACGAGAAAAAAAAAAAAAAAGGAAAAAGAGAAATGAATATTTGCATGTGCATGACGATGTTGTTCGACCCATAACCAAAAAAAGAACCGAGAGGGAAAAAGACGAGGAATACCACAGAGGAAAGCCTCAACACGCCAACTACCACCCAGAAGTATGATAATTATTCGCCCAACTCCTATTCCTCGCAAGAGCCCTCCTCCTCCTCTCCTCCATCTCCTCAGGATTCAACGGCCTCCCAGGTTGCTGCTCCCCACTCCCCCTCCTCTCCCTCTCCCCTCCACCCCTCACATCCCCTCCCCCTCTCTCACTCCCATTCTCACTCCTCCCACTCCCCTTAGGCTGCAACTGAACCATACTAGGCGAAGCAGTAATAGGGGCAGCAGTCAACGGCCTCAAATTACTCAACGCATTCCCCCTCCCACCATTCCCGTTATTACTCCCTGACGAATACTGCGATGACGTAGCAGTACTACTACTCGTCCTTCGAATAGGCACAGCAGCCTGCTGACGCTCCCACAACAACTGCCGCCTAAAACTCTCCGACATCTCCTTCCTCAGCATCAACCGCCGCGTCGTACGCGGTGTCGTAGGCGGGGCAGGAGCAGGAAGGTTATACGGGTGCATCAACGGGATAGGCGCAGGCGGGGCAGGCGGCGGCGGTGGAGGCGGCGGATGTTGCTGCTGCTGCTGCTGTTGCTGCCGAAGAACCTGCTGATGTCCCCTCTCAACTTCACCCTGCCTCCTCTCCGTCTCCCTCACCCACGCAGGTACATCCTCCTCCCCACCAGGCCTCTGCTGCGCCCCAGCCCCAGATCCAGAAGCAACCCTCGCCATATGCGCAAGCCCACCAGTCACAATCCCCCTCTTGGCCGCAAACAACCTCAACTTCTCCTGCGCAACACTCTTCGACATCAACAAATGGTTCTCCTTATCATCTCCATCAGAATCACTGCTATCCGAATCTTCCAGCTCCTGTCCTTGAGGTGGGCCACGAGGTCGGTAGCCTCCACTTCCAGTAGGAGGTTGTTGCTTGGTAGGCGAAGTCGTAGCCGTACTAGAAGGCGCACCACGACTCTTCGAAGACTCTCTCGACGTCGTCACCTTAGCACCGGCACCAGCCGCAGCCGCTCCCTTCGCACTCGGGGTCGTAGCATCAACCGTTACCGTAGAAGCAGCAGAAACACCGCCAACCCCTTCCTCGACCGGCCCATTCGGGTTCACGTTCACATTCACACTCCCAACCTGCACTTGAGAAGCAACAGGCAACGCAGCACTACTCTTGCTCAACTGCAACCCTCCCAACCTCAGCCCACGGGGAACCATCTGGCTCGAGACCTGCCGCGATTTCGGTTGAGACGATTTGGATTGCTGTGAAACCTGGGAAGACTGCGAGTCTTGTCGACGATGAGGCTTGGGTTGCTGAGTCTGCTTCTCAGGCGCTGGCGCTGGTGCCGGAGCAGGAGCGGGCGCGGGCGGCGGAACCACAGCCGCCTTGCCCTTCTTCTTCGCCTCCCTCTCTTTCACCTTCGCCTCCTCTTCCTCCCTAACCCTCCTCTCCTCCTCCTCCGCCTTCCTCTTATCCTCCTCCACAAGCCTAGCCTGCGCCAACGCCTGCAACTCCTCCTTCCTCTTCTGCTCCGCAGCTTGCTGAACCAACAACGCCTGCCTCTGAACCTGCATCTGCATCTGCTGCTGCGTATGCGCCAACATCTGCTGAACCTGCTGTTGCTGCTGCTGCCTCTGCGCTTGAACCTGCGCATGATACGCCCGCTGCTCCGCATGCGTCTGTTGCAAAGGCTGAACCTGCGGCCTCCGCCCATCCGGGCCACTCAAACTCGTCAACGGCCCAAACCCACCCATCCCACCTCCAACCCTCGGAATCTCACCACTACTATACCCCCGCCTATACGGATGATTCTCTGGGAAAATCGACGGATCAGGGTTCATCAACTGCGTCAACAACCCCACACTCTTCGTCCTCTGCGGCACACCATCCCCCCCACCGGCAGAAGAACCACCATCAACAGCAGTAAAGCCTCCTCCCAACTTGGTCAGATCCCTAAACGAAGACGTGGGCTTCTTCATAAACATCTCCTTATGCCTCCGCTTCTCCTCTTCCTCCCGTTGAAGCTGGGCAGCAGCACGCTCAATCGTGAGCTGCGCTTGTCGCTGAATCTCGCGCTTCGTCATCAACTTGTTCGGGAGTCCGTGCGAGTGCGTGCGGTAGAGACCTGGACGACGGGCTTGATAGTATTGCGGCGGTTGCTGAGCTTGTCCTTGGGCGTACTGCCCAGTCGAAGTATGTGACCTCTGTTGAGAAGGCCCTCCACCCGATTGCCCGTCCACATGCGAGTGTCGTCGTGCAATCTGACCGGACGGTTGCAAAGGTGGCTTACGGGACTCCTACACCAATCACAAACGAACGATCGTCATTAGCGTCATTTCCAGAGACCAAAGGAGAACAAGCAAAGCCACGCACCTCACTACTATCATCCCCATCCTCACTAGTCCACGAATCCTCATCCTCGTCCGTCGTGTATTCGTCACTCGTAAGGACGACCGTCTTCTTCGTTGTCTGGGGCAACAAAGGCGAGGACAGACTGGTGTGCGGAGCATCACCTTCATTCGCTTTCCCATTCCCCTCCTTGGCCTTCCCCTTCGCCGCACCATCCCCTTCCTGAGCTTTACCCTTCCCCTTCGCCACCGCAGCCGAAACCTCCTCCTTCGCTTTCCCCTTCCCCTTCTCCCTCTCAACACGCTCAGCCTCAGCCTGCAACGCAGCCGCAAGCTGCAGCTGGTCCAACTCGGGTCTCTTGCTCTGCTGAGCATTCTGTGCCCCAAGTTTGCCTTGCTGAGCCATCTGTCCTTCAAGCTTGCCTTGCTGATTGATCCCTTGCTGACTGGCCTGCCCTCCATGCACGTTCTGCTGACCATTCGACGCCCCAATCCCACCAACCGAATACTGCATATACGGCCTGTAACCAACACTATCCCCGCTCCCTCCACTCTTACTCGCAACAGCACTAACACTCCCATCATCCGAATTAGAGCCGATATTGAACTTGCTCTTCTTCTCGCAACCGGCGGCGCGATGGTGTAGGTGTTGGGGATGAGGATGAGGGTGAGTCTGAGCGTGAGGGTGAGCTTGGGCTGTCGCAACCTGATTCTGCTGCTGCTGAGCCAACAACTGCGCCTGAGCCTTGGCCTCCTCCTGCCTCTTCAACGCCATCTCGTACTCCACCATCCTTCTCCTCTCCCTCTCACGCTCTTGCTCAATCGCAATCCTCTTCTCCTCCTCCAGGCGCAGCTGCTCCTGCTGACGTTGCCGTTCTTGCTGTCGTAGCTGTTCTTGCTGACGCTGCTGCTCAAGTTGCTGCCGCTGAACAAGCACAAGCCTCCTCTTCTCCTCTTCCTCCCTCTTCTTCCTCTCCGCCTCAACCTCTTCCCTCTTCCTCACCTCGTCCTCCTCACTCTCACTCTCACTCCCATCCTCCTCCTCTTCATCCTCCCCACTAACCTCCTCCACATCCTCATGACTCAACGTTCTCGTCAACTCCGCAAACGAAGTCAAACTCCCCCGTCCACGACCCCGACTCCTACTCCTCGCCCGCGCAGCTTCAGTCACAATCGCCGATACCGGAGGAGGCGGAGGCGGTGGCATCATAGGCGCAGCTGCAGTAGCACCAGCACCCGTTGCAGTCAAAGGACCACCAGGATGATCCACAACAGAAGTCATCACACCAACAGCAGCAGCAGCCAACCCCATACCCATCTCTCCCATCCCCCTGCCGCGACTCCTACTGCGACTGCCGCTCCTGCTCCCACTTTGACTCCTCTCATCCCGGCTGCTAGCAACACTCGCAACACTCGCGCTGCTCCTCGAGCGCGCTCCTAGGCCCAGCCGTCCCCGCACGCCAGATCGGGATTTGGCTTTACCCGCGACGAAGCCTCCCTTTCCTCCTGCTTTGATTCCAGTTGAGGTCGTCGGACCGGGGGTCGTAGGGGGAGCAGCGGTGGAGGTAGCGGTAGTCGAGGTGGTCGCGGTAGTCGATGTCGCGGCGGAAGAGATTTGGGTGGTCGATGGGACAGCGGCAGCCGCAGCAGAAGAGGAAGACGCCGCGCCTGCACCTGAAGACGCCGACGACGAACCACCTCTCCTCAACCCCGCCCCCAATTTCTTCTTCCCCTTCGCCCTCGAAGAAACCGAAGAGGCACTACTCCTCGTCGACCTCGTCGATTTCGACGACCCAAGCGAAGTAACAGACGCTATACTCGTAACAGACGACGCAGGCCTATGCCCCTCCCCTCGTTCCCTCAATCTTTCCTTCGTCGTCGGTGCCGGAGGTAATTGCTGTGGCCGGATATCAGACGGCGGTTGAATAGGCGATGGCGGTAGTTGAGTATGCCGGTCATGAGCAGCAGTCGTAGCAGGAAGTATCATGGACGAATCACCAGTCGCAAGGGTATGCAGTTGGTCGTCACCATCATCATCATCACGCGAAAGCGTCGACGGGCCCAAACTCAACGGCGGGACAACACCAAGCGGGTCCACATCCTCCTCATCACTCAACAACCTCTGCGACGTCGACGCCTTCCCACTCCCAACAACGCCCTTACTCCCACCACTTCCGCCAGCACTCCTCGCGCCCCCAGACCTCCCACCACCACCACTCTTCCTAGACCCAGGCTGGGGGGGGATCAAATACTGACCCTGCTGCCCCTGCCCACCCCTCGAATCCAACTCGTCAACACACAACTTGCCCTGCCTCGCACTACCCCCACTCCCAAACAACAGCGGCGTAGTAGGCGGCGTGGGCTGTGGCGTAGGCCCAGGCGTAGGGTTCACGATCACAAGCGTCGGCGGGGCCGGCGGTGCCGGCGGTGGCGTGCGCGGGTTGAGCGTCGGCGGGTTGCTGCTCGTCGACGATGAACTCGGCGCTGTGGTTGTGGTAGCAGTCGAAGAACCGGTAGCGGCGGTTTCCGTAGTCGGGGTTGAAGTAATAGCATGATTATCAGAGCTGGTGGAGTCGACGATCGTAGTCGAGATCGAGGGCTGCGTTGGAGGTGGAGTGCTTGGTAATGGCAACTGCATGGTCGAAAGCGAAGGCACAGGCGGCACAGCTGAAGTCGTTGGCAACGGCTCAGCCGAGGGAGAAGGCGAAGGCATAAATGCCACCGTCGGTAGCGGCACCAAAGGCCCAGGCGGCGTGCTAGGCGCAGTCTCCGTTATCACAGGCGTCATCCCCACCTCAACCGGATGCGCAAGAATATACGAATCCGACAATGAAGGCGAAGGTGGGAGCTTCAAGTTCACTAGAAAAAAAGTGTTAGATTACCCATCCCTTCGTTATAAAATAAAAATCAAGTCCCGCCATTCATGATAAAAAAAAGAAAAGAAAAAGAGACGCACCCAATGAGTCACTAGACAGAACCTCGTTCATCTGCGCATTCCCCTCTTCCTCCACCGCCTTGCTAGTCACCACACCCTCCATCTCCTTAGCACTCATCACCCCACCCGCAGACCCAATCGAACTAAAAGGCAATGTATCCCCATCATCAACCTCAGCTCCAGGCGTAGGAAGCTGCGAAACGACACCTCCAAGTTGCTGAGGAATCGGTATCTGCGGTAGGGCGTGCGGGGACGTCGAAGTCGAGCTTGGGTGTACCGATGTCGAGGTCGAAGTCGAGCTTGGATGCACCGTTGTCGTCGAGGTCGCCGTCGTACCGCTCGACACCACAACGGAACTCGCCTTGCCCATCATCGTCGTCGCCGTAGTAGAAGAACCCACGCCCACACCCTCAACCTCATAACTCACGCCAACCCCACGCTGCAGAGGATCGGAAGACGAACTCGACGAAGCTTGAGCCAATCCCGGAGAGGTCCGCGGAGACCGAGCGATCATCTTGCTCTCGCCCTTCATGCGTTCCCCGCGTTCCGTGCTTGTACTAGCTTCCCCGCGTTCTGAAGTCGTACCGGCTTCCCCGCCTTCAGTCGATTCAACTGCCCCGCTTTGACTTCCCGTACCGGATTCCCCGGCAGCCCCAACTTCTTCCCCTCCTGATCCACCAACACCCCTCTGATGACCCCCTCGCCGAACCTCAAACTCACAAACAACACCAGGCTTCACAACCTCACAAATAATCTCGCCCACACTCATCGACAAGAAACTCGACCGGCGTTTCGTTGTAGACGGCTTCGTCGTCTTTGCGTGGTTCGATGGTGTCGATGTTGTAGTCGTGGTCGTCGTGGCCGGTGTCGCCGTCACAGCCGAGGTAGTAGCAATACACTCGTCAGAAGATTCGGGTGTTAAAAGACGGGTACCAGTTTCCGGAACTTGAGTCGAACTAGCTCCTTGACCCTGCCCGTGCGCAGCCTTCCCTTCAAGTTGCCCTTGATGTAGACTGGAATGATTCCCTTGTCCTTGAGGCTGTCGTCCTTGCGGAAGCGGTACCTGATCAAAACACCGGCGTCCTAAAACCCCAACATCATCACAACAAAAAAAGAAGTCACGTTAGCGCTCTTGCATGGATGGAGGAGCGTGATAAGCGAAGCGAAAACCAAATTGAAAGCGGAACCAAAATCACAAGTGAAAGCGAAACGGAGTCGAAAGGAGACCAAAAATCCAACAGAAAGCGAAAGCGAAAAGGTGAGCACAAAAAAACCCAAGCCAAGGGCAAGAAAAAAACGAATCAAACACCCAGACTCGGACTCATACTCGGACCTCGTCGGAGCCTCGCTTGGCCTGTCCCCCAAGCGAAATGAAAACAACCAGTGCCCACCGACAACAAATTAAACAACGAACAATGAACACTGCCAAACTAGCCATCCCTACCCCACGAAAATCGAATGGGGTCAGGGTCACGAGAACAGGGGGCAAACCAAGAAAATGAAATGAAAAAAGACTAACAGGTCCAAAGTTCAACAAAATAAACGAAGCAGAAACGAGAGACGAGACGAGAGAGGAGGGTAAACAACACAAGCGTCGCCACAGGACAAGCGTAGAGGCAAGCGTAGAGGCAAGAGTAGACAAGACAAATCCAGACACCAAGCCTTAAGCCTCACGCCTCCCTGCGGAGATGAATCATAAATCACAAAAGAAAAAAAAACAACCCTGAACTCATTCCGTATAGGAAAGGAATCAAAAAACCAATAATGAAAAATGAATGAATGAATGGCCAGAACGAAGAGGGAGGCAAGTGCAACGGGCATGTGCATGTGGGGCACGGTCGGGTCTAGCCTCTCCCCGTCTCCCCATCCTTGTCCTCGACTTGTCCTGGTCCTGCGCTAGGCTTCCTCTCCCACAGCCCCCTTGCCCCCTCTCTGGCTAGGTAGCCGACCTGACACGAAGTAGCCGTAGCGAACACGAGAAGGGAGGGGACAAATAGCCGTAGCGAACATGAGAAGGAAGGAGACAAATAGCCGTAGCTGACACAAGAACCGAAGCGGACAAGAAGAACACCAGGAAGAAGACCACCAAAACACGCTAGAAGAAAGGCGGAGTAGGAAAACCCAAAAAACAAATGTGACAAACAAGCCGAGTATGCCAGAACTCCTCTCGAAACCCAAAACGCCAAAAGGCAGAACAAAGCGAAGACCGAAAGAAAGCGAAAGAGAGATAAAAAAAATACCCCATGAATCCCTCACGAAAGAAAGACAGAAAAGATAAAACGGAAGAAAGGCAGAAAATAAGGAAAGAACATTCGGTCTCCCAAACAAGCACAACCTCCAGCAGAAGAGGGGAACACCAAGTTCCAACAGAAGACGAAAAATCCAAAAGCAAAGAAGAGAAGAAGAAAACCCAAGAAAAAGAAGAGAAGACAATCCAAGTCCAGAGAACCGGACCTAAGAATAAACAAACGAAAGCATGTGTAAGTGTACGAACCTTTCTCTGTCTCCTGATCCTCCTCCTTCCTACAAGCTTGAGGCGCAGATATCGATACCGACGCTGATGTCGGCTTAGGCGGCGGCAGAGGATCCGAAAGCGGCGTCGGCGGTCGGTACTCGGTATCGTCCTTGTTCACCCGGTGTATGGGACTTGGGTCGTCCATTTCGGCGTACTTGAGGGCTACACCATTCCCGACCATCTCCTCCTGGACATCCGCAAACTTCTCATCCTCTAAGTGCATATATGCGCCCCTACCTCCTCCTTCACGAAGACCCCTCGGAGAATACCCAGTACACGTATCCCCCGGAGAACAGGCAGTACACCCTGGAGTACACCCTGGAGAATAAGTAGCAAACTCCTTCCCAAGCGTCATCTCCCTATACCACAACCTCCACGATATATTCTCCAATCTCCGACCATTCTGGAGGGATTGTTTGCACTTTGAGAAGACTGTTTGTTGTTGTTGCGTTGGAGGGAATAAAGTTGTTGCATTGGAGGGGAGTGAGTAAGGTTCGGGGGTTGGGTTGAGTTGGGGGGTCGGTATTTCACAGATCGTTGTCGTCGAAATTCACGTTCGTTGACGTCGATAACCGAGTTCGTCGGTATTCGAGTTCGTTTCGTCGCCGAATTCGGGTTCGTTCCGTAGCAGTCATCATAGTCGTCGTCGCAAAATCCCCATAAAAACCAATAAACCAAAAAGAAAATCATAAGCGTCCATCCAATCACCACATCCAAAACCAATAAACCCAACAAAATCCAAACCAACCACACAAAACCCAAAAACCCAATCAAAAGAAGAAAAAGCACGCACCATTCCACAACCCCCCAACTGCCTCCCCACCTTCCAACCGCCGCACCACATCAGGCGCGAGGCAGAGCACAGGTGCCGGTAGTGCATAAAACGACGATGACATCTTCCTATTCCTCGCGATGTCGCTGTCGTCGTCTTTGTTGTTGTGATAATTGCTGTTGTTAAAGATGATGATGTTGTTGTTAGCGTCGTCGTCGCCGACGCTGGTATTGCTGATGTGAACGGGAATGGGTCTGTGTGGTTCACGAGGTTGGCGGTGGCGGTGGCACGAAGGGCGGGAACGATAATGATATCCGTTGCATAACCCGTTGTCGTTGTCGTCGTCGAGGCGGGAGCACAAGCCAAGTTCCGAATCCAAATTCAAATTCATGATAACACCCAAATCAGATTTTGATTCGGGGTTGAAATTTGGATTGTAACGATGGCGAGCGTTGGAGGGATAATCATATGCGTCGAAGACGTCCAAGGTGCCAAAGTCAGTGTCGAGGTTGGGTATCGTTGTGCAAGTGGGAGGGATCGACAAGTCGGGATAATCAAAGTCAGAAGTAGAGTCGAGTGATGAATCGACGTTGGGATCCACAGGATTTCAGGAAAAGGGAGGAGACAAGACCAGTCAGTACCGGGAGGGTTCCGGAAAACGAACGGAAAGAAAACGTCAAGTCAAGCATGGCGGGACTAAACAATTCCACACGAAAGGGGATTTCCACAAGAAGGGACACAGCAGGCCAAACGGGATTATCCATACTTAGGGGGGGAAAGTCCCGGATAGGGATGGGGATAGGGATAGGAATCAACCCCCGAATCCCAGGATGATGCCTGAGGCCTGAGGGAACAAAGAATGGGAAAGAACGGGAAGTGGAAGGACGGGAGAACGGGAGATGAAGGCTGTGGAATGCAGGCGGTGGGAGAAGGGAAGGGAAGGGGTGTGCGGGTGAGGTGAGGGGGTAGTGGCAAACCCAAGAAGAGGGGAAGCCGAAAGCCAACAGCGATAGCGAGGATAGCGAGGATAGGAAGGATGGCAAGCAAGATAGATGAATAGGTAGATACCCAAACCCATCCCATCCAAGAAGGCAAAAAAAGGATAAACCAAATAAAGACCAAAGACTCACAAAAGTTAACTTCCACCCCTTCCTCCTCAAACACCGATACGATCCACCTCGATTCCAAGGTCCGGCGACGTAGGGAAGGTAAGGTATCTTCCAAGAATCTTGAAAGCTCGGTATGCGGTACTCGGTACTCGAGATGCAGTGCGTGATATGGCGCTGGGATTCCTCCTAAACATACACCGTCAACCAAACCCTTCTTACCACCCAGAACTAAGAAGACACTACGCACCTAGGATGAGAAGAACCCGAATACTTTTAACGGTTTTTTAAAAAAACCCAAAAATACAAATGAGAAAACGAAACAAAGAGATGCAGGGGATTATACCCCGCGAGCGAGTGAGGGAAGAGAGGAAACGGGGGAAATGGGAATCGAGTGTAAGGGAAAGAGAGAGTGATAGAGCGAGGTTGAGAGAGAGAGAGAGGAGAAAAGTGAGAGATGAGAGATGTTAAGAGAGGTAAGAGAGCGAGGGCGATTGTGAAGTCGTAGTAGGAAAACACAACAACAAAAAAAGAGAAACTAGACAAAGCTCCTTCACCAGCCTACTGCAAAGAATAAGCCAACGGTCAAAGCCATAAAGTCAAGTCGAGTTGCGCGGAGTAGCTTCCGTGTTGTGCCTATGCTTCTGCTTCTGCGTTATGCCGGTGCGGATGCGTCGGGCGTTGCGCCTATGCCGTGTGTGGTGTGCAACGGTGTGGTATCCCTATGCGTACGATGCGGTGTGCAACGATGGGCGTGCGCCGTAGACTGCAATAGTCGATGGGACGCAATTGTCGATAGGATGTAGTAGTCGAGTAGCGGCGAGGCGATTCGATTCGCAGTCGTCCGTCGTCTGTCGTCACTCGTACTAAAAATCCACCAACACCAAAGCAACGAGCGAGTCTTCCAGCTTCAAACTCCAACTTCTCTTCCTACGAAATGACGATGATGTTGCCGGGATATGGATCCTAAAAAATCCTCGTCCAATCCTATCTTCTTCGTCGAGGTCGTCCAACAGGTAGGCGGGTAGGACAAACGAAACGAAAAAGAAACAGAAAACGCAAATGCGGATGCAAATGCCCACTAGCGGTGGTGGTGGTGGTACGAATGTATGACCCTGTGGTCGTAGGCGGAGAAAACGAAATCGTCAACCGTCAGAACCCCCTCACGGCTTGGAAGGTCGGACCCAAGAAAAGATTCAATTGAACCCAGCTTCAACCCAGCTCAACACACCACTAATAGATCCATCATCCAGGAATACCCGCGAAGCCGGCGGACGGACGAACCGAGCATGTGGACACGGATACAGACGAACTGCTGCGGAACGGGTCTTGCTTCATTGCGTACGTGTAGTGTGGTGTGAAGCCGGCCCGGTTTGGTTCGCTTTGGAAGTGTGCCAGTGTTGCGTGGTTCGGCCGTCTCGGGGGCGGGGTCGGTTTCGAGTTCTCGCTTCTAGCTCACATTCATAAATTGAAACGATACAGCAGGCTTGTTTCAGAATACTCTACATAGCACCTCAAAGAACAACGCAGTCCTCCTAAGTAGACCCTCAGCACAATCCCTCATCCCCCAGTTCGAAATAATAAAATCGAATTCGCAAACTCAAAACGGAATCACGAGATGAAATCACGATCACATGCCCCTAGTGACGCGCACTACACGTGGTGCGTAACCATCAATCATGTGAGGGGAGGGTGACCCGGTGACGTGACCTGCTGACCGCGAACTGACCCGGAGGTGCTGTAACTTGGGATTCTGGAAGTACTATACTGACCCAGTATGTACAACAGAGTACAATTGACCAGGAGGATCAGTAGAAGTAAGTACTTACGAAGGGCGATGAAGAAGTGTGAAAAGAATTTGGTTACCAGTCGCATCTCCGAGCACTTCTGCTTTACTTACTACGAAGACATCTGGTCCACGAGACTAGGTCATGAGTTCGATGAAGAAACTACATAGCACATTGCTTCGAATCCTGGTCACGTCCACTTCACCTACACGTCTGCGGTGTAAGACCGAACGTGTATGCGAAACGAATCGTCAGTGACACGATTCCGAAGGAATGCTTTCACTGCACCCCAACTTCCCCAAATTCACCTTTACCCCAGACGAACGCCAAATCCCACTTCCCCACCTCCCCACCCCACCCCACGCAACTAACCTTGCCTCGAGGCAAAAATCCTCTCGGAAATTATGTACTTCTCTAATTCCGTGCCGTCGCCAATCTATCATCTATGTAAGTGTATACCTAAGCTGCACATGGAAACTGACACTCCGCTTGACGATTCGGAGCAGAACAGAACGAAGTGGAATTCGGGAAGAGAACATACAGTAGTGCAGTGGTTATGTTTACTTTGAATGATTTAATGAAGACTGGAGAGGTATACTTCATTTTCACTTCAACGTTCCTCCTCCAACGATTTGATCCTCTTCTTACTCAAATCAAAACATCAATAACGTTATGAACAGGAGTCCTGCCTTTGAAAACACAGAGCTGAGCCGACGCCATCCTCCGAACGAAAGGGATCTTTGATTATAAGGTCTAAACTAATGTTGCAAGGGGTTGGAAAATGATGTTTCAATAGATCCGTTGTGCGGGGTAATTGAACGTGTCGATTTGATTTATCTCCCTCAAACACGCCTGAGCCGAGGGCAGCTCGACTTGACGTAAACTTCGCGTTGTTTTGGTTCTGCTCCGCATGTGCATGCCGCGAAAGGAGCTCTGAATCTTGAATCGCGGAGGTGTAAAGTACTACTAGTGCGTGAGTTCACTGGGCGCTCTGTCGACTTTCGAAGGGTCGTGTTGATTTAGGTTGAATTGGCCGTTACTATAAGTCGAACCGGGATCAAGTTCCAAGTCGCTGTCCGTCTGCCAGTTAGGCGCACACTGTAACTGGCAGTGAACCTCAAAGTTCCCTTCGCACATTTCTTAACCCCGGACCCCCCTTCTCCTTGTGCTTATTTTGATCCTGCTTCCGCTCCTCTCTCTAGGCCCTGCTTCGACCTCACTCCCTCCCAAACACCCCACCCACTCCCACCTTCCCTTACACCCACAATCACACTCACAGCAACAGCTTCTAGCTCACACTGATGACAGCCAGTACCCACTGTAATTAAGAAAAGAATCCTTCTTCTTCTCCAACGATGGGCGCTCCGACGAGAACTTCCCTGTCACGGCGCCCGAATTAGCCTCCCACTCCACGCGCGCTTAATCTTGTATTACTTACTTATGCGTTACCCCGAGCTGAGAGGCCTCATACCGAGTCTAGGATCCGGGGTTGACGCAACGCCTGCTTAGCTCTAGGTCTGATGAATTTCCGCCTGTGACAAAAAAATCGACTGTCGTATACTTAGCCGTCCTTGACAAAACGCTATAAAACTTCGTCACAATCACCATCATCGCCTATGTTTTTGGAGTACTGTACGTACGTTGACAGCATTTCCATTTCCTCTTCGCCTTCGCTGTCGAAAATGTGCTGATAGTAAGTCGAATCACACAAGTTGTAGGAGAACGACCAGATGACATAAAGTCTTTACTCACTCTCTACTAGTACATAAGACAGAAATAACTGTCATACGTAGGACTTCGAACTTGTTAGCCTTCTGATAGCCTTTCCATGATCGCTGTACGTGCCAGTGGCAGTTGCTCCACCGCTCCACCCTCGACGTCGAATTTCGGACATCCCTTTACACCACCACGTGCACCCACTCACCGCACCACCAAGGTCCGTTATGCAATTGATAGAAGGGGTGAACTGGAAAGGATAAATTAGACGCGAACAGAAGCAACCATCTCGTGGAGGCTTCACCTTCCTTCCACTGGTTCCGAATCCAATTGGACATACATATTTGTAACCTCAAGGGATCCGCGCACGTACTTGGAATATACATTCTACGGAATAAGACGAACTGGTTTTGTTCTAACTTTGGATGCATGGACTGCAGGACTAGACTCGAGAAAGCCGTCTTAACGCTCAGCCCATGCACGTGTACTCCCTCGGACTCTCGAGCTCACATAACCGCAGACAGTAGATCTCACCCTTCGAGCACTGGCAGGAATCACCCGGGAATACAATTAGGCGCCAACTGGGCGCTTAAAACTTCCTCTCCCTGCCTCCCTCTTCCGAACCAAACCGCCGATCCCCCGTAATTACATATATGCACCTACGAACTACGTCATACATACCAACCGAAAGGCGCCCATCATCATAATAAGCACATCGCTCGCATGGCACTGCATGTGTGCGTCCTTCCAGGTTGGAGCTCGAACTGAATTGAAAAATTGCGTCTATTCAGTAGTATGTAGAGGTGGGCGCGATCAAAGCGAACGGCGATGGCGATGGTAGTTATATATTTACTGACCCAGACGGCGACGGTGACGCGTTTTCGAGCGCGTTGGCACCGGCTGGCACCGGCTGGCAGATAAAAGTACTGTGTAGGGGTGTGTCTATTGAATGGCAGCACTGTGTACATGTGCTTCGCAAGACTGGAGGGAGTTTCAATTTCAGACCAGTTTGCAATCGATGTGCCCAATTCAATTGATGTTGATTGTCCAAGCCTGAGTGCATCGGCGTTCAAGTACAGAAGTTAGTCATATAGCAAACAAAATGAATTCGAAACGAGCCATCGGAGGAGGTGTCCCAGGGTATTGGAACCTGGGACCGAGTGGTTCGCTTTCGCTGCTTGGTAGGTGTGTATTTGCTTTACTTTGATTATGTGGGGTGGAAAGCTGCGTTTTGGCTTAAGCTCTCGTCCCTGAAAAGTCGTCACTCGCACAGGTCAAACACACTCACACTCACGCTCACACTGGCACCCACACTCGAGCACAATAGTGCCTGTGCTCAAATCTCCCAGGAACTGAACCGCAGGTTCAGGCACCCGTTCCCCACTAACAATTTAAAGTGAATACATACCCCGCACTCGGCCAAACCACCTAAACCTGCGGGAAATTAAGTAGGGGAAACGAGAGTATGTACCAGCAATTTACTCACCCCTGACCAAATTTAAAGCGCCACTCACGTTGGGCGCTAATTTCTCAAAGGATCCTCAAAATTCTCCCAGAGAAAGGCGGGGGTGTTTATGCTCCGAGATGGTTACCACCGAAGGTAACGTTTGGTGATCTTAGGCTTACTTGGTCGACGGAGCGAAGGTATACTCTATACTTGGTTGTAATACTTGCCAGTTGTATTCAGTCTAGACGAGTGCAGGATTGAGCTAGTACCCGGTCGATTCAATCTCAGGGGCGTGGACTGCAGTTCTGTGCTGAGTCGCTGACGCATAGAGGGATACGCCGTTTGGCCTGGCCTTTGAAATGAACTGGTCAAAGTGCGAAACGGAGTTGTTCAAGCCCGTCTTGCGCGTATTCGGCCCTGACCATCTCAAAACGAACCGGCGTGTAAGCACAACAGCCCGCTGAACGTTAACTTGGGATCCCAACCTGGTCATCTCATCGATAACATACGCACCGATGCCTCATGTCCTGAAGGAACGGTGTCCGTTCAACTTCCCCAGCCTCGTTTCCAAAGGCGAAGATAACCGGGGATCGACACTCCCTAAAAAAGCTACTAACACGGCACTGTAGGTCCACACCCGCAAAACCCTTCTACCCAGCCGTGAACCTCGCGGCACAAGCTGGATGTATAGCTGCCAGTTGATTGCGCACATACCAATTCCTGGCTCCTAATTACTGAGCAGTGTCGTAAATTTCTGAATACAAAGACGACATGATACTGATGGTTGGATCCACGCCTTTTGAAAGGCCGGTCTTTCAGAGTCTCGCGCGAGGGTCGAGCCTGGTTGGTCCTGATCCACGAGGGGCTTGTTTCCCCACATGGTTGCCACTTAATTCCCTACAGGGCTGTGGCTAAAATCACCTGGCTGTTTTCATTTCATTGACAACCCTTTTCATATTTCTACATTCATTTGTGGTTGAAACACACCGTCGTCCAGTTGACTGGCTCAAACGTCATGGCAGCAGTCGCTGGAGGTTCCATTTGGCCTATCAATGTCTCCCAGCTAAGCCGAGACCAAAGATTCTATGGCTGGAGCTTTGCCACGGTGTTCCACACTCTTACACATCCTGTGGTTGGTGGGGATTAAATCAAACAATGCACCTCCATACGCCCGCACGCGCCTACCTTATGGCTCCGTTGCACCCACACCCAAAGCCTCCGCCCCTTTTGCCTCCTTTCACCCACGAGGAACGTGAGGGAACGTGGTGAACTGAGCTTGAACGTGGCCATGTTGAACTGCATCAGTAGAAAAGTCATTCAGAGATTTCGTGTACTCATACACGGTGGCTCAGGTCGCAGCAATGTCATAAAGACTGTATCGATATCTGGTTGAAATCACGATGGTTCAAGTCTGAGATTGGGACCTTGAGTATTCCGTTCCAAAGACCTTCCGGCATCGCTCGTTCCGGATTCCGATCAGATGGGTCGGACCTTCCCGCGGCCACGTCGTTGAGATTGCGGTACGACCTTTACTGCAACCTCGTTGTCGTTCTCAAGGTACGTACGGTCCCACTCTGCTCTCGCCATCGCTGAACTGGAGACATTCAGGTGTCTCAGTCTCATTCACGGTTCCAGTCTGGTGGCGCCCGGCCACTAGACCCCTTGACAGGTCCAGACGCTGTAGCGCTCGAGGGGGCGGGGGACCCGTCGCTGCAAGCCCCTAGTGGCCATTCTCGTTGCACCTCTCCCCTCTCACGCTTCAGTACCGTCTCTAGTTCATTCGAAGCCAACGCTGGAGTGCTTGTACCAGGATGTTTCGGGCGACGCGCGTGCCGGGGATCCCAGAAGCACATCCCACACCATCTCCAGTTCACTCCATTCGAAACCGGAATGCCTGAGCTGAATCAGGCCGGGAGGGTGTAGCCATAAGACGGCCTCACCTAGATGGAAGGCCTGTTTTAGGGATGGGAAACATTCCGCCCAGATATTCATGACTTTCTTTTTGTGAGTATGTTGTGTTGTCTCTTCTTGGCTATCCCTAATCCGCGATTGCTCACTGGTTTGATTCTAGCGCGTGTATCACAAGTCAAAGGGGCGCATAATCCAACTCGTCAAGTAAATCACCTCTGTCCTCACCGTCCTCAGCCCCGAGGTCATCTGGATCAATAAACCTATCGTCGTCATCGCCATCCCAAGATCCCTCGTCTGTTCCAGATTCCTGTCCTGTGTCATCGCCATGGTCGCTTTCCCCGCTGTCGCCACCGTCACCATCACTGGTCTCACTGTCGTCGTCATCACCATCGTCGTCTTCACTCTCATCCTCATCATCATCTTCGCTCTCATCCTCATCGTCGTCTTCGCCATCGTCGTCTTCGTTTTCGCCATCATCGCCTTCTTCATTGTCATCCTCATCCTCTCCAGCATCCATCTCTTCATCCTCTTCCGGGCTCCCTGTTTCCATGCCCTGACTACTACCACTAGACTCTGTGCCGGGGTCTGGGGGGATGTCGAGCGCATCACGGTCCCTCAGCAGTGCCTTCGTTGCATCGTGGGTTGCAATATGGCCTACCCCATCCCCCCGGAACCTCATTATCATGTCCCTATCAACAAATCTGTACATTCTTTTAGTGTTGTGCTCTCTGAATGATGATGTCACTTACATGTTGACATGAAAATAGTTCCAGTCAGTCCCATTGTCGGTCTCGGGCCTCGCAATGGTATTCCGCATTCCGTTGCTTGACCTTCCCTTTCCAAAAACAGGAATGAGATGCACTCCTCGGATGATGTGCTTGGGGTCCAGGAAGCCGAACGCAGGTGAGTCGTCTTTCTTGGGGTTGATGAAACCTACTCGGGGAAGCCTCTTCTTCGCCCACCCTCCCTCGTAGTCAGCTGCCTTGGCCAGCCATCGTACCCATACAAAATCCATGGTGCGCTCTCGTGCAGGCCCTGGTGGTGCACCAGGTCCAGTGTACAGCACTCGAACATGGAATGTACCCAAAATCCGGGCAAACCAGTATGAAGTGTCCGAATTCTCGTGGGCAAGGACCATGATGTCAGCGTGTCGTCCGGAATTTAGTGAGTCTTGATCTCGTCGCATATCATATGTTGTGTAATTGATTCGAAGGACCTTGTGGCGGAAGAGCATGTCATCAACAATAATGACCTGGGCGAGCTCCTCATCGGTGAACTGGTGTTCATCGTCACCGTCATAAGGGAGGCCCATGAGGCGCAAACGCAGGTGCGTGAGTAGATCCCGATAGAAAGTCTACGCTAAATGAATCAGACAAAGCGACATTTTGCGAACACAGGGATGACTTACCCTCAGGGCTGGGTCATTCGGATTGTCCCGCTTCCATTGCGGAAAGTACAACTGGCACGCGCGTTTGGTTTCATGCGACATCTGGTAGGGGAGATCGGGAGCGCCATCGGGTAAGGGTTCATCTATATCGAAGTCGACTGACGCCCTAACACCTTTCAGCGGCTCGCCTTTCGTCTTCATGGCTTGACCCTTCTTTCTAGATGCTCTGAACTGGTGCATAATACGCTCGCGTCGCTGGAGCTTGGCAATCCCTTGCGTGTAATCACGGCGATCGGACTTTTCATACAGCTTTTTTACACGCCGGTGCTCGCACTCGCCCTGGAACCCGGTCAGAATAAATAATGAGAGAGAGTTATATGGCAACATACCGTCTGCGTTGAGTATCCATCAGTGGTGCCATACCTCCTAATTGCTGTAACATAATGTGTGAGTGAGTGTAGTTTGTATGTATATGGATTGAAGTGGTGCTTTTTAGGCCCTGAATTCTTCGGTGTAGTAGCTGCCTTTCCCTTTCCCTTCCTCTCCACAGCCTTGGCTCGTCGTTTTGCCTTTGCGAGGATCTCTTTTGGAAGGGCCCGGGTGTCAAATGCACTGCAAGTAACAGAAATAAACCGGCGGATTCTCTGCCCGAGTCGGGTAGTGGAGGTCTCCAGGGCATTAAGGGTAGTGGATGTGTGAAGACGTAACTTGGCTAACCCATGCCATGTAGCAAGCTCGAATAGAAGGTCCAGCACCACAGTATTGTGCTTTTTGGGAAGAAGGCCGTCGAAACAGGCAACTGCACACTGGAGACCGATGTATAAGGGCATTAAAGCAGATGGGACAGGAGGAACGAACCTGGATAATGTCCTCATAGTCGCGCCCAGCTAGCTTCCTCATATCTGAAACACGTTTTGGAAACCGACGGATAGTGTTGCGGCCATAAGTTGGAACAGCACGATAGCTTTACCACTGGTTAGCATTCGGAGTCTCGTAAACAAAATGCGGCACCTTACTTGTCATTTAATTGCTGCAGCTTGGCAGGGTCATACGCGTTCAAAATACGGATAAGGTGTATGAATATCTCCTTGCCAACACCTAGTTCAAACTCGTGGAGGAGGTCCGGAACGGCCATCGAATAGAAATTAAAACCAAATTCGTGAAGCCGAGTTGAAAATGCATTCTAATTTGATATTAGACCTTTGATCCTTCTGAGTAGCTGGGAGACGTACTCGGGTAGGAGTCAGTGAAGTCTTCGAGAGGCTCTCCTGCACATAGGTACTTGTTATCGGAATCCCTTTCACATACATCTTCTTCCTTGCATTTTCCACTGTAACCCGGCGAGCATGTGTATCAACGCGAGGGTTTTCATCCCGGGTCTTGTAATCCGATTTTGTTCCAAGCTTGGGACCATCCGTTTTTAGAACAAGGCACTGAGGACATGGACACCGTGCAAGGGTTTTAATGCACATGTGTAGTACTCTAACACCATATTGTGAGCATTGATGCACTTCTCAGATCAGAAACCACTCACTTTTCTTTATAGTCCATAGAATGTGTGAAGAAACGTGGAAACCACCGACGGACAACGCCATCAGCAAACTCCCACTCAACACCATGCTCGTAAGCCACCATAAAGTCAGGGTTGAGTAGGAATAGCCAGATTGCCTGAATGAACTCCCGACGAGCATGTGTCATCTCCTCTGCAATAGGGAGCTTCCCAAAGGCTTCGAAAAAAGCCTTTTCGTATGTCTTGTCAAGTTCCGGGATATACGCGAGATGATGGGCGGAGAATGATGATGGTTTTGCCCTCTCGTATTTCGACTGGTTCCCAATGTAGAGATAAATCGGCCAGAGTGTCGCACTGCCGAAGCTGGTTAAATGGGTTCCATCAGAATAGAGGGCAATGGCAATGACCACAGGCTCAAGCTCCCCTGGCGGTGTAGAGTCTACTAGTTTTTGATGTTCATCGTGAAAGGCTGGTGAGGTGTAGAGCTCCGAAAAGAGCTCGTCAGTCTGGTGAGGAGATGTTGGGGGGAATGTGCCGTGTTTGAGCAAGAATTCTCGGTACGGGAAAAGGTGGAACCTCTCCGCAGCGGGCTCCTGGAGGGCCGACTTGACGACTTCGAGTATTGGGCGGTAACATATGTCATCAATGGTGAATGTGGGTGCATCCTCCTCTGAAGGATGGCGGACACCAGAAGCAGCCATGCGGAATGTCGTGGATCCCTCCAGCCATGGATCAGGTGCAGGAATTAAGGAGGCAGGTCCGCTTCGGAATTTATCTATTCGACGAAGCTCTGTCTTGACCTGGATAGCCCTCGCGTCATCGAGATTGAATTCGGGCTGTTGCATGACACCAATGAGCGATTCAAAGCGCCCAATCGAGAGCTGGCCTGATCCGCCCTCAATAAACCAGTTCATCATCATGTGGGTGGTCTCGTTTGGAAATAGGGTAGAGTCTGATGTGGTAGAGGCTGACGACGATGGCTGAGGGGGTGGAACGCGATGTGATGAAGCGAATGTAGGTGCATCCGCAATGTCGTTGAGGGTTACAAATTGATCGGGGATATAGGAGGGTTTTCCGTGAGGGTAGTACCGGAAGATCTTGTAGCAATTGGGTTCTGTGTAGTATCCCCCGTCATTGGTGCCGCCTGAGTGACTGCTATCAGAAGTCTGACTCGATAACTCTGGAGCTGGGGATGGTGCACGGGAGATGAGAGCGCCAGGGGCAGGCGCCATTGGCTCATCGGCGCCTATCCGAGTCGGACCACGAGACGCCCCAGCTGCAAACGGCGCCTGAGACAGGGAATGGGCGGACCTCGTGTCGCCAAAATCGAAGTTTTCGTCATCAAGCTACGGAAATAATATTAATTTTAGACTCTAAAAGCATGTATGATTTCGTACGTTAGAATTCTCCACATTGTCAGCTTGCGCAATCTCTATCCCTGCATCCTCTGGCTCACTCCCTCTCATGCTGGCGTCTCTTGGACTATCATCCCCATCGGAAAGATCCTCCATCTCAAAATCACTCTCCAGTCCATCGTTGGGTAAGCCAGAATCTCGGAGGCCTGGTGTTGTCTTTTGTTCTCCGCGCCATTTCCTTTTCCCGGGAATACTCTTCTTGCGTCCTGGGTTGTTCCTACATTGCCACTGGTGCGACTTGACCTGTTTCTGAGTAGGGTATTTTTTACTGCAGAATTTGCAGTGGAGAACCATGGTGGTGGGGAGGCGACAACAAGGGAAACCGATGCGCCAGAGAATGCCTCCCAAGCATCCCTAATTGGGATTAGAGTTACACACAAAGCTTCGATGCAACATACTAGCTGTCAGTCACGGTTACCCCGGTCCCCAGTCCCAGATTTCCCGGACTGTTCATGTGGTACAACGCTCAGTAAGTTTTCTGAGCTATTACATTTCGGTTCTGATTTATACTGCACATTTGACAATCTATACCTCTTAGAATGGCCCTTTGCTAACTGGGATTTGAACCGTGTCGAACCTGAATCGGTCGGAGTTTGGACGCGACAAGCGCGGAGTTTGGACGCGACACATGTCGCATCGCCATCAAACTCTTTTTCTGCTGCACCCACATTGCCGTTATCGTCTCCCAAGATTTCCGTAGCCCGCGATGCCTAGCGCTGACAATGAGAATGGAAAAGACAAGTTCAAGCAACATATAAAGGGCCTTGTAAAGGCGCTGAAGGCCAAAAAGCAGAGGAAAAAGGTTATTCCACAGTGTGTAGTGTTTTCTTCCTTTCTTTCGCGTGTTTCCTTTGCTTATATCTTATAGTGAGAAGATTCTGAGCCTTTATATGAAAAAGGCGAGATGGATTAAGATTGGCGTGCATCTTTTTTTCGAGTTCCATGAGCCCATATATGCTCGATTGGGTCTCGAGCTTACGGCCGCTCCTCAGGAATCACAGGAGATCTCGGAGGAATCACAGCCTCTCGAGAACGGTGTCAATAGCATTGATCCAGCGGTCGTGAAGCGGCTTCAGCGAGCAGAAAAGTAAGTTCTACCGATTGGTCAGAAAGATCAAGCTCTAAATTCTAATCGACATATAGGGAACGCAAGAAGCAATCGGAAGTTGCATGTACAGAATTTCTGACGATGCTACCCAAGTTTCCGAAGACGTTGAAGGCCATTCATGCTGATGACCCCGACTTGCTCGAGTTCTTCCTTGACGAGGTGCGTGAATCAGACTTCTTGAAATTCTTGCCACTGCTGAGACATTCACATTCTAGATGCGAGACCAGGCAAACAGTGGCAGGAACGACGATATGTCGGAAAACCTTAAGCCGGGTTCCCACGGGCTTTTACACCACTGCCGAACTAACGGCTTATAACGGTGAACAAAAACGTTATAACTCCGCGGCCAAAATTGGAATTCCGTTGTAACGCCGTAAAAATGGGAGGTGACCTGGTCCTACCTCCTCGATCGCGGTCTACGCTCGCCCTCGTCCCAGATCCATGCCAAATGATTTCGTTGCATAGCTAGTCTATGTACAGCTTGTCAGACACCTCTTGGACGCCCCAAAACACGCTCGTTGCCCGTCGGCACGACATTTGCGAGTGGATCATGAACCTGCCGCCCGCTTTCGCAAGTTTCGAGTTGGCGCAACGGTTGCATCGACGCTATTACGATTCTGGCCTCCGCCTCGTCCGCCTCGCCCACGTCGACTGGCCTTTCCGCCTCTTGCTGGTGCTTCCTCGACTGCGACTGGCTCCAGGACTGCTGCAGGAGCAATGTAGTCATCTTCCATACTTGTCCCAGACACATCGCGATGGGGGCCAGGTTGCACGTCGATGCCCTGAATGGAGGTCGTCTTGGGGCTGACTGGGACAGGAGAGGAGGATACTGGGTCGAAGTCGGTGGGCTGAAGCTGGTCAGGCACGGTCTGTTGAACGACAACCCCATCGGTGAGTCCAATATCTTGAGGCCCATCAGTTGGCAGAGCTAACATCTCGTTCTCGTTCAAATTCATCGCCTGCAACGCCTCGGACAATTCATCACCGTTGTCGCTCTTCTCCTCACTCCCATCAGCAAAAACACGCTCGTTATACCAATCAAAGAGGTCAAGCATCTGCTGGGCGCTTTGGGGTTTCTTCAACGCCTCGAGAATAAACCGTTTACAGAAGTTGTACAGTTCTTCATAGTTGATGCCAGATTGGGGCCCGACGGTGTCCCAAGACTCGTCGGGTGAATGAATAAAAACTGTCTGAATAAAAATTAGATGTGTTGTCTGCCGGAGGGTTCCTGGGTACGTACCGCCACCACAGCTAGAGCAATCACACCAGGAGTGACTCGCTCAATCCTCCAAATCCTGCCACTGCTGTTGTTTGCCAATGGCTGCACCTCTCCGTCGGGACCAGACAGAGATGTCGGACCAAAAAGGAGGCTACGGATGAACTAGGGCGTGGTGTGCAATTAGGATGCCAGACAGATGAAGCAGGTGGATAGGAGTGCTCACCTCGACAAGCCAGATGCACTTGAAGATAACGGAAAAGTCTTTCGTTTGGCATTCAAACATGCACGGGCGGTAAACTGACGATTTGGCTGCATTGGGAAAGGAAATGAAGAGGGAAAAGGTAGTAGCACGATCTTTTCCTCGCTTTGAAGCGTTGTAGATTCCGGGAGGAGGGTTGAGAAAGGCGAAGATACGTGGAGCAGCTCTTCGGAAATTCGACCATATGGTTCGGCGGTGGACAGTCATCACGTCAATAAACTAGAGAGCGGGGCCCGGGCACGCAAGGGAAAATCAGAATTGAGTGGACGCTGCAAAGGAACTTAGGAACCACTTACAGTATCACGAAAATGGGGTGAGCGCTCAATTTTGATATGTAATTCATCAGGGATTCGCTCATAGAGCTCAGCAGTCTGACCCCGGACCTTTGAGGAAGCGGAATGGTAGCGGTTGGGGTCGGATGGATCGATATCGGGGTCGGGTTTGAGAAAGGCTGCGGGGTCAACAATGAGCTCGTCCATGTAGAGGAAATGGCGAGCCCAGCGTCCAATTTCGTCATCTTCAGAGGCCTTGGCTTTGCTGCTGCCGCTGCCTTTGCCAGATTTGCGTGACTTGAGAGTCTTGATCTCGTGCTGTAACTTGGTATTCTGAATCTTCAATTCGCGTATTTCCTTGGAGGCGTCGCCGAGAGCAAGCTGAGCAGATTTGACAATCTGATGCAGAGCCCAATCGAGTCAGTTCCATGCCCAGCTATCAATGATGAAGACACAGAGCAACATGTACCTGCATAAACTCGTCGCGTGACGTGAAGTCGGTGACGGTTGGAAGCACAAAAGTAATTTCTATGCTGTCTGAGTTGTGTGAGTTGGAGGTATCATCGGCAAGAGCATCATTGTCTATAATGCTCGAGTCTGAGACAGCATTGAGCTCGTCAATGGTGAACTCGTCTTGATCTGACACGGGGTCTGCCTGTTTTCGCCGGGTTCGACCCATTACAGAGGGAATGTGCTGGTATGGCAATAGAAAAAATGCTCCATAGTCTTATATACATGGTTCCGGTGTTTCGCTGAGCTAGTCCGCAAGCGGCAAAAGTCTATCTGGTTCTGTACGAGGCGTTGAGGTCAACGTTGTTTCTAGGAAACAAGCAAAGGAAACACACCTGGCGATGAAATCCTTAACTCTAAGGAACATATCTCCGTCGGAGACATCAAAAACCAGGTAATTCTCCTCCTTCTCTCCAAATGCCGGTACCAGGAGGGCGCCACGAGTGATTAAGCTAGCCGAGACGACTGCAAAGTGGCCTCCACTTCGGGGTTTTCGACACACTCTGAACAGCCCAAGTTCACTGTCCCTCCGTCGTTGGGCTGATGTAACTGGACCATCGTATATCTCGAGAAAAGCGAGTGGGAGTGGACGTTGGAGTTCAGGGACATTGATGGTGAAGACAGACACGAGGCGAGCAAAATTTCCAATATACTCATCTGTATTTAGCAAAGCCGCATCATATCGAGCGTGATGCTGGTAATCAGGGTTGCAGCGGAGCAGGTTCACGGCCATTTCCCAGGTGACCCTGCATTCGTAGAATGTTCTTATGAAACAGAATTCGTGGATCTGGGAAGGGCTGGTTAGCGGAATGTGTTGATGACCAAAGTGTGAGCCAAACCAAGGTTGTATTGTTCAGGGAAAATGTTGCCGGAATTTCGCCATTTTGTATTGCTGCGGAAAGGTAGTGTTCTAGAAGCGGCCGGAACTCTTTGAATCGAGAGTCTTGACGTCTCTCTGAGCAGAAACGCTCCAGAGAAATGGGCTTCTCAGGCGAACCGAGCCCAATATTTCCAAAAATGCTGGGTGTACTTTCTTTCTTCTTCCGGTGCATTAGACCACCGCCATCAATGACAACCACATCTGCTGGGCCTCCACCAGTTGCATCGGGCTGGCCTTGAGATTTGTCGCCCTCCACGTCACTATCTACATCAGAATCGGTGTTGATAAGGTTGCTTCTACCATAATGAACATCGATTTTGCTGCGGATATGGGCTGCCGTGTAACACCAGTGCTCGAGCTCAAGGATCTATGCTGTTAGTGAGTAATGCTGGTTGAGATGCTACAGCTAAATTTGAGCTTACCTTTCCTTCAAAGTTCTTGAAATTTGTCATAAACAGATAGAAATCCTTTAGGATTGGATGCATGCCTTCGTTTGGCTTGGTGTTGTAATTTCGCGTCACTCCCTTGAGGTAAATATCTCGCGGGAGGTGAGTATGCGCGTGAACCTTGGGAAATGTCCAGCTCTTTGTCGACTCGGGTGTAAGCGAGATGTATTTCTATGAAAATACTGTCAGAAACTCGAACACCTTCAGAGCCCAGAGGCAAACTTGCCTTGAGAGCACCTTCAAAGCGACCCAATTCATCTGATATCTCCTGAATGGTATCTTCAGTGTGATTTGTAAATGACGCCAGCGTGTCGAGGTTCAAGAAGTGCCGTATGCACTTCAAAAGTTCGTTTCCTGCGCGGTCTCGGGCTGGGAAGATATTGAAGGAGATGAATAGCGCCACCTAACACAAACAGTGATACGTGTGGGCAGTCTGAATCCCGAGGCTAGGACAACAAACACACCTTCATTAAATCTTCATTCTTATTGCCATCTTGGTATTTTGTGCTCAACACCTTTTTAAACCGGTTGAGACCCTGCCAGGATGGGAAAGTACTTGCTCTATAGACGTACGTCAACCCATGAATTGATTTACAACTAAATAAATTGTCTTACCTCTCCTCGAGCTCGTTCAACTTCTCCGCACCGTAATTGTCTTCAGTGTGCTTCAACAAAGCTACCCAGAGGTGCTTAGCACCAAGACCATTGTTATAACTGTGTAATCGATCGAATGAAAGTGCCCGAAATGGATTTGCATTTGCCATCTCTGCGAACGCGTTCTAAATTTAATCGTGATGTCAGTATTGAGTAGTTTCCGTAGAACCGTACCGGCGCTGCTCGTCTATCCCTTACCTTCACTGGCCGAAGTCCATCTGGCTTCAAAAACTCGTCTTGAGCAGTTAATCCCTTGGTCAGCGCTTCAGAGACCATAGATTCGGTCAGTGAAACATCACGCTCCGTATTGCTTTTGGTAAGTTCCAACATGTCCTCCACTTTCACAAGACAAATTGGGCATGGGCTTAGACTCCCTGCCCCACGTATATTGGCCATAGTACACCTAGATGGCAAATCGGTCAGCATCTAACATGAGACACTCACAAATAAATCAAGCTCACTGCTCCTCATAGTCTGCCGACAGGATTATGATGCAGGGAAAGAGAAACCGCTCAATGCCATCGCCACATCGCACCCAGCAACCATTCTTCGCGTGGCCACGAATACTATCAAGAAGCTTTCGAAAGCTATCATGCCATACAACACGCTTCCAATCGGCATAGTCCTTTTTCGATCCCTTTTTCTTGCTGCTGTCCTTGGGCTGAGAGGAATGATCATAGACAAACAAGTAAGACGGAGCGTGAATTAATGGCACCAGTGAATGGACGTACGACTGGCAGCCATCCAACAACTCGCCCGCCCCCGAGAGTCGACTCCGAGCCATTCCGAATGTCGATGGGAAGGTTTGCGAGCCTTGCATAAACGGGGTAACCCTTCTCTCCCCCGAATGACGATAGCTCAGTTTTGTCTGCATAAAGAAGGAAAGCCAACGGCTTTCCTTCTTTTGGAAGGCTAGACTATAGCGGGATGAGCGCTGGAGTTTGAATCAGAAATAGAAACAGTATAATTATACCTGAACGTCGTAGAAGCTATCAGCAGTCCACGGTTCATTGATAAACCGTACCCAGCGCGAGCGTTGCTCATCATACTTAAACAACCGCTGCGCATCCCACTCAAAAAAGGGAGACAACTCCTCATTCTGGACGAGATCCAGTGCCCAATCCCACAGTGACCGACTGTATAATGTGAAGTCTTGTTGCTCATTCTTGTACGTAGCGGGAATGACATCACATTTAATCTACCACAGCGAGGCATGCGGTTCACATACGACCGTGATAATAATGACAGCAACATACCGGTGTAAGTAAATGGGAAGCCTCCCTCCAGTACCGCGAAAGATCCTCGTATGTGTGTATGGTGAGCTTATCCTCCCCTTGCATACAGCGGTGGAAAAGCGAGAGGAAGGCATTGATTTGCTTTTGGTTCAGACAGCATCGGAGTGCGAGCTCTCCGAACTCGAAATCGGCTTCGGTGGCGAAGGGGTAATGAGGGGGATGTTTACTGGAGGGAGGGCTGGCCTTTGAACGATGTTGCCGACGATAATTCTCAAAGGCATCATGACGCGCTGGTCTTCCGGAGCTTGGGTGATATTCAGTTCGAATGTCATCGTGGTGGGGAGTGGATGGTGGTTGAGACGAGGGGAGAGATGTGGGAAGGGGAGCTAACAAGTTTAGAAAAGTCAGCACACGCAACAAATGAAGATCGATAGCTGCTGGCCTAAGCCGCTGTGGGAGACGCACCCTGAGAGGACAGATGTTGTGTAGGATCATGCCCAGCGCCCATTGCGACGGGGAACTCCTGTGCGGGCTCTGGATTCAACTGTTCTGGCCCAGACGTAGCGGTGGACGTTTCTTGAGGCATATCCGATGGTCCTAAGTTGCTGTGACGCCGACGTTTCTTCCCAATCGGACGGTCTTCCCATGGCTTCAGAGTTCTTACTTTGACAGGGGTACCTGCTCATAATTCATTCCACAGGCAGTCAGTGGTCTGGGGAGCTGCCAAGATAGGTCCACTAACCTTGCTGTTCCCGTCGCTTCTCGTCTGCTCTCTTCAATTCACGGTCCAACTGCTCATCTTGCAATCGTGCTTCGAGTTTGCGACGGCAAGTGGGGACATGCTTGACTAGGCTTTTGAAAAGCTTCTCGCATATCGGACACTTTTGTTTTCGTGGCGATTCAGGCATAATGATCGATATTAAGGTGTATAGAAGCTCAACAGACGGACTGGACGTCGAGAAATGGGAGGAACAAGAAGAAACGGTGACAGCGAGCGAGATCGAACAACATACCGTTTGAACCCCGTGATAACGCTGGGGGCCGGAGAGCAGCGCCGTTATAACTCCATATGTAGTTATAACGGCGGCCAACGGTGATCCAACGCTCCGTGCCGTTATAATGCCGGTCTAGACTTTTCCGACATAGCAAGAGTCTGAAGTCTGATATCATTGCCTATATCCCTCTTGACCCCAACATCGATCATGTGAACCCACCGATTGTGAAAGGAAGCTCGAAGGCGATGCGTGGCTACAACCATGACGTGACTGGGGGCCTTTTGGTCCCGCTTGAACTCTTTGATGAATGGCAAAAAAATCCCGCGTGCGTCGCTCCTTCTTTCTACAATTTCTACGGTGGTCTCTGACAAGATTATGCAGGAGATTCCGCAATAAATTTAAGGAGGGTAAAATCACAATCACTGAAGAGATATGGCCACGTTTTTGTTATCCCGAAGGTACCAAGTACGATCGTAAGCGAACATTTTCTGGTCTCTTCCGTGGGCATTTGATTGTCCGGGTGCGTTGTACTCTCTTCGTCATTCTGTCTATTATTGCTGACATCTACAAGACTCTAAATCATATCCTTACCGGCCCTTCGACCGCGTTCCAGACCGACCCCGACAAGAATGCAAAGTCGAGCAAGGCCCAACTTCACAAGGTTGACAGAGTCGAAACTCAGCATATCGCCTACGCCGCCACTCAGTGTTACCTTCATCTCTCATCCCTCAGTAGTTGGAGCGAACTCGACAACCAGTTCTCACTACGTCTTTTTTACGAGAACATTATTGCAGTCCTTTCACTTGACATCCCGTGGGCAAAGGAGACATTGGAATGGTACCAGACGTGCGTAGTAATTCGTACACCCTTTTTTCTGACTGATTCGGTATCCTGGCGTATCCAGCCAGGTTCCTGGACTGCACAAGGTCAAGAATGGTAGTCGTGGCAACAATCGAGCAATCCAGCAACGGGAAATTGACCCTGTTGCATTGCTGTTGGAGCAAGCCCAAGCGGATGAGGCTGAAGCTCACCCGCCGCCACCTCCGACACCTCCACCACCTCCAGCGTCTCAGCAACGTGTCAGCGAGCCTCCTCGGCAAACCAATCCGCCCCCTACGCAGTCTCCACGCGCAGCCACATCACCGATTCCTTCTCGAGAGCAACCCACACCACCAGCACCGAGTCCACGAAACGACGATCAACAGAAGAATGACGCCGACCTGGAGGAGAGTCTATTCCCCGAGGACGAAGAAGAGGATGCAGCCGGTGCCCAATTCGCACGACGACGACGTACTAATGATGGAAAGGTGTGTATATCTGTCGTTAAACTCTTGCTTTCAAGCTTCAAGACTCACCATCTGAAAGGACAATGAAACCGCTTGCGATGATGACGATGACTTACTTCTCGCGGTGTTTGGGGGCAGGGAAAATGGTCGGTCTGACAGTCCGCTTTCAGAACTCGATTTTCTTCCCGAAGATGAACCCGAGGTAGCGTTACAATTCCCTTGCCGTCTTTCTTGCTACTGATTGGTATCAATTCAGGTCGCAGTTCCGAAAAAGAAAAGCAATTCACGCTCGGCAGCACAGCACCTAAACAGTGACGACGAAGACGACGAGCAACCTGTCCCCTCCAGGTCTCGCTCAGCCAGGCAGAAGCAACAGCCAGTCGACGATTCGGTGAATGCTTCGCGTCAATCTCGGTCTCGGTTGAAGAGAAAAGCGACCGACGTGGTGGAAGATGGGGGTGACGATGAGGAAGAGGAGCTCGAGGAGGAGGATGCGCCAAAGAGGAAGAAGAAGAAGGCAGAAAAGGCGAAGAAGCCAGTAAAGGCGAAGAAGAAGTAGTCCATTGACAATCGCATGCATCAGGTAAGTGGTTATCAGCTTAAGCATCGAATGTACCTGACTTCCTGCTAGAATTATTTTCCTCCCAGTATCAGATCTCCGTCTTCGCGCTTTGCTTCCCCAGACTTTCACACTACCCTTGCTTTGCTATTAGCTGCTTTCACTCTCGTGTTTCCCTGCTTTGAAACGTTCTGTCTCTATTGCTTTCCATTTGCAGTCGTATTCAAGATGTTCGTGTGCGTGTACTTTACGGTCTCTTACTCTAATGGATGATGTCTGCTGCCTGACTACTCCCTGTGTACTCCTCCTGGAACTGAGGATCTCTGTGGAAGCCTGAGGAGAACGGAGCCACCTGTACAGAGCGATGGAGATCTGGCGAACCCTGCGGGGATCTTGCGCACTCCCAAGGAGCAACGGAGACCCGTCGTAACCTGGAGAGGAACACCAGACCACCCGGCACCGGTACGTCACTTTGTACCCAGACCGACCACTCGCTGACCTCCAACTCAGTGCTAGGCCATTTCTGTCGCCATCTGGGCTCAACGATCGCGATAGGTGAGTCATCTCCCTTAGAGGTCATCGATTGACTTTTCTACAGATGTGAACGCAGTGTCGTAACAAAGGTTTAATTACCGGAAAAAGTCGCGACTTTTGTGGACCAGTGCGACTCGGACTCTCGACCCAGAGAAGCTCGAGGCTTCAAAAGCTTCCTCGACAAGTCGGCATTCAACTCACTCGAGCTCGAAAGCTTCGTTGAACCAAGACGAATATCCATGACGATATAGTACATACTTACGGCCGTGCCCGTGATACCTATGGGTCCTGAATAGACGGAGGAAGACTCTGGAAGACCTCGTATGACGGAAGGCCGCTTCTTTCTTTTGCTTCACTGACTTCTACTACCAGCTTCGCGTGAATTCATGATTAAGCCGGGTTTGAAATCAACTCGAATGGAGTCTGGGTAGCGGCATGCTCCGCCTTCTTGCCTTGAAATACGCCACTCAACTTCACACCGGTGGTCTTTCACCTGCTTTCCTTAACCCGCACGTCGCAAGGACGTACGTACAAGTTGCGATGCCGATGCCCAACCCGCATTTGAAGACGCCACCTTTTGTATGCATAGAACTCTCGTTTCTCTTTCAACTGCGTGTCTATGACGTCCTCTGCACCCTCCGCGCTTCGCGAAGACCTCACGTCGTCATCGCGAACAGCCCAATTCAACACCGGTTATCATCCCTCCTCCCAACCACCCAACTTCCTCATGATAAACACCAAACGGATTTCAACGGCAAACAAACCGCGTCGAGCTTGAACGACTAACTTCGAAGTCTGAAATTCAAACCCCGTTCGGTTTGGTTTACTTTCACCTTTTTCTCGAGCCCTTCTTGGCGCGTTCGAGCAGCGCGGGTTCCCTCGGCGGCAAGCGGGTACGCAAAGTCTTGGCGCCTAATCGATGGCGGCGCTTAACCTAATTGGGACCAACCGTCGTGGAAACAGACGCGCAGAATCGATGGATGGTACGGAGAAGTTCGCTCTTCTCTTATCGATTTGGGGCAGATGATTGTGGGTAGGCAGGTAAGCTGATTGCTTCATGGTGATAAGTACATGGAGCTCAGTCTGCATGATTCTCGAGTTCCGGCCAATGAAAGGACGTTGAGTTGAATGGGAAGGCGGGCTTGGCGAAGAGGGAGTCGCGTGCTAATTAATGGGCGCGTCGTGTGATAGAATATGACATTCTCCCCGGGTTCATCGCAGTTCTGATATCCTGTAATGTATTAGAAGACTCGTGACACGGGCCTAAAACGTTGGCTGGTTCTGGACTCCAGCGCAGGATGACGCATCCTCGAAAATTGGGGGATCGTAGATGTCCGACCTATGCAAACCAGGTGGTGTTCGTGCACGTGAGCGCTTACCATTGCCCACCAGCGCTCTTCGGGAGTAGATCATGGGAATTCGGGCCCGAACCCTGTGAGTCTTGAGAGGATGCTCGTTATTTCAGGCGCGGGCAGCACTACCGTCCACGTACCCAACACGTTGCCGCCCATAAAGGCACCCCTCTGTGCCAATCCACACCGATAATGAGCCGTCTCCGACTTGTCGTTTTCCCCTCATCAGCAAATGAAACCAGGATCAAGGCCCTTGATAGACCTCCACAACTTTATCAATCACAACCCATGACTGATCTCGCGTATGCCAAGGAACGTGCACTTCACTGCTGACTGACCAAAGTCACTCTATCGCTAACAAATTCGAGATGATACTATAGTCCATACGCTTCTGCGGTCGGCCGCAGGGTATAGGGCATAGAGGACATCTGTAGTTTTGGAGAGATCTATCCCGCTTCCTAGCAGCAAACTCGAAAACTCGTTCGAAACGGCTGCCAGCCGATAGGCCAATCCCAGGTCCCAAGTTCACTGACACCAAACCAATCTTCCGGTGCACCGGTGATAAGGCCCGAAAATCCTTCCAATCCTCCTAATTCTCGTAAACACCCCGAATGAAGAAGCACAGGGCGAATTCACCTATGTTACTCCAGGAAGAAACATACCCTGCCTCGAGGCTAGTCAAACGTCTTCATTACATTGAGTTCGAATGAATCGATAGGTTTATTGTTAGCCCGGTTCTATGCCTGAAGAGTACCCACTGCTCATATGACTCACGACCCCGCTTATTAGCGACGTCAGATCTTAATAGAGGATAACTAACATCAGGAAGCACGGGAGAGGAACGACGAGAGGAAGATGAGATGGCTTTGGGAAAGATGCTCCAGTTCTTGGTGGTATTCTCCCTGTTTTGTAAAGCAGGATGTGAAAAATGCGGGGGTTAGGACCACATGAGCGCCTATATGTGGTTACTTCCAAGCAGTGGTTGCCTCGAGGCAAGGGGGTGGATCGGGTTCTGGCCATAGTTGCTGTCGGCTCATCGGTGCGATAAGATAAGATTAGACAAGGGATGGGCGTCCAGGCCGCCGCGGCGGTGTTCGTGTTCGTTCCACTGCGCACCCTTCCCGTGCGTCGATGTTTACAATGCAAAGCTGAGAAGACGATGAAACAGGGCATCTCCAAGAACATAGAGCCTATAACGGCCAATACGAAACTCAATTTCAACTCCCGATTGAATCTCGAAGGCAAAGTAAACATGTTCGCAACGTTCAAACATAATCCATAACCTTTGCCTTAACCTGCGTGAAGAAGTTAGTACACCGTAATTCTTCAATGACATAGTCGATTCAATTCACTCACGTTCGCCTCGAGGCTCGATCGCACATTCAACGATCGTCACCCAGTCTGAGATGAAAGGAACGAAATGAAATCATGACTGGCAATCATTATCTTCCAGCTTCTCTTACAAAGATTCGTATGATCCGTTGTATTGGAAGGAAGAGACGTAAGGGGTCGTGGGCTCGTTATCGTTAAACAATGTGAACATGAGGCAATCGTGTAGGTGCCTTTAGTCAAAAGGAGACCAAATGGGGTCCCGGTGAACAAGGTGTGTGCAGTAGCAAGGTACAGAATCGTCAAAGATGCAAGGAGGTTCGTTCAATGGGATAGGGGGCGATAGAGGTATATGTCGTTAGAGAGATAAAGGGGCCATAGAACGGGGAAGAGGAGAGAGAGAGAGAGAGAGCATAACACTCTGACGGATGAATGGTAAAGTACACATACAATTTTAAGACGTACAACTTTTGGGAAATGGAACAACAGTCTCGCGGGAGGCGAGGATAAAGACGAGGGAATAAACATACGTCAATGATAGCAGAAAACGAGGCTGAGAATAGAGATAGATAACCATGGAAGCGAGAGCAGAACAGTCATGGGCAGAAAATAAGGATAGAGAAGGGTTGAGGGTGGGAGATAGAAGACACACATAGCAAAGCTTGGATTTTTGACAGCGGGAGGGAAGACAAGAAGGGGGCGGGTTTTGGAAATAGGATTGTCAATTTCGCTAGCAGGCCGCCCGCCTATTAATTTGAATCCCAAAGTTACCCTTGTACAGGGTCAGCTCTGGGAATCGGAATCGCATCCTAGGAGTGACGATCGACGGCGCCAGGGAATCGGAGAATGGCGAAGCTACACCCCCAGCGAGCCTTCACCACCACCTCAGCCCCACCAAGAACCCAGCGCCATGAACGAGGCGCATCTGCAACCACATATCGCTGGACCGAAACGAGGGCACGAACTCGTTTAACCTTTCGTTTCAATTGAGTCACAGCCATAGTGTTGCTTCGCGAGTTCGCATCGGGAGGCTTGGGAACCGAGAGCTAAAGTAGGCGACGATGCTTTCGAGGGTTGACGCGTGGAAAGCCTAAATGGCATTTGAATTGCGAAGGTCGATGTATAAATAGGCGGCGGACGCGAGGCGAGGTGGGGCGCGATAGCGAGGGAAGAGGGAACGCAAAACAAGGGTAGGTCGTACGTATGTTATCGCCACAGGGTCTGATAGCGTAAACTGGCTTGGACGTGTCAGTCGACGAACACTGAACAGGGTCCTGAATTGCCTGAGTACCCAATGTCCAATACAAATGCCTGTCCTCCGTCACCCGTGTGAGTCGCTTCACAGTTAAACTTGCCGAAGGTCAAAACGTGTGCGACGGGCCATGGGCAAAGGGTCGGATCGTCCAACATAGTCCGCCGGACTTGTTATCGGAAACAGCGAGATCGTAACCGTATGAGGATCACGAAGGCGCCAGATCGAGTATGTCGAAGGTGTATCCAAGTTGGTGGTTCGTTGAGTCGTTTCAATGTCGTGTACGAGTGGGCGTTGGTGTTGGCCGTTTTTCATGTTGCGATGCAGGGTTGATTGTAATGTGACAGAGAGAAGGGAAGCTGCAAGAGACATTCAGTTCCCTTCTCCAGCAAGACTGAGAAGGAGACTTACAGAGAAGATAGCATGCGTTGTGAAGACTATAGGGAAGAGGATGGAGGAGCACTGTTATACACGACCTGCGCGCGAGCCATAGGATGATGGCTTTGGAGATGTTGTTCGTAGGCGACGGTGAATTTTGAGTTTTGGGTTAATTCGTCCTGAGGAGGTGGTACACCCGCAGACCGACTCGAATCAACATGGCGCTCCATGGGCGTTGAGGGCGACATTGGGGAACTTGGGTCCTCGGCGTGGCTCGACTGCTGATGGTGGTGGGGTTGCGTCGATGTCGAAGGTTGTTGGGGGTAGGTATATGTAGAGTACGATGTTGGCTGTGTTGGAGGCGCAGCCACCGTCGGCGAGGACGATGAGGCTGACATAGGCGGTGTCGAGTACTGGTAGACGAAGGAGGTGGGGGCTAGCGGTGGCGAGGTCAACTCGGGTGAGGGTGGTGACTCGACTTTTGGAGGAGCGTCAACGACCGGCGTTGGCTCAGGTGGAGGTGCGGGGCGGGAAACCTCTTGGTTGGAGGAAGCTGGGAGGTTGCTAGCGGTCCTAGAAGGCGACGGAGATGATGAATCGAAACCTTCCTCGAACTTGCAGGTTCCCTTTTCGAGATGGTACTTCAGACCGTTTGGATTGAGGTATGCCTTGGTGCAGCCATGATGCTACAGTAACGCAGAACATCAGAAGACGAATGAAAAGCAGCCGTGAACGTTCAACTTACGGGACACTTGTAAGCCTTCTCTCGCTTACGACCCACACCTGCAGCCTGTCCCAGTGGACCCGATCCGGCAGCAGGCTTAGCCTTCGGCTTCACGACCTTGCCTCCATCGCTCGAGGCAGCGTCAACGGCAGGACTACCCTCTTTACGTGTTTTTGACACCTTTTTCCTATAGGCAGACGTCGATTGCGGGATGTCAACCGCAAACAGATCCAGCTCGTCGGGACTGTCTTGCGATTCGGAGAGGGACTCCTGGCCCCGCTGTGCCTCGTCGAGTAACTGAAGCTGCCGTTGCCGCTCGAGCTCAGCTTCCTCCTCCCTCCGGCGAATCTCGAAGCACGCAGTCTCGTAACAGGCATAGTCCCTAGAGAAGTCGTATTCCGGTCCGAATGCTGAGATGACGTCGAGACTAAAGGGGGAGAGCGGGCTCGGGACAGGTGGTTGCACAATGGAGATGGCGAGGCCGAGATAGGGATTGTATTCCACCAGTGGCGGAGGGTCGTGTGATACGATGGTCACAGAGTCGAAGGACTGCTCCGGTGGAGATAGTGGAGTAGCTGGCATGGGTGGAGACGAGACCACAGAAGAGGAGCGAGAAGAAGCTGGCGTTGACGCAGTAGATTCGATAGCGGAGGGACAAGGCGATGGAGAGGAGACGTCAGTGTCTATTTTAGGTGGCTCGGGTCTCTGGGGTGCAGGGGAATTTGAGGAACGTCGCTGACGCGGTCGCAGGGATTGTGAGCGGAAACCCTGAGGGGGGTAGATTTTCTTGCCACTGGGCATGACGACTGACACATGGTTCTCTTCAAAGTGGTCGATGAGAGCATGGAAATCGGGGAGATGGACTCCACAACAGACAAAGTTTGAGCACTAGAACCTTGTTAGCGTAAGTCGATTCAAGCCCAACTGTTATACTCACCACTGTGCGCTCGAGAGAAGTGATTCGATCGTCGTGATTCTGTAACAGCAACGAGGAGGCAGGATGATCGGCAGATGTGCCGTACATGATCGACGAGGATATATCTGTTGGCCAGGGAGAATTCGACGGTTCAGCAGCAGCGGAAGGTTGAGCAGCGGCCAGAGGCAATTGCATGCTGAGGGCGAATGGGGATCCAAGAGTGGGCTCTTGTTTAATTTGCGGGGCGTCTGGTGAAGTGAAATCTGAAATAGACTGCCGAGGCAATTTAGAGCATGAGGCGTGTTGGGTGTCTATCTCGCCCAGATCTTCCGACCAGTGGCATAACGCATCTGCGGGGCTGCTTCGCCTAATAGAGATATCAAAATCAGTATTGCGAACCATGCGCTGAGTTTAATCTCCGTGCAGAAGCGAGTTATCGATGGGATTTCAATGCCAGATGTTGGCACGATAAAATATGGCACCTGAGCATGCCTTGCGATGGGAATAGAAGAACGAGACTACGGGGTAGAGTAATCATAGTTGAGACTCACTGGTGTTCGAAAAGAACATGTGGCTGATCACATTGCCTTTGTGCGGTCATAGTGATTGAGAAAAGTGTTCCTGTTGATGGTATGATGGTCTTGCGAATGACTGCTTGGCTACAATTGCGGGCGATCGTGAACTGGTAATGTGATGTTGGGGGCGTAGAACGTCGAGGAAACGCGGGAGGCGGCGTGGGTGAAGATAAACGGATTGTGTCTTATGGCCTGGAAGGAGAAACCTGCCATTAGCAACGAGCGTCCGTTAATATCCTCCAGGGGCCGAGCTATCAGAACGTCTAGAAATGCGTTGACCACCTGTGTCGATGGTGTCAAAGGTATGGCATGAACGTTAGGAAACGAGAAACGGTCCTGACTCAGGCACATCGCGTGCATGTTTCGTCGCGACAGGTCGGGGAATAGGAGAGAAGCGCACGAAAAGCCAGTACGAAAATGAACAACGATGAAAGAGGCATAAGGAATATCGGATACCCCTTTGAATGATGAAGAAGTCGAGGAAGAGATGGACTTGCCTGATCAAGCGATGCCTTCTGCGACAGCCTCGGTAACTTGAGCACAGTCAAGGAGGGCTTCTTGGGAGGTTCCCTGGTCCCTGAAGGTTGTGAAAAAGAAGGGAACGGGGAGGAAGGGAGGAAAGGCATGGATCCCAGGCGAACACATATATACTTATGCCGGTTTGTAGGACCGAATATCCAACAAACGATCCTTGCGCATATTGCTCCGCCATGCTCATGCAGAATGGAAACTCCAAGAAACCAGATTAGCTCTCTGGGGTTACGGAAGCCTGTGGTTCCTGGGCAAAGCCTCGCTGCGCTGTGTGAACATTTGGGATTTCCGCATTGGAAATTTTCCATCACGGCAAAACCTTTGAAATGGTTCCGAGCCAGAATGGATCGGGTACTTTTGTGGCAGGGAGCCCGAAGGTCAATCAGACAGCCAACGTGACTTCCTCGTGACTTTCCTCCCTCGTGATCGTCTGCTCGTTCAACGTCGTCATCATCTCCCTTGTTTCCTCATGCTCGTGCGTCAAGGCTGCTGTTGTTCAAGCCCTGGATACAAGGAGATCATGAGAGCCCGGAAGACGCGTCCGTTCCATGTTGTTATCTACCACGTAACAGGAGTCGTGCGCGTTAAAAGGACAGAGAGAGCAGGTGACGCTGGAATGTGACGCCTCGGTAAATTACTACCCATAATGCATCGCGTTCTTTTCTACCTGGCAAGTACCAAATGTTATCAATCCTTCGCAGTTTACTACGCTTCCCCCTCCAGTGCTGGCGCCATCGCCGACTTCACCAACTGCTGCACAAAAATATCACCCGCCGCCTTGAGATAATCTCGGATCGCTGGCTGGTTCGTCAATCCTGCTTCCGCCATTCTCACCCGAAACTCGGCCAGAAGCCCCTCCAGTCGTAGCAAAACACACGACAAGTGGCTCTGATCTTGTCGCTCCTTTCCCATCGCTGCGAAATCTGCTTTCAGTCCAGGACCATGCCTATCATCCCTGCCAGAACCCTTACTTACCTATCCCTTCCACCGCCACCATCTCGCTGAATCGTCTCCTCTCCGCGCTTAACTCCATTGTTAACGTCTGCAGCGTCGCCATCTGTTGCCGCATGTCTCGCTCTATATCACGGATTTTCAGGAGATCTGCAATAGCCTACGTCAGCGGTCTTCATCTTCGACCCGGTCCTCTTTCGCCTCACGTCGATATTGCCCCTCCCATCCCGTACTAACCGGCAGGCCTTGCCTCCCGGGCAGGTGTGTATTCGCATACCAATGCTCTGTTGCATCCTTTGACCATGTCATCTCCCTGGCCACTTCAGATACAACATATTCCTTCACGAAGGAGCATTCACTATTGTCCGTGCATGTTAAGAGTGATTGATACATTCATATTCGTACTCGTTTGGGGTTGCAATGTCAATTGACGGAGGAGTGGACCCGGCAATCGTCGAGGAGGATGCAGGCGGGAAAGAACCTTTTTTCACATTAGAATGATTTGGGGAGACTGCGGGGGGAGTAAAACAAACGGTTTCCATTTCACCACGAGTGAGCGTTGATTGCAGAACATGGGGAGCAGAAGAGGTCATGGAGATGTGCATATACACAGGATCGTTCGAGTGCCGTGGTTGGGGAACAAGAGAGGAAGGAAGGATGATATTTATAATTTGTGAGTTCAGAACGTCTGGTGGGATAATGTTCGGGTGTAAGTTCGGCAACCGCTCAAATGGCGAAGTCCAGCGTTTCGTCCAAATGCTGCCAATGTGGATGTCAGAATTAGGAAGAAGAATAGGAGGGGTGAAGTTACCATAATAAGTAGAGCTCTGTGGACAGGACCTGGTGTGAGAGAGGAGGTCATTGGTAGGACTGCGCAGAAAGGCAGGGCAAGAGTAAGTTTAGAGCATGAAGACGTGGATGCACGATTACGCGCGGTTTCTGGTTGAGTTTAGTCAAGAAAGGGGATGGATGTCAAACAGTGACATCGCCATTGAGGCACTGCCCGGAAGATCGGAAGCCCAGGGAGCTTCTGGCGAGGACCCTCGGCGCGCAGCGTCCGCTCCCCACAAGTGATCAGCTTGTATGGCGCGTGGTGATGACGACAAGCCGAACAGCTAATAAATTGGCCTTTCGCGCTGGGATCTGCATGGTCGAGCGGCAGCGGAAGGTCTTTCTGCAGATGCGCAATGAGGATATTCAGCCTGGCTAAACGTTGCGGAAGGGAACCTTGAGGCGGACCTTGTACATTCGGAACCCAAATTTCAAGAGTTCCTGATGCGCCGCCCAGAGCATGTTTGAAATTCGTCTTCCCAACCCTGCACGAAATATGGTCGTATGGGCTTATTTCTCAATACCACGGCGTTAGAGTGTTCAATAGAATCGATACCGTATGAGCGCTGGTGGCTGAGATTTCGGGCGCAGAAACCAGATATTATGTGCGAGACTGGTTCAGTTGTCCACCTCAGACCACCTGCGGCCATCGCTGGGCAACCCAACGTCCAGCTGACGCCCAAATCCCAAATGGCGGCCTGGAGATATGAGGTCGTGGCAAGGTCGTGGTCGGAGCCAAAGCTTCGTCGTCGGAACGACTGTGTGCTGTTTTCCAAATTTGGACTCCGTTCGTGATGCCGGTCCGGCAATACCGATCTCAGCATGGGCGCCAAATTTTGTTGGCTCGATCTCATTGGAGTTTCGGGAGTAACAGGGGGAATGTTGATTTACAGAAGAGTCTAAAGAGGATACAAAGCGCGTTTAAGGTCCGTAGCTCGCTTCACAATCGTACCGCCCCAGAATGAGTGGTGAATTGAGGAAAAGGAGGGAAAGAGGCCAGGTGAAAGTCTATGACATCAATAGATTCCACCTCATGTCGCGATGTCGATTTCCTCCTTCAATTGCAGTTAAGCATCTTGGCACAGGGGCCGCCAAGATGGTAGATATGAGCCCATAAATCGGAATTCGGGTGAGGTAAACCGAGGCCAGTGGTCTGCAGACCTGTTGGAAGATGGTCACGAGGAGTGGGCGGTCTTGGGCACTCCTATTCATGGAGTCAGATTTCCTCAGAAGTGCTGTGCAGTCCGTCTTCAATTGTTGCAGGTCACGATGTATACCCTTCATCCTAGAAGGTGCATTTCGTCTGAGACTACACACATGCACAGCTGCCAGGTTCTGCCGCAGCTGGTACACAGATATAGAGTGGAGCAAGGCTTATCTTAAAGCCCTTCATTTAACGAAATGAAGTGTTTTGATGACCCTGAGTGCTGAGACGTCGGAAGGGACTTGAGCAGAACTTGGGTCAGACTCAGACTTCCAACCTTTGCTTTGTTCGAGCACTAGACAGGATGCCGCCCGTAACGCGTAACGCCGCATGCGCTATGGAGTTTCCGAGGGCCCTGGACTCTGAAATGGTCCCAAGGGGATTAAACACGCACAAAGCAGCGTGTGGGGGAGCACGATAAACCCAAAGACACATTCTCCAGCTTATGTAGAGGACATCAGTGCAAGACCTTCGGGTATAGGCTCCTAGTGACTTTCTCCTCCTACAGGGCGTGTGGTCAAGATCTGCCAAGTTGGGCGCAATAAATATGGCACGTCAAACTGTTTGATGGTGCAGGTGCAGGGTAAGGGTACGTTCTGAGTACATAGTGCTTCGCCAGCAGCCGCGCAGTGCGCCACCCTGCCTACTGCGTCCGAAGGTGCTGAGTCCTTTGTCCGATGTTGCGTGAACGAGTCCGGGTTTAATTGTCGGAGGGGTTGCGAGCGAGGGAGGTTTCTCCGTGACGTGGTGTTACTACTGGTATCCTCGGCATAACTGGATAGGTGCTTTCTGGTCTATGGAATACAGTAACCTACTCCCACCGAGATTCGGGGCGCTTAATCCCAAGGTTGCTCTCTGATAGATGTCACTACGTCTACCTTTACGAGTTCAAACAATTGCACGGCATACGGATGCCACAGCTGGGCTCATCCAGTCGACAGGACATCGCGGTTCGATGTGAAGTCATCCTCAGGTCCTGGTCGAGCTTTTGGTGTGACCTCACCTATCTTGGCCTCAACCAATAAATCAGAGGCAAAGTCAGCAGGGGAGCCCCAGAAACTGTGTATCACTGGGCACGAAATATCTTCACGCACTCTGCGCTCAGAATAGCCGCTCTTGACCTCTTTAGTGATTTTGAATAGACGCCCACGCGGATCAGACGGTCCGGAATCAACCGGTTCACGGCCATCATCTTCGTGGCCTCCCAGTCGCCGGCACACTAAGCTTCTCCTTCCACCATCTCGTCTCGAAAAGCGGCGCTGGACGACAGCCAAATCCACCAATAACCAATAAGTAAAAAAAGAAATAAACGCCGGCAGTGCTGTAGGACTTCGACAACAGCGTCGTACAGAACCTGGCCGAGTAAGCCGTCACGCAAACCATTTGAAAACCACGCCTAATAATATAGATTATCAGAACACAGGTTACGGCTAACCGCAGCAAGCCCTACAGCAGCGGAGCTGAGTCACTCTCGGTGCGTAAACGGCCCTTGGAATCCAACCCTTTTCTCCTCAGAACACTGAGTAACGACTCAGAACCACGGCCTTTCAGGGTTTAAATGTCTTCCAACGAGGAATTCGAGGACTACGACCTCGAGTACGAGAGTAAACCGGGACCAAGCGTTCAAGGCGCCGGTCGTGTACCGTCTGTGAAGAAGAGGAAGCTCAATAGGGCTTGTGATGTTTGTAGGAAACGGAAAGGTGCGCCGAGATCATGTCTAGAAGTGACTTTTGGTCTGAAGGATTGGATTTAGTTCGCTGTAGGTCAAAGTTTCTGGAAGAACGATATATTAGGCTCATGCTTAACCTCAGGCGACTTTGTGGAACTACCCTCTGGGACATTAAACAAATGTCTCAACTGTTTCTCGGCCAAGGTCCCTTGTACATTCAATGCAGATGGCAAGGTAAGCCCTTCATTACATTCATGACCATTTGCTGAAGGATCTCAGCCCAGGGAGCCGACTAAGAGGTACAGCTATCCTGTCCTGTCCATGACACCAGTCCTAACAATCATCAAGCCACGTTGAGATGCTAGAAAGCAAGATCAAGCGGACAGAGAAGCTGTTAGAGCGAGTACGTGTTTTCGTTCACCGGCTTATCTCAAGTCTGACGACCCTCAGCTATGTCCAGACGAAACAGTACGGCAAGCAATGTTAGAGGGCAAGGTTGACCCATCCGCCTCCAAGTCAGAGCTGAATCGTATACGACACGAAATGATCAAGGCGCCCCACGCCGATGCAACCACACTCGAAACCTCGGGCCCCCTGATCGTTCCACGCCCAGGCTTCCTCGATTCTTCCAAGGGTGCACGATACTTCGTAGGCGAATCGAGCGAGTCGGATATGATTCGACGTGCCATCGTGTTGAAAGAGGAATGGGAACGAGGTCAGACGAGTGCGCCCAAAAAGACACCGCCTTCCACGAAAGGCGACGCGGATGCGTGGCTAGCGCGAAGACGGCCAGAGTTCTGGTCTTTACCCTCTGTGCGTACTCTCTCCCTCATTGACGAGGTCCCGCCCTAATCTCGCTCTCCGCAAGGAAAGTGGATAAACCACAAACGACAGGATGAATCGCGATACCCCTTCCGTTTTCCGGCTAAACCGCTGATGCAGAACCTCATCTCAAAGTACTTCGAAACAGCCAACCTCCATCTTCCGCTCATACATCGCCCGACATTCGAACGCGAGATACAGGAAGGTCTGCATCTGCAGAACGACTCGTTTGCAGTCACAGTGCTCCTGATATGTGCAATCGGCGCTCGGTACTCCACCGACCCCGAGGTGTTCCTCGACGAAACAGACATCGAACAGGCGGTAGAAGAGTTCAAGGCTTCAGCACAGGCCAAGGACCACGGCATCCTGGAAGAAGAAATCGACAATCTTCGTGCAAAGTGGCGGAAGAACCTACGTCACTCGAGGGGATGGAAGTACTTTGAGCAAGCGTGGGGTGCGAAAAGCTCAGATCGTCTGTTGCTGGGTCCGACGTTATACGATATCCAGTTCTACAGTGTACGTACTCTCACAGCCACTTGTTCTACCTGTACTGACTACTGCCATAGCTGAGTGTTCTGTTCCTCGGCACCACGTCGTTTCCGCAAAGCTCGTGGGCGCTGGTCGGGATTGGATTGCGCCTTGTGCTAGAGTCGGGTGGGCATCGTCAGTTGGCTGGAATCGATTCGCCCAACGCGCCCGTGGAAGCGGAGCTATGGAAACGAGCCTGCTGGTACGTATCTTCCCTATCCCATCTGACCACAATTGATGACGATCCTTCCTCAGGGTGTTGGTCTCCATGGATCGTCACTTGAGCTGCTCAACGGGGAGGCCTTGCTCATTGCAAGATGAGGAGTGCGTCGTTCCTAGATATTCACATTCGGCGGTCTCTGATCGATCCCAGGTTGGACTTAGAGCTCCCAGTAGAGTGCGACGACGAACACTGGGAGCATCCTGACCCTCAGCTCCGCTTCAAACAGCCCAGCGACAAACCTTCCGTGATCACCGCCTTTAACTTGATGATCCGCATAAACGAAATCATCGGAATCATCCTTCGAACGATCGTAAGAGCCTTCCTTTCAGCCATCCTGATTGCCGCAGACGAAGCTGATTCCCGCGATTCGTACAGTACGCCGTGAAGAACCCTCTCCGCTTCTTGAAGCTTGACAAGAAGGAATGGGATCAGTGGATAGTTACGGAGGTTGATTCGAGGTTGAATACGTGGTTGAACAGTATACCTCCGCATTGTAGGCTTTGGTCTCACCGTCCTGTCAGCCAGCCTGTTGCTTACGAAGACGGTAATTCTAGTGCAATGGGACCCAAACAATCCAGACGAGCGGTTCTTGTCGCAATCCGGCTACCTCTACACGGTATACTATCACGCCCAGATCCTGCTACACCGACCATTTATTCCATCACCACGACGACCAGCAACTGTCTCCTTCCCGTCCCTGACCATCTGCACCAACGCCTCTCGCTCCATCGCCCGGATAAACTCTGTGCTCTCGGAACGGACGAACAATTTCCTCGCCGTAAGATCTTTCTCTTCCCAAACATCGATTGTCCACGTCTCTGACACTACAATGAATTGGAATCTAGTTCCCAATCTTCATCGCTGGAATCGTCCTCTTGCTCAAAGCATGGGACAGTCGGAACTCGGGTCGTTCAACGGGCGAACAATTCAAGAAGGATATGGAGGATGTGAATCTTTGCTTGACGCTGTTGAAATTGGCGGAGGAGACCTATTTCTCTGCCGGGAAACTCTAGTATGTTAACTGATTTTTTTCCCCTTCTCTCGCACTCTCCCGGTTGTTTTATCCTGGACTATGTCTGACTGGATCTGACGCCTTGCAGTGATATTCTCAGCAACCTTGCGTCGGCGGACGAACACGTCTTCCCTCCTCCCATACCACGACCTGATACGCAGAAGGAGCCGACCACGAATGGGGCGAGCAACTCCAAGAACAGCCATGCGTTCACGTTCAGCTACAATTTGCCACCAAGATCGACAATCCCTGTCGGAGGTTCTGGCCCAGGTGTTTCGCTCGATGCCTCCTCGTCAAGAGTGCCGTCAGGATCGTCCTCTAAAACGTGTCACAACGAAGCCGCAAACCAACCCAACCCATTAGATTCTTGGCCTCCCCGCTCCGGTCCCTTCCTTTTGGGACCTGACGATGTGTCACCTCCACCACTATCTTCCCATGGTTCTCCTTTCACCCTCTCACCGACAATGTCCTCGTCGTCTTCCCGCCCCTCCTTCCCTTCCTCCTCCACCTCGTTCTTCATCGACACGCCTTCTATCTTCACCCAGTCAACTACCTCGACGCAAGCTAGTACCAGTAGCACTGCTACAACGACGAGGACTTCAACGATGCACCCTTCGTCAGAGCAGCAAAGTCACTTCTACGAACTGCACCACCAACATCATCATCAGCATCAGGAGCACCATCAACAGCACCATACAGTCACGCACCACGCACCGATCGATACTCTAGATGTTCTGATGAGTTCGGATTCGTCTTCAGGGTTACAGGGTGGGTTTAGTTCTGCTGGTATTGAAGAATTGGGGATTTCGAATCTGTGGGATTGGGGTCTACCTTTCCAGTGCGTATTCCATATTCATTATTTGCTGTTCGATCCTTCGATGCTGACTGGATGGCGATCTATCTTTGCCTTTGCTCTCCTTTGGCGATTTAGGGATGACACGGCAAGCCTGTTCTCGCCAGACTCGATGTTCCAATGGACCCCTGGGCAGACGAACTTTCATGGAGGGAGCGGAGGTTCTGATAATACAAACTTTAGCCACGGGCATCTGAATTTTGAGCGATAGATGGCGCTTAGCGATAGAGTGGGGGCTGACGTTGCGAGTCTACCCTTCCATTCTCTGTACTTGGTTGTTCATTGACAGATCTGCGATGCTCATAGACGTTGAGAGCTTCGTACCTAGATGATAGATCTTACTGGTATCATTCAACTGTGCTGTAAACATGTATTACGCTGACCCCACCTCGATAGTCTGTAGTAGATACTCTCCTTTAAGATATGTATTCGTCGATACCCATATAATACTTTCCAGCCGTTAAAGTCCTCAGGGGTGCTCGTCTCTCGAACGACGACCATCGTCGGCGACTGACCTCTTTTCAATTCGATATCGACAACTCTGGGGGATGTGTTCAGATGCTAACGGGCGGTGAGCGTACTAGTTGACAACAAAGAGTTGCAAGTATCATTATCACTAGTTACTACGACGGGTTCGTCAAATCGTGATTATCGAGTCCCAATTTTCGAGAGTCCCTGAGCAGGTAATCAGAAGTGTCCGTAAAAAGGCGTAAAAGGAGGTAGAAGGTAACCAGGGTCCAGTAGAACGGGTGAAGGGGATAGAGAAGTAATACTAAGTATGAGGAGATTAGTTTGTTTTCTGTCCATCCGAAATGATAAATCCAGAAGAAAGTAACAGGCCGATTAGAACTAGTAACGTGAAAGTGTTCCGCAAGTCAATCATGATTAGTGGAGGGGAAGAAGATTAGGAATGAAAGAGGAAGGTGTCCGTAGAAAATCCAATTCGTAACGTTTCATGAGGGGATTGGAGAACCTGCGATTGGCAAGTTTCAGCTCCAATCCATTCGAGGTCGTCATCCGAGTCTTGTTGCCGTTACCTTCGGCAACATTAGCTCGTAAGAAGGGAGAGCGTTTAGCAGGTCCAGCTTGACTATAAATAGCGACCAGGAAAGTGAGCGCTTGCCAGGGAAAGTATGCAGAGGGAGAACGTACGTCTCGGGTGTGAGGAGCACCGACCCATTGGTATGGAGACATACCCAAGCATTCGGCGACGGTGACGAGCTGGTAGCCTGCGCCCTGGAGGACGCTGATAGCATGAGGGAGGACTTCGTTGCTAAAAGGCCAGTCAGCGGTTAACTACGGTGCGAGATATAAGCGCGGCAATCAATGGGCACATACACAGTGGACCCTAAAGAGGCATGCAAAGATCAGCCAGTGTGGTCAGCGAAACGAGGAAGCGAGACATACAGTGGGTTTCGTGCTGCAGAGTCAAAGCATTGGATGGACGGTTGTTGGCAATGTTGGTGAATCGCTGTTTCTGTTGGGCCACGGAGACGCCACCGGTATCACCAGAGCTGAGATCATGAATGTCAGACAGTCGGTTCACTTCGCTGCAGGAGGGAAGACGACGCACTCCATATCCCACATCACGACATGCTGGCCACGGACGTGAGAGGCTTCCAAGACAAGGTTATTGTAGCTTCCGTAGGCTGCAGGAATGAAGGTCAGGTACATTCCCAATCAACAGTATTTGGAAGGTAATGAGGACGTACGAGGTCGCATGAACGCGGGGTATGCACCAGTGATGCGCATAACAGCCTCTAAAAGGGGATGAGAAAAGGAGATCCTTCAAAACAACCGGTGTGCCTTACGCTCGACCAACCACATTTGATGGTGGACTGAAAAGACGAGGCGATCTCAGTTCAATGTTCATCCGCAGGGCGAAACAAAAATAGACACACTCTGATCCCAGTTAAGGGTAGCCAGGTTCTGGTGAGCCCAAGTGTGCGAGCCGATCTGGTGGCCCTGGTCATAAGCATACTTGAGCTGCCTTGACAGTTCAGTGTCGTAGATGCAAGCCCCTGGCAATCGAGAGGTTAGGTAATTCCATATCGTCCAATAGCGGTGGCTTACAGTTTTGGCCATCTGGAGATTAAAAATAGAATTGATCAATACCATGTCGAAAGAGATTCAGGGAAACTATACGTACTGACGAAGAAGGTTCCCTTAGCGCCTGCGTTGTTCAACATATCGGCGATTTGTTGGCTGTCAGGTTGGAACGTAAGTAAGACGGTGAAAACATGATATGTACCAGAGGGGGTACTACGCACGTATACCAGTATGGTCCATCGTCCTGTGTATCAATAGATCAGTCTATTGCCTGACTGGGCAACGGAATGGGGGGAAAAGGGGAATGAAAATGTAATGATACGTCGGGGGTGTCTGACGCGACAGTCTCGCGACACGAGCGTACGCAATGGAGATGAAATGAATAATAGTAGGATGGAGGAAGACTTACAAAGGTCAGTGCAACACGGTTAGGGACCGTGCACTTGCTGAAGACAGTTGCTCGAGGCCCTCCTTGACGGGCCTGCAGCTTGAGGGCATCTCGTACTCCGTCGATAGTGCTGTTGTCGGCGGGGGCTGGGATGGGTGTCGGAACGGCCTGGACAAGGGCCAGAGAGAGGAGGGACAAGATGACACCGAAAGCCTTCATCATCGTGAGTCGTGAAGTGCCGAGAAGTAGCGACGTCAAGAGAGGAGTGCAAGGAGCGGGAGACCCGGGGAACACTCGAAGGGCGACTTGGGGGTTTATATATTCCAAAATTGATATTTGGCTTGTGCATGATCAGACGCCGGTCAGGTACACAGATGTAGCGTAAAACGTCGTGCCACCAGACAATGTCATCACACCGAGCGGGGCTTCTAGTCCAGTTCAGTGAATCAGCAAGCGCCAAGGGGTATAGCGGAGGCCTTACCCGTCGACCCATGTCGTTTTCTCCACCCGGGAATATCAGTCGTCTTTCTGGATCGGGTGTCTAGGCCCATAGCACGCATGAAACTGGGAAGAAAGCAAATGGGCTGCATCCAGGGATCTGCGTATGCAATCGGGAGGTTGAAGACGGCGCGAACCAAAATCAGCCGCTGCTACATACTCCAAGAGCCTCCCGAACAAACCAAACTCAATAGGTTCGCGTAAAGCTAAAGCTGGGCAGATGGCAGGGTTCCTGGAAGTCGTCTCGAGCGAATATCGGTACGAACCTTCATAAATTGACAAAAATCACTATGGTCCGGCAAACACGTTGTGCTTGAAGATGGGGCAAGCACGAATTCGTCGAAAGGCCTCAGCCAAGGCCCAAAGGTCGGTAGAGTCGATGACACGGGATTGATCGCCCGCCCGCCGCGAGTCGGTTACAGTCGGCAGCCCGCACGCGACTGTTCCCAACGGGTCTAATGATGTCAGTTACATATGAGGTTAACCCCTATCAAGTTACCCTCACCGCCGACGCTGTCCCCCATCAAAAAGCAGAGTGACTTCGTCGAGAGATTCTGTTGGAGCTTCCATCGAGGTTCCCGACCCTCTGGCTACAGAGGTACACAGGACCAGATGACCCGAACTGGAATAGCCGAATCGAAAACAGTGACACAAGTCAAGGCGTCAAGATTCATATCATGATGAGAAAAAGGTGGAAGGTCTAGATAGAAAACAAAAGGAGAGACGCAATGTAGGCACAACTCGCCCGTCTGCCTTCGGAGCAGAGGATGCCCCAAGGAGTTGCCAGTCTACCTCCCGTTAAATTCGGGAAATGTGTGGTAAGTGAAAACTTCCCTTGCTAATCTGTTTTTCGATATATCCCAGACATTTTCTGTTTCAAGTGCATAGATAGGGCTTCAGAGACCGGAGACTAGGCTGCCTTATTACTGCCAGTAAGTAGAATGGACAAGGGACCGGAACGGTGAGCCTCGACTCACCAGATTGAGCGATTTCTAGCTGAAAGCATTGTAATTGGATGGTTTCACGGGTTCCCCTCCTTGTTGCCTTCTGGAGCTTCGGACATAAACCTCTGGCCTTACGATCCCATACCACCAGCGATGGATGGCCTTGGATGGCTTCAAGTTCGAACCAAGATCAGAGTCCAGCTGGTACAACTTTGTTCGCATGTGGGCAATGCTGACGTACAGGGTCTTTCGGTGACATTCGGCTATACCTCCGCTTCGGCCGTTCGGCTCTTTAATTTCCCAACCTCAAGGTCGCCCCTCAGCCTTTAGGGCAGTCATTTCTTCGAGCCCAGATTCCAGGAGGCAGCAGCAGCTGGGAAACCATCGACTAAACCTATGCTTATCGGCTCGTAGGTGGAAGGGCCTTGGGACGGTCCATTGCATCCTGAATTTCGAGGCGCTTGAGGGAATCTGACGACGATTTACCAAGGGCCTGGGCGACTGCGATTCTTCTTGGCGTTTCTCTTCTGGCGATACATGGGCGCTTAAAACCTATTATCTGGCTAGATGGAATGTAATTCATTCTGACAGAGTGAATTATCCTGAACTGCCCCTCCAGGCCCGTACACAGCACTTGCAGGGATCGTATAATAATGTGTCCGTTGTGGCGTTGGAATTCTTCCCACTCCCCACAACATGCTCTTTGTCTTTCTCCTGTACTACTCTCTGGTTGCATGGAATCAGGACTACACTGCGTACGCTTTCCCCAAGGACACTTCCTCAGTCTCCGAGGCCGACACTCATAGCTTTGCGAACGATCCTGTCCAACCAAGAGCCTCAAATCCGCAGTCAAGTCCAACCACCACTCCCTTCAACACGAATTATCGATCAACTGCAAACATCGTCTGGATCTGTACGGTCACTGTATTCACGTGCACCTGGGTATCCGTCCATCCAAACGTCGACTACGTTGAGAGCAACGGCAAATTTTCTTGGCGAAGGTACCGAAGTCGCCTGTACCTCATGTTCTGGGGACTGGCTGCCCCAGAGTTCTTGGTCGTCTTCGCATTCCGACAATGGCTGGGTAGCAGGCGCCTCACCGCTACCGTGACGGAGATTTTGGAAGAGGAGCAGATCGGTTAGTTTCGTCGTACAAACATGATTTGTAACACACTAATCCAAGGAGCACAGTCGGTGGTATCAACTGGACGCACTCGCATAGTCACCTTGTCCAGATGGGTGGTCTTCTGTTTTGGGAAGGCAAACGGGATCGACAGGGAAACGAGACCTATGTTCGAACGCACGCGATCTCGGCTATCGCCGCCGGGTCTTCCAACCGCAAAGAAGCGGTCAAAAAGGCTTTAAACGCCGTACTGCACAATGGTCTCACGTACGACGAAATCTGGGACAGAAGCAAGGGAGACGGGCTGTCGAAGGCGGTGACTGCCGTGCAGATCTCGTAGTTCATCGCTGAGTGCATTTCGCGGGGTTCACAAAGGCTCATCATCACAGAGCTGGAGGTTATAACTTTGGCGTATGCGGCTTTCAATGCGGTAATGTACGTTTTCTGGTGGGACAAACCTCTCGATGTACGCTTCCCGATCGTCCTCAACTGTGACCCGTCCGCTCTTACCGAGTGTTGGGTCACAAAAAGTGGGTACAAGGTCCTAGTACCTTTGAACCCTGTGCTTTGGAACACTCTAGATGAGCCCGCTGGATCCAGCAGCTCGGTATCGACGCTCGGAGACTCAAGGGAAGAAGGGGAAGAACGTCTGCGACCCCAATTCTCCTTTGAGGGAGGCACTCGCGGCCCTTACCATGGCGATGACGATGAAGAAGAAGGGTACCTGCTCCAAAGAGTCCAGACAGCACAGACTGCCACAAGTTGCCCGCGGGTAAAGGCAGTTTGGATTTCTGTCTGCCAATGTGTGTCAAAAGGTGCGGTTTCGTCCGCCACCAAACGATTTCTTTAATACTGACATCGTCAGTCCTGGGAGTCTCTAACAGGATAATCTATCGGCTTCTCATCCTCGGAGGTCTCCAAGACTTCAGTGCGTCTACACGCTCGGAGAATGAGTCCAGCGACGCCAATGTCTATGACAAAGTGCCTACGTTTTATGGGTATCACGAAGGAGAGTCCGACTCACTGGCTGTACAGCTCGGTCCACTACTTGGTGTCGTCCTTGCTTCCATCTTCGGGGCTATCCACTGCATCGCCTGGTCTTCACCGAGGCCAACGACTTTGGAGACGCAGTTGTGGCGTATCCTTAGCCTCATTGTTACCTTTGCCCCATTGCTCTTTGTTGTTGCTTTCGTCCTCATCTCGATGCCCAGGAGCTACTCAGGGCTTATTCCGACTTCATTCGGTCTCTTCCAGGGACGCTTCCTGACCCCGATAGCTGTCCCGGTTTACATTGCCGCCCGCTGTATGTTGCTTGGTCTAGCTCTGGCACAACTCCGAGAACTTCCTCCTCGTGCGCACGAGACAGTGGAGTGGTCGAGGTTCTTGCCCCATATCCAATGATCGTTCCCTTTCTGAAACCCGTGTACATTGAAGTGATATTCGTATTCGTATTCTCTGGCATCCAGCCAGTGCAATAGAGAGGTTTGGGTGGCTTGTCGATTAACTCGTCGCGATCCCCATATCTGAGCCCAAAGCTGTCGCGCTGGAAATATGCTGGCCTATTATACAACCTACGGGGAACATGCAGTCTGTGACGTTCGATGACGAGCATGCATGCAAGCAGAAGAACTTCTTCGCTGATCTCCACTGATGCCACGTCTTCGAGTAGTCGGCCGTTACTCCCGTCGGACAAGAGCTCACTCCAGCTGATCCATATCATACACCCCAGGATGCACCTATTTCCTTCGTTGGTGGAACTCGTGTATGAGTCAGCCACTAATTCAATGCCCACAAGCAGGCTCGGGCATGTTCGAACTCCTACTGGCCAAGGTTTTGGTGCGATGGATTGGTGCCTTCGGGCCATATACATCAAGTCTTGTGGTGAGTAGCGATCTCCGAGGGGTTCGAGCACATCCACTGCTTGACTTGTTCGCGAGACCCGGGTTTTAATTTGCGATAAGATACTACCCCAGCCCACCATCGAATACACCGGGTTACGATTTCCGTAGTTGGTCACTCTGAAATTGTAATAGCTTACAATAGAAAGGTATTGTTGAGCTATTGGAAATCCATTGTTTCCTTGGGATTTAGCTTTTGTTGTACTCAGAACAAGACAGGCCGTGCCGGGCGGAGGGGTCGCAGCCAGTTAAGCGCCCACTGATCCCCCGCACCTCGGGGTAGATATCTGATGATCAGTGATCTGTATCACACCGCTTTTGCCTTGGCTGGGTCCAGTCAAGCTCGTCTTTTCCTCTTCCAGGTCTCTCCTGTCGCCTGTGCTCGGTCGATGGAGTGGGGTTCTTCGAGCTGTTCCTCGATGGTACCTATATGATTGGCCAACCAGGAAGCAGTACGTGTATGTTGTAGTTACCGTCGACGTTCTACGAGGTAAGTCCGTTGACACCTTCGTCAGCGCGCTTCCTTAACCGGTGCTGATTGTCCCATTACAAGGGCCACATCAACGCTTTATGTCGCTGGCATTAGTAGGGATCCCCGCAATCTGACCATTTCCAACCTTCGAATTCGTCAGGCTCGCGTCAAAGAACCTGTAGATTTATCAGGGATTACTAAACCTGCTGAGGTAGTAGGTTATGCATCTTCTGTTTAGCAGCTTCGATTAGATTCCACGGTGGGCGTCCACCTGATCACGATCAGACCGACACATCATAGATAATTGGTGTGGTAGCTTCTGGGACCTGCGTTATAAAAGGGACGAAGGACAAACCGTAGAACCCATAGTCGCCTTCCCATCCAATTCACCACCTCTCACAGCCCACTCCTAACTACATAGCTCACAATGGTCCTCAAGCTCTTCGGTCACCCTGACTCGACTTGCACCAAGCGTGCTGCTGTCGTCCTCCACGAGAAGAACATCCCCTTCGAGTTCCACCAGATCGACTTCAGCAAGCAAGAGCACAAGTCCCCCGGATTCCTCGAGAAGCAGCCGTTCGGACAGGTCCCCTATCTCGTACGTCCAGCTTCTCTTGACTTCCTTAATATGGTAATAAACCCTCTCCTAGGATGACGATGGCTTCATCGTCTACGAGAGCAGGGCCATTGCTCGATACCTCGCTGAGAAGTATGCCGACAAGGGACCCGCACTCATCCCCGTCGACATCAAGAAGAAGGGCCTCTTCGAGCAGGCTGCCTCAGTCGAAGTCTCCAACTTCGACGCCTTCGCCGCTCCTGCCGTCTGGGAGAAGGTCTTCAAGCCGTGAGTCCTTTCCCCTCAGCCTTCCGTTCTGGAACCTCTCTGAACCGGAGTATCAGATTCTACGGACTCACCACCGACGAGGAGGCCTTGAAGAAGCACCTTACCAGTCTCGAGGCCAAGCTCGACGTCTACGACAAGATCTTGGGCAAGCAAAAGTACCTTGCTGGTGATGTGCGTACAGCATCGGTGTTCCTTGGTAGACTGTAGCTGACCGTCATTCCTACAGGAGGTTACCCTCGCCGATCTCTTCCACCTTTCCTATGGTGCTCTCCTCCCCGCTGTCGGCAGCAATGCCATCCAGGATAGGCCGAACGTTGCCAGGTGGTTCAACGATATCTCTGAGCGACCCGCCTGGAAAGCAATCAAGGACGGCATCAAGCCCATCTCTGCTTAAGTTTTATAATTCAATTCAAAGTACAATTGTCATTATTTCATATTTGCAATGGACATTCTTACGACGTCTCCTGAGGAAGTGCGACCAATTTCGTCCCAGACACCTTATCCTCCTTCATCCTCTGCAACCCATCCTTAATTCCATTCAACCCATTCGGAAGCGTCTCAGCTCGATTCGGCTATTGATTCAAGTTCACGTTACTCGTGGATCTTAAGCTGCGAAATAGATCCGACTCACCTTGATAACACCGTCTTTCAATAGCTCGGGTAGCTTCGCGTATAGATCGCGCAATAGCTGTACGTTATGAGGGAGTTGCTTCACACCCAGCACGCCTAGAACCTTCTTCTCCTTTGCCGCCTCCACCGAGGGTGGCAAGGTGACGAGAAGTTGACCACCGGGTGCCAGGAGCTCGTGGCCCGTCTTCTGGGTCTCAGCGGAGGAGATGGCGTCGTAAACTGTGGTGATGGGGGTCGAAGTGATCTCCTTGACTGCAGCTTGCAATGCCTCTGTTGAGAGCGATCGGTCGAGGATGTGTGTTGCCCCGAGAGACTTGAGGAAGTCGGTGTGTTTGAGAGATGCAGTGGTGATGATTGGGCTGAAGCCGGAAGCACGAGCGAGCTGGAGGACTGTTGGTTGGTTGGTACTAACAGTCAGACCAATGAGCCGATTCGATAGAGAAGACTATGTACGCACCGTATTGGCCCACAGAGCTGGCCCCTCCAAGCACTACGATGGGAACATCCTTGTACTTCCCTCTACCCGAAGTCAGAGGCGGTTCGAATCCAAGTCCGTGCGGGTCAACGTTGTACAGTCCCACATATGCGCACGTTAAGGCGACAGGGAGAGTAGCCGCCTCAACGACGGTGACGTTCGAAGGAATCTAGTGAGGACTTGAGCGGGAGAAACAAGCAGACCAAGCCTGTAATACGCACTTTGGCGAGGGTGTGCACATCGGCTCTGGCGTATTGCTGGAAGCCAGCACTCTCGTCTGCTTTCCTATACGTTCCTTGAAGAACACTAGATCGTCATGTCAGGACAAGATTTACGAACGCCAATCGAACATCACGTACACTTTATCACCTTTAGCAACAGTAGTAACCTTCTCTCCAAGCTCGACTATCTCTCCCGCGATATCAGTTCCCAACACGGCAGGATATTCCTCAACAAAAACGCCATAATTCTGAATCTTCCAATCGACGGGGTTCAGGCCTGCAGCCTCAACCTTGACGATAACCTCTTCCGGCTGTGGTTTAGGAATCGGGATCGTCGTCAACACGAAATCTCCAAACTGCTTGTCGAGGACGAGGGCTTTCTGCGACATGATACGTGGTGGTGATGGTTTAAGGGAGAAATGAGCGGAATTCAAATGTCGTTTTGTCGAGTTCCAGTATTATATACCCGGTAGAAGCTGGAAGAAGGTAGATCGTGGTATTGCATCATAGGTTGTGCATTGTGCTTCGAGATCAGGGGTTAGAGTTTGAATATTGAATGAGTAAGCGCCGAGCTTTGAAATCAGTCTGACCAAACCAACCGCTTTGGGTCCGCTCAGCGCCAATTGGCCGTTTTCGAGGGGGTTCCACGAGAAGGGGTCTCCCAAACGGGAATACGCCCCATACGATCCGGGATCTTGTGGGACGAGCGTTTCAACTTGGAGGTCGCAAGGATACACGGATGGGAAACCCCTGTCCTGGTGGACCGATCGTCAATTAGTACTCCGGACAATGTCGTCGAACGAAGCTTTGGACTACCCTTGTCAACAGAATTCGGGCGCGTCTTTTCCATTCCTCGAGTGACTCTGGTTCCCCACATAGTGTTCTAGTTGAATTTCTTTGAGCCTTGAAGATATCGTTCGGGCGGGGGCGGTATTCCCAATCCCGAGGTCGTGGCAACTCGAATGGGCATCTCTTCCTCCACAGTTTCCGCCGGTGCAACATTCTTTGAGTCAGAGGGTCCCTGAAAGGAGCTGAGCAACAGGATTTAGCGAGAGTGACAACACTCACTAGGTTAATATTCGATGTGGTGAGTGAGGAAGGGGATGGCAAAGGCTCTGCCCCAGACTCGGGGTTCTCCCAAGGCCTCGTCATAGCAATATTTCTCTGGACGCGTCAAATGGTCCTGTGGTGGAGGTGGCAACTATAGTTGTGAGGTGTCCCTGAAAGAATGCATGTAAGTGAAGGCGAAAGGGAAATGGATATGGCACTTACATCGTGAAATTGGAGCAGGTGAGAACTAGTGAACAGTTGAACACGCGACGAACGAACCTCACTCTCACGAGCCTTTGCCTCCCCGCCCGTTCACGGTTCTCAAGTGCAGGTATTTGGAGGATAGCGACGAAGCTTCAATGAAGGCTGAAGAGTATTAGTACACGTCATATTTGAATTGGGCGAATAACGACGAGAGCACAATAGGAAAAGAGGAAAGCGGCAAAACATTGAAAGCTAATTAGTGGCAGCGCAAGGAAACGAGAACGCTACAGTCAAAAATCATAGGATCGTTACAAATCTCACTGCACGAGATCAACCGTTCTTGAAGAAATACCAGGCAGGGGGCGTCGTCACACCCAGCCCTTCCTGGGTCTTCTTGATCAACTCCTGGTTGTCCGCCTGCTCCATATCCTCGTCGGTCAAGTTCGACCCAATAACAACGCCCAAAACGTTAACAATATCGAGCTTGATTTTGCCGTTGGGCAGTTTGACGGGAAAGGGAACGAGGAGGAACGCGATTCGCCTGACTTCGGGAGGGACGAACAGCTGGAAGGCTTTCTGGAACATGAGGCCTGCCTGCGGCCCGATGCAGTAATATTGAGGACATTTTTCCTTGAGGAAATGTTCGATTTGGTGAGAGAGGAATGGGATGGCGAAGGCTCTTCCGAAGACCCGAGGCCGTCCCAAGGCCTCGTCGTAGCAGTACTTCTCTGGGCGCCTGAGATAGCTCTTCGGTGGAGGTGGCAGCTCCAGTCTCTTGGTCGTCTTGCGGCGTTTGGGCTGAAGGGCGGTCTCGGGGGCGCTTTCCTCTTCACGTATTTCTGTTGGCCCGGGTGTACTAGACCTAGCAGAACGTTAGTCTATGTGGTAATGGATGAGCTAGGAACACTTACATGGTGGGGAAAAGGAAGATCACCTTAGGTACCGGAATATGACGGTTTTTTTACTATCTTAGGTCGATAAATTTACATCATTAATTAACCTTATCCCGCTGACCTACCCACCTTTCCGGCATACCGGCACTGGTTTTGCTTGGGTCGGCCGGTCGTACTGGGGCCGGTCGGTCGGTATTTTACCAAAACATTCAGCCACCAGGGCCCGGTCGTTCGGTATTTTCCCAAAACAATCATATACCAGACCTCCCCGCGGATCCGGCCATCCCATACGCGCCGGTGGCCTTGCGCCGGTTATTTCCCCAAACGAAAATGAAACCTCCGCCGCTCCAGGGGTTTCCCCTTCTCCAATTCGTGCAAGTGTCGATAGGCCAGCCCTAAAGTCACAAGGCGGACGATGCCGACAACTGATCTGAACTGTTCGGCGATCACGGCAACGACAACGAAATCCCAAGTACGCCTTTCGCCGCTACCCGACCACCATATGTCATGCCAAAAACACACAAAGTCCCGACCTTCGCTCGAGCGTCACGAAACAGCGGCTTTGGAATTGGGTACACCAGCCCGATTAAAGCGAGAGATGATCGGAAGTCGCGCATAAAAGTCAAGAACCTTGGCCACAACACGCTCGTGCGGGCTTTCCTTGCACAACTCGAGAATCTGGATGCCAACTCGGCAGCGCCTTCTTCCCCTGGGAGTTCCAGTCAACGACATGACACCAATGTCACTGTCCTGGAGGGCGACGAGGAAGTGCCCATCGACGGCCACAGCGACGACTGGGTGGACGAAGACGACCAGAAGACAGGGCAACATGTCGACGCGGAGTACCGACCATACGAGCGCCCCATTGCTGTGCCCGCTGGGCGCAGGACTCAACCACTTGGAATGAGATGGGAAACCCAAATGAAGAACCTGAAGGAGCCTCTACTTCAATATCTTTCGCGAACCATGGGGAAAAGATTGGTTCACCCCTCAAAGCTGGAGTCGAACTGCCGAGTGCCGGCTGGAAATTGTGTACGGAAAGAGCATACGGTAGTTCTTCTCATGCATGACTGTACGTATCTTCTCTTAAAGGACTCCCAGTGTTCGTATGCTCAAGCTCAACCCCATAGGTTTCGAGAAGACTGTAGTTCATAGCTGCGAGTGCAGCGACATATGTTCAGTACTAGTTCTTAATGGCTTTTTCCCATCATCACCTACGGCCCCGCGTCTCGCTGTGTCAATATCTCTCCTGGACTTCTACCGTGCACTTTTCGAGAGATCCTGCGATGCCGTGTACGCTTTCACGGCGGCGTGTAAGACCTACTACCAACGACGGGGCTTCCTCCATTTGAGCGACCAAGTGAGTCCGCCACCGGTCAGCGTTTAGACGTGTGATTTACATCACTCCATGGCAGCTCCAGTCTCTTGGTCGTCTTGCGGCGTTTGGGCTGAAGGGCGGTCTCGGGGGCGCTTTCCTCTTCACGTATTTCTGTTGGCCCGGGTGTACTAGACCTAGCAGAACGTTAGTCTATGTGGTAATGGATGAGCTAGGAACACTTACATGGTGGGGAAAAGGAAGATCACCTTAGGTACCGGAATATGACGGTTTTTTTACTATCTTAGGTCGATAAATTTACATCATTAATTAACCTTATCCCGCTGACCTACCCACCTTTCCGGCATACCGGCACTGGTTTTGCTTGGGTCGGCCGGTCGTACTGGGGCCGGTCGGTCGGTATTTTACCAAAACATTCAGCCACCAGGGCCCGGTCGTTCGGTATTTTCCCAAAACAATCATATACCAGACCTCCCCGCGGATCCGGCCATCCCATACGCGCCGGTGGCCTTGCGCCGGTTATTTCCCCAAACGAAAATGAAACCTCCGCCGCTCCAGGGGTTTCCCCTTCTCCAATTCGTGCAAGTGTCGATAGGCCAGCCCTAAAGTCACAAGGCGGACGATGCCGACAACTGATCTGAACTGTTCGGCGATCACGGCAACGACAACGAAATCCCAAGTACGCCTTTCGCCGCTACCCGACCACCATATGTCATGCCAAAAACACACAAAGTCCCGACCTTCGCTCGAGCGTCACGAAACAGCGGCTTTGGAATTGGGTACACCAGCCCGATTAAAGCGAGAGATGATCGGAAGTCGCGCATAAAAGTCAAGAACCTTGGCCACAACACGCTCGTGCGGGCTTTCCTTGCACAACTCGAGAATCTGGATGCCAACTCGGCAGCGCCTTCTTCCCCTGGGAGTTCCAGTCAACGACATGACACCAATGTCACTGTCCTGGAGGGCGACGAGGAAGTGCCCATCGACGGCCACAGCGACGACTGGGTGGACGAAGACGACCAGAAGACAGGGCAACATGTCGACGCGGAGTACCGACCATACGAGCGCCCCATTGCTGTGCCCGCTGGGCGCAGGACTCAACCACTTGGAATGAGATGGGAAACCCAAATGAAGAACCTGAAGGAGCCTCTACTTCAATATCTTTCGCGAACCATGGGGAAAAGATTGGTTCACCCCTCAAAGCTGGAGTCGAACTGCCGAGTGCCGGCTGGAAATTGTGTACGGAAAGAGCATACGGTAGTTCTTCTCATGCATGACTGTACGTATCTTCTCTTAAAGGACTCCCAGTGTTCGTATGCTCAAGCTCAACCCCATAGGTTTCGAGAAGACTGTAGTTCATAGCTGCGAGTGCAGCGACATATGTTCAGTACTAGTTCTTAATGGCTTTTTCCCATCATCACCTACGGCCCCGCGTCTCGCTGTGTCAATATCTCTCCTGGACTTCTACCGTGCACTTTTCGAGAGATCCTGCGATGCCGTGTACGCTTTCACGGCGGCGTGTAAGACCTACTACCAACGACGGGGCTTCCTCCATTTGAGCGACCAAGTGAGTCCGCCACCGGTCAGCGTTTAGACGTGTGATTTACATCACTCCAGGGGGAGGTGGTTGAAGACGCCTGGAGGCGATCCATCGCATCTGCCATGAAATGGTACGAGAATATTTCAAGATGAGATACAACAAGCCGTAGACGACGCCCTGAGAGAGGCGGACGAGAAGATCCAGGCCCATAGGTGGGAGAAACAGCAGCAGACCTCCCAAAACTCGCAGGCAATCCATCAGCCTCGACTTTACGAAGAGCACGAAGGAACGCAGGAACGACAGGAGTGCGATAGAGTATTGCAGCAAGTATGCCCTGCGTGTTTCGGGGGAAAGCCGGGTTCATTTGGGATGAGATCGAGCAAAAGGTGCGCCTACCCCGTCATATTCGGGTCATGCAGTTGGATTGATGAGACGGAGCACAGAAGGGGAGACTTCCACGTCGCCCTCGATGGTAATTTCAACCATCGTCACATCCGTCGTGAAGGGCAAAGCAACGAAAAATTGTACCGACACCCCGATTTGTACCTGACAGCGGAGTATGTGAACGAAGTCGGCGAGCATATGAAGAAAGTACGCGAAGGACACCCTCGACCCCGAATCGCCAGGGTACCCGACGAGGCGGTGGACGAATGTGAAGACGGACACATCGCAGGACAAGGGACCAAAGTGAAAACCAACACGCAAGTGTACGATGATACGGGTACGATGGCCATGGTCTGTAGACACGACTATCCGCTCTTCCTCGCCAACATCGACACTCCTGGCGAGCAGCAAAAGTATGCTGTCGCTCTCATCAAAAAGCTGTTCACCATGATCCCCCCCAACGCAACCGTGGTGGCATTTTACGACGTTGGGTGTGTCCTTGACCGTTCCCTACAATTGGTGAGTCTTGCGTACGGTATCTGGCGTCAGGTACGCTGTAACCAGTGCAGCCGGGCTTATCCACCCCTGTTCGCTAGTATGAAATTCTACCCGAGTCGATCACCTCAAGATTGGAATTCTGCACAAGCGCGATGCATGCGTATGCCCACCAGTGGGCGTGTCAACTCTACTACAACCCGCGGTTCCAGGACGGTACCGGAAACACCAACGGGGAGGGCACAGAGAGGCTATGGGCAATTATGCGAAAGCTCATCGCGATCGCGAGAATGTCTTCTGTAAGTCCCTCGGCTTCAAGTATCTTCCTGGGAGACCCGGTGACTCATCCTCTACATCCGCCAGCGCTCGCGACGTCTCTGGTTGATAAATCAGCTGATGAAATCTCATCGAAAGGGCACCCGACAGAATCTGGGGAAGTGGGTCAAGACTCAGCGCACGGCTATCGCAAAGCAGATCCCCGAGCAGCAATCCATCCTTCAAAAAGTCGGCATCCCAATTACGGAGCTCCGGTCGGAGTGGCAGGACCAGCGAGAGAAGCAACTCTCCATTAGAGGGCGTACGTCTCTGCCTTCCGCTCCGTCGTGTGCTCACGCTAACAAATCTCAGACCAACCCACACGGCTGAAGCAGCAACTCGATGAAGTCCTTCGCATCCAGGCCGACATTGACCGTATCGATGCGCGGATCGAGGCGATGGCCGCAACTGTCCAGAAAGCCGACGATGACGACGACCCATACCGCAGCATATTACATAACATGAAGGTTACAAGGCAGAACACCCTCCAGAAGATGGAGCAACACTATGAATCATTGAACGTGGGGGACGCCTACCCCGAGTTGCGCGGGATGGACTACAAGTTTGTCAAGACTCTACTTTTGATGCGTGACCTCAAAATCAATATTCGGAAGCGGGCCATCGCCCAATTTCTCGAGTTCGATCAACTCGAATCAAGCCTACGGCGGGAAGGAACAACCCCTTGGTGAGACAAACGAGTTGAAACCCCTCGGAGTACCCAAACGTTCGCTGACATGATCACACCCAGGCACCAATCTCCACCAGCTCACGCGCAAGGCCATAGAGAACCGGCAGCCCGCCCTCATGGCTGCAATTGAGAGATTCAACACTCACCGAGCGCAACTTGTCAAACTTATCAAACCCGAATGGGGCATTGTCCTCCCCCGTGAACTCCCGGTAAACCTCACAGAACTACGGGACCACTCCGATCTCATGGAGGACGTATGGCTCACGCCCGCTACGGGGGGAGCCCCTCCTCCCAGGTGGTTAGAGAGTGTTGATGTTCGCCGAGGCATTCGGGCGATGCTCACACTTGAGAGGTGCCAAGAGGAAATCGTGCGCCTCAACCTAGAGGCTGACAACATGTGTCGCTGGTATGGGCGAGAGATTGCGAGCGTCGAAGTTACAATCAGGGAGACACCCAGCAGACCACTCAGTAGGATACCCCATGTCCCTTGAGCGGGCTGACGGGCAGATATGGCATCAGACATGTAGCTAGCTGACGAGCCGAGATCAGATCAAACCATCAGTAGCCTTGGGTCAGCCAATGCAGTGGTACTACCATCACCTTTGTAGCAGCCCTTTAGTGACTTGACCCATCTAAGTTATTCCAACCAACAGAGAAGAACCTGCAGTTCCTTTGTATCAGCCTTTTGCACTGGAAGGCCCCTAAACACTTCTTAATTTGGCTGTGGGAACCTTTAGTCAAATTCATGTGACATCACTGCTATAGAATTTCCTTTTGCGGGGATTGATTGGATTTCTATGTGGCCGGGATTTTCTGGGGGAATCCCGGAGAAAGACAATGAGGGGATTGGTTAAAGGTGCTGGTGTATATTAGCAAATGGTGCAGATCAGATTTAGTCTGTGCTGGTGTACTCAAATTGACATTCTGGAACTGCCAAAATCTGTTGGAGATTGCAAAAATGTGCCAGGAATTACAGAAAAAAATTGTCAAAAATTGCACAAAAATGTGTTGGGAATTGCTGGGAAATGTGTCGGAAATTGCGGGAAAATGCATCGGAAATTGCGGGGAAATGTGTCAGAGATTGTGGAAGTCCGAAAAATGTGCTGAAAATTGCGGGAAATTGTGTTGGGAATTGCGGGGAAGTGGATTGGGAATTGCGCAAAAATGCGTCGGAAATTGCAGGAACTTGTGTTGGAGATTGCGGGAAAATGTCCGAAAAATGCGCCGGAAATTGCGGAAAAAATGTGTCAGAAATTGCGGGAAAATGTGTCGGAGATTGCGGGAAAATTGCGTCGGAGATTGCGGAAATCCGAGAAATGTGCCGGGAATTGCGGAAAAATGTGTCAGGGATTGCAGAAATGTGTCGGGAATTGTGGAAAAATGTGTTGGAGATTGCAGAAATGCATTGGAGATTGCGGAAAAATGGGCCGGAAATTGCAGAAATGCGTCCGGATGTATCAGTTGTACCTTCTTGTGAACAAAAAGTGTCTATCATATTTATTAGGTCTTAGGAATATACTAAAAAGTGGTATAGATTGGCAAAAAGACAATAGGAACTTACTACATGCATTTCAAATTTGCTAAAAGGATCCAAAGTTAAAATCATTGGGAGCTTATTAACAATGTACCATGTTGGGATAATTGATAGCATTGGGAATTTGTTGAATGCACCAGCAATTTATTCAAGGTGGTGAAACCCAACACAGATGTTGGGAACTTGTTCAAGGTGTCGCAGATTTGCTAAAGATGCTGGGAATTCATTGAAGGCATTGGGAACTTCCACAGGGTGTTGGAAAACCACTACAGGAATTGGAGTTTGCTGAAGACGTCCGGAATCCAGGTGTCAGGAACTTGCTCAAGGTGTTAGTAATGTACTCCAAACGTTGGAAACGCACAAAAGAAATCAGAGATTTGCTCAAGGCATTGGAAACCCCCAAAAGACGTAAGGAACTCATTCAGGGAGTCGGAGACATCGGGAATTCGTTGAAGGCGTTGGGTACTCGCTCAAGGAGTCAGGAATTCATTGAAGACATTGGGCATTTGTTCAGGGAGCCGGAAACCCGAAACAGACGTTGACAGATGTCAGGGATTCGATCAAGGCGTCCAAAACCAACAAAGGATGTTGGGAATTCATTGAAGGTATTGGGAATTCATTCAGGGAGTCAAAAGCTCCCAACAGACGTCGGGAATTCATGCAGGGCATTGCAAACACCAAGACAGACTTTGGCAATCTGCTCAGGGCGTCGGAAACCCGCAATAGATGGCGGGACTTTGATTAAGACATCGGAAATTTGTTAAGGGCGTCGGAAATTCCCTCAGGGAGTCGAAAACCCGAAATAGACGTCGGGAATTGGCTTAGGGAATCAAAAACCCGCAAAAGGCGGTGGGGATTTGCTGAAGGGCACTGGGAATTCACTCAGGGAGACAAAAGCCCGAAGTAGACGTCTGGAAATTGCTTAGGGCATCAGAAACCCGCACAAGGCGGTGGGGATTTGCTGAAGGCATCGGGAATTTGCTCATGGAGACAAAATCCCACAATAGACGTCGGGAATTTGCTGAAGGTGTCGGGAATTCACTCACAGAGTCGAAAACCCGCACAAGACGGCGGGGATTTGCTAAAGACGTCGGGATCTCGTTGAGGGTGTTGGGAATTTGCTCAGGGAGATGAAAACACGCAATGGACGTTGGGAATCTGCTCAGGGCATTGGAAACCCGCAACAGACGGCAGGACCTTGATTAAGACGTTGGAAACCCGCAAAAGATAGCGTGTATTTGCTAAATACATTGGGAATTTGTTAGGGGCATTGGGAATTCGCTCAGAGAGACAAGAACCCGCAATAGACGTTGGGAATTAGCTTAAAGCTGTGGAAATCCGCAAAAACCGGTGGGGATTTGCTGAAGGTGTTGGGAATTTGTTGGTGTCGGGAATTCGTTCAGGGGAACAAAAACCCGCAATAGACAGCAGGAACTCACTTAGGGCGATCGAAAACCCGCAAAAGAGGGCAGGGATTTGCTTATGGCGTTGTGAATTTGCTGAAGACATCTGGCATTTGTTGGAGATATCAGAAACTCACTCAGGGTGTTCACTATTTGATAGACAGCTACATCGCATTGAAAATCCGCTATAGGCGTCTGAAATTTGCTGAAGGTATTGGGAATTTACCAAAGATATTTAATTGGACCTTGGTTGATTCAGCTGAGGCATGTTACAAGGAATTTACGTTACTTTAGCTGATACAGGTCTAATGGCCACTTACCACTCTCAGCTGATACATGGGTGTAAGGAGTCTAGACCCTGTTGGCTCATCAGCTAGACCTATAACTGATGGCATATTTGCCCGTCAGCCCACTCAAGGGACATGGGCATGGTCTACTGAGCCTTGTGGACCCACCCCAAAACCCAAACCAGCATCCCCTCCGAGAGGTCCGTCCTCCGAACATGGAGCCTGTGGTCATCGACGACCTCGACTTTGCGTTTTTCCGCACCACCCCGTTCAATTTCAACGCCCCACCACCCACTTTCCCGTGGCCCAGTCACCCCCTGCGCCAGGTTCCCCTCGCGGAGCAACGGTTCGCGTTCGCCCGCGTGGGCGCCATGCAATTCATGGCGGCGGAGGAAAGCCAGGAATTCGTAGACGCGTACATTGACATGTACCTCACTCGGTTTTCGTTATGCATCCCTGGGTTCCCGGACGTTGATGAAGAGGATCTGATGAATCTGGTTGGAGACGTCCGTGATGTCAGTGACCCCTTCAGGCTATCGATTTGTCTTTGTAGCTGACCTAGTAGCCCACCTGTTCACAGCGCCTGGAACGTGAACTCCGAGTATTAAGCGGCGTGCAGCCGTGGTTTAAGCCTCCTATCCCTTGGAAGGACTTCGTAAAGATCAAGTGTGGCCTCGAGAGCACGGAGTGGGATGAGATGGCAGTGAGTACAGGCTAACATGACCCAGAGTGCGATGCTAACTTGGCCTCGCAGGCACCCATTCTAGCGAAACTCGATGACGAACCAGGCAATCGTATTCTAGCCACCGATTATTATGAAAGCCTGGGTGAATCTACTCACGACTGGCGGCTTGTAGTCCTTCCCCAGAACAGGGAGGAGGGAAAAGGGTGGGCTACTTACCGACTGGAATCCTGCAGAGGGGAGGGTGAATCGGACTCGGTATCCTCGGCAGACAGCATTTTTGACACGTACACTCCCTTCCCCTCCAGGGCGTCTTCTCCCGTTGGTTAGACTATTCGCTTGACCACCCGCATGTATATAGATACCTGAATACTTGTTGTTGCTCAATGAACCCAGTACTTCACATAGATTGGCAATCGCGATCAGTACAGGCCGTGGAGCGTCCCCACTTTTGAGAACAACAACCGACCCCGTCATCGTCGGGGGTTAGACCTCGATTAAAAGTCTGAAGGTGACAGCGCATTACTTGAACATTCCTCCTCGGCGTAAGACTGTTACCAAGTCCACACGTGCAGGTCCCCTCAGGAATGTCAGCGACGAGCATGTAAAACAAACGAGCGCAGGTATATGTGACGAGAGATGGCAGTTCGAGAGACCACGGACCTGTCTTTGACCTCCTGGGGATGTACGATAGACGTCGATTTAAAGTCTGAATCACCTGAGACCAGTCCTGAACCCTAGAGTTTCAACCATGACGACACCTCCGCCTCAACTCCCATGGTTGCTCGCCGGATATATCGACTAGTCCTGCAGCAGTGTGTATTGGTGGCGATTGGTGGCAACCCGGGGGAACACCAGCGAATGGAGAGTTAATATTCATTCGACTTAGGCGCCCGAGCCAAATAACTACCTCTCAAGACTCCGTTCCAAATCGCCAGAAGTGTCTTGACAGCGAAATGTGAGTGGTGAACGCTCTAGCCTGTCTAACCGACCTATTTTGGACCCTTGGGGGGAGAGTGTGTTAGACCTCGATTTAAGGTCTGAATCATGAGAGCTCTCATCTCTTCACCCTAAGCCTTCGGTGTATGACTATCGCCCGCAACGGAACCTGGACCTCAACACCTCTGGTGCCCACCGGATTCCCACAGACGCCATTCTAGAATCTACTGTGACACAGTAGACGATCGCGCACTACCCTGTCAAACACAAGCGAACGGTGAAAGCAGATATCGTCCGCGAAACCACTCGCGATAGGCGCTCGTATGCACAGCCACTCCCCTATTTCTAACTCGCACTCGAATTCTTCACCTGGGGACCCCCTTCTGCATCGCAGGTTACCGGTGCAGACAGCAAACAGTTCATAAGTCCTAGAGGCGGTTGAATAGGCCAGAAAGGGTCCAGCAGGGCAAAGCATTTGACTCGGCATAAATTTCATTCGACTTAGGCGCCCGAGCCAAATAACTACCCTCAGGACTCCGTTCCAAGTCGCCAGAAGCGTCTTGACACCGAAATGTGAGTGGTAAACGCTCTAGCCTGTCTAACCGACCTATTTTGGACCCTTGGGGGGAGAGTGTGTTAGACCTCGATTTAAGGTCTGAATCATGAGAGCTCTCATCTCTTCACCCTAAGCCTTCGGTGTACGACTATCGCCCGCAACGGAACCTGGACCTCAACATCTCTGGTGCCCACCGGATTCACACAGACGCCATTCTAGAATCTACTGTGACACAGTAGACGATCGCGCACCATCCTGTCAAACACAAGCGAACGGTGAAAGCAGATATCGTCCGCGAAACCACTCGCGATAGGCGCTCGTATGCACAGCCACTCCAAGGCGTGTTGCGGGACCGACAAGCTACGATTTTTCAGATCATCACTGTCACCATCCTTTAACCTCATGCCACGATGGCGACCGACCACGACGCGAGTGCCCAAAAGAAGGCCATTGCCCGGGAGAGGGCTCGCGAATATTATCACCGGTAAGCGCCAAACCTTTTCCTCAGGGCGACGGCTCATGTATTCCTCAGCAATCGAGAGCAGATTCTTGCCCAGCGCCCGAGCCGCAAACGGGACCAGACTTTGCACAAGCCCAGAGGTCGCCCACGTAAGTACGCTACGGAGGAGGAGCAAAAACGGGCGATAAGCCTGAAGAATAGACGATACTATCAGAAGTAAGTTACTCCTACCGCGCCCCCTCACGGAAAGCCAACCTTTCTGAAGAGTAGTTTATGGGCCCCCCCAACGCAAGTAAGTCACCCACCAATTACGTGCGCTTGGACCCCCCGTGGACCGCCGCTGACACGCTTCGTCTCCAGGCGCCAAGTATCACCCTCCTCCCAGCCAGGGCGCGAACCTTCATCGATGCGTACAGAGAGAGACTCATGGTGAGCGCAATAATTCCCTATTCCCTGCCAAGATATAGCTGGTTACACGGCGACCTCAGTCCTCCGCATATACTAGCAGCCTACGATGTCATGGAAACCGCTAGGTTGGAATTCCGCCGACTTACATCGTGCAGTCCGTACGAAAGGGCCAAACAACTGGCCTCGCAATTCATCCAAAGCAAAGACCGCACCTCCATTGCGAAGGAAGAAACCCAGGTGAACTCGATCCTCGCGAAAGCGCACGATGCTGAGAGGATGTTGTTGAATCAAGAGGGCACAATTACGGGCACATACTACCTCAAGGCCATCCAGGTATCGCGGCAAGTACGAGAATATCTACTCTGGGTGGAGGAATTGGACCTGGAGGCCAGATTCTCCCATATCGACTTCACTCGAGCGCTTCCACAAGGAGGAACTCGCTTTCCAAGTCGCGTGGAAGCGTAACAACCCCGCAGCGCATGTTCAAAACGGGTCTGCCCAAACCACAAAATCGTACAAGCGTATTAGATAGCGTATTCGATCTACCGATAAACTTAGGTTAAACTCCCAACGATTGCACTGTCTTGATCAAGATCTTAGGCCGAGGTACAGCGATGCCATAAACGCCAGTCAACCCCGCGAGTGAGAATCTGGAAGCGCTTTATGAGTAATTATTAATGGGTGTGCCTCGTGTTCCCTGCGGTAAGAACCCGCTAAATGTCCAACAAAGGACCCAAGCCAGACACCACCACGCATAAAGGCAGGACTCTCAACGCGAAGACCGTATCACCTGTTCCCCCTGACTTGGCCCCGCCATGTTACCCGACGAACCCCGCGCTCATTCACAAACCCAACAGATGGAGCAGTTTTACCGAGTCGGTGCGCTGTTCTATGCCAAGGCATGCCATCGCGGAGGTCGGGAGAAGTTTCTTCTCGACTTCTACATGCACGACAGGGCGCGGTGGCCGATTCCGCGGGAGAATTCCCAGTCCGACGATGACTTTGCGGCCAGCGTATATCGTCGGGAAATGGTAGGCTTATTCCCCAGCACGGCATTGCATTGAGATTGTTACTGACCACTCTGAGGACACCAGGCTGTGCTGAACTCGTTGACTTTCCACCGCATGACGGGCCCAAGGATCGAGCTTCCGATCACCTGGCAGCGGTTTGCTGCGTTGCGGCCCGGACCGGATTATGACCTCGTTGCGGTGAGCGCGCGTCTATTTTATTCTTGATTATGCTCCGATTCTCATTCGTGGGCTCGCTTTCCATATATAGAACCAAGTTCTTCGATTGCTCGAGGGAGAAGGCGACGTCGACCCTCCCAGTGAAATAGTCACGACACCGCCCAGTGCTGTCCCCACACGGTCGGCGTACGAAGGCTTAGGTGAATCACTGGAAGCGCCCATTGATCTTACTGGAGAGAGCGACCAGAGCGGCCCGTCCGACGAGGGTGACAACCCGGAAAATCCCATCGTCCTATAAACGCAATCGTGTATCACATTATACGTATATCCTGTCTTGACAATTCCACATGTTCGTAGCGACTAATGGACAAGTTTCACGAAGCTAGTACCGAGTGACTCCGATATTCTGTACGCATTTGCACCTCCTCTCACTGCAAGGCGATGACCTCCCTTTGGGACTTGGGAAGCGCCGCCAGTACATGGCAACCCGCTCCTGATGATGGTCTAGACGCGCCCGAACCTCTTCCCTTCTTTTTTGCAGCCTCCAATCAGGCTGCTGAACGTAATGATCGATGAATTTCTTCACAGGCATCAGTATCATGGGCGAGCCCTCCCAAGAGTTCCTCACCTTGTGGCGGTATTGAGCAACGAAATCAAAGTCAGCACTCCAGTGCTTCTTTTCGCGACTCTTTGGAATTTTGTTCTGTTCGCAGAATTCACTGGCCCGAGTTTCCAAAATGGACCTGTAATACTGTAGGAGTTAAGCGTCAGCCACGCCCAAGCACAAAAAACACCAAATGACCAACTGTGCGACGTTCGTCGTACGTGTTCATTGGTCCCACACGTTCCTCATTGAGGTAAGGTTCCAAAATCTCTTTCATTCCCTTCCAGAACATTTCGAAGTTCGGTTGGCGTGTGGTAACGTTGTCGTCGGAGACTGTGTCCATTTCCCCCTTGGGAATAGTTTGCGGCGCCTGGTACAGGCGGGCCAAAGTGACAGCATAGAAGGTTATAATTTCCATGACATCGAAATGGTAGTCGTACGGCTTAAGCAGAGGTCCGGCGGCAACGACAGCTTCCTGCACGTCTCGTTCAAGCCAATCATTGTATACCCGGGGATCCGCATCCTCGATAATTTCCCCCAGCCATTCATGTGGAAGATAGCCATCCTCTCGGGCATCGACTATGGAAGGAGGTTCAATAGGCGGTCCTGGGTGCAGACTGGGAGGGAGCAATATGTTCCAAAAGTCGTCGAGAGAGTTGAGAGTTCGGATGGCGACGTCGTTGGTTCTGTCCTTGTTCAAGTCCATAGCGATATCCGCGCCAGGTCAGACTGATGGAGGACTGTATGCGAGCGGAGGAGACCATCAACTTGGAGACAGACCCCCTGTCTATCAGTGGATGCGGCAATCAGGATGAATCTTCCCTGTGACTGCGGAGAATTCACCTTCTGGGGAATGTCGTGCTTCCCTGAAGGCCCAAACATCTTCTGCCGTCAGTCAAGGCGGTATAGCCGAGCAGAAGGTGCTAGTCTACTTCCGAAAAAATCAATGAATCTGGCAACCTGGACGGGCTTTACCGTAACTAACCTTCTGCCGTCTGATAGACGTTTCCCGGCGGAAATGACGATTTCAGATGGCGAATTATCCCTCTGACCGCAGTGGGTTCACGAATTTCGACCTTCCCTGAAAGCTAATCACTCGGCCTCGGTCATTCGAGAAGGTGATAGCCGCCCAGAAGGTGCCAGTCTACTTCCGAAAAAATCAATGACTCTGGCAACCTGGACGGGCTTTACCGTAACTAACCTTCTGCCGTCTGATAGACGTTTCCCGGCGGAAATGACGATTTCAGATGGCGAATTATCCCTCTGACCGCAGTGGGTTCACGAATTTCGACCTTCCCTGAAAGCTAATCACTCGGCCTCGGTCATTCGAGAAGGTGATAGCCGCCCAGAAGGTGCCAGTCTACTTCCGAAAAAATCAATGACTCTGGCAACCTGGACGGGCTTTACCGCAACTAACCTTCTGCCGTCTGATAGACGTTTCCCGGCGGAAATGACGATCTCAGATGGCGAATTCTCCCTCTGACCGCAGTGGGTTCACGAATCTCGACCATCCCCTGAAAGCTAATCACTCGGCCTTGGTCATTCGAGAAGGTGAAAGCCGCCCAGAAGGTGGGTAACTACTGCCCAAAAAAGGGGAGGTTGGTCGATGAGCGGTGGAGGTATAGACAAAACGTCGTCTGTTAAGCGCGCTCCAGCCGTGCTCCCATCTGAACCTATCTGAACAGCCGTCAGCGCGTGACATCAGATCTTTGCTCGATACTGCAGGCACGCCCAAACGGGCAAAATCCTACGTCATCCTACCGGGAGGGAGCTTCTTCCGAGTCAGTCACCGAAGAAGTCGTCCCGAGCCCAGAAATGATATATTAGAGACGACGCTGTGCCAGACAAACCCAGTCCACACACCACTGCAATACCCCTACACCATGGCTACTATTCCCCTTGCCCAAGGTCAGTTATTTTTGCTCCCCTTATCACTCCAAGCGTCGCCTAACATGTGTGGCAGTTGGTCTCAACGTCGCCGCCGCCAACGCGGAAATCCCTCCCAACAACTCCCAGGACACAGTTGCGATGGACGATGCTACCCACACCGACGTGCCCATCGATGTCGACCCGGATAGTGCTTCACGCTGCCATCTCTACACCGGCGCATTCGTCGACGTTATTGAGGGAACTCGTGAGGGGATCTTCAAGTGTGGTGGTTGCCGTGTGAGGAACAAGGTTGTTGTCGGGAAGATGGAAGCCCTCTACGTTGTCACTCGAGGCGATGGGTGTGTGGGGATTTTCAAAAATTATGTGAGTATTTCTAGGTTTTCTTTTTTTTTTTTTTCCCGTTTGGGTTTTGGTTTTCCTTTTCTCTGGTTCGTCTTATCTGATCACCCTCCCTTATCCAATCCTCACGTAGGCCGCCGCCGAGAAAGCTGCCAAGAAGACCCCCTTCAAAAAGGTGTACCATATCCAGGACGCGGTGGAACTTCTCATGGCCGCCCTCGACGACGAGGAAACCCTGAGGAAGCTCTTTGGTACCCAGTAGTCGCTTTTACTATCTCCCCTCACCTTCTTGGAGTCTCCATCGCCGCTGTCTGTAACCATGTGCGCTGTCTGTTACCATCGATTCCCTGCTGTCCCCTACGTGTACCATTATTTGTGTCAATGTCACGAGCTTTGTGTTGCCATTTCTTTCGCTTTGGTCGAGGGACACATGTGTGGTCAAATTAGTGAACCATTTTGTGTGACTATCAACTTTCGATCATCACGAACAATGTGCACTCTGAGAATTCACGGCCCGGTGATTGGTCCGGCGATCACGACTTCGATCGCTGAGGGGGTGGGTTCAACTTCGATGGATGGCAAATGCATATGGCGAATGTATGGGCGGACGAAGCTATGGAAAACTTGCATTCTGTTGGCCATCCTTTCGAGTTCTCCCGCCCTTCGTGACAGAGAGTGCTGCCACAAAATGGCACTCTCGTAACTTGCACGCAACCCCGATTTCCCAGTCGCGGGCCCTTAGGCAGGTTCGAAGAACGTCAACAAGACACACGATTCGTCTGACGATTGCCGCGTGTCGATGGAGCGGCCACCTCACGATAGGTTTACGGATCATATCACATTAAACCCCAATCTTCCAAATGACTGTTCCACTATTAAAGCTTAAAGCCTGCTCCGCGCGGCAACTCATTGTATGACGGGGGTTCTCTACAGGCGCATGCCAACCCGACATACGATTTATCTGACGATAACCACGGCTAAGAATGTCTCTAGACAAACAACGCGCTCCTTCTGACGATAACCACGGCAAAGGTCTCTACCCAAAGAACGCGCTTCCAAGGATTCTCAAACGTCAACCCGACATACGATTCATCTGACGATAACCACGGCAAAGAAGGTCCCTACAAACAACGCGCTTCATCTGACGATAACCACGGCAAAGAAGGTCCCTAGCCAAAGGACGCGCTTTCAATGATTCGCAGAAGTCCGCTTAAGCGCAGAACCCGCCTGGGGCAGGTGAACATGTGTTCGGCATATGCCCGTCACAATTAAATCGAATTAATCTCGCCCTAGTCCTGTAACGGGATGGCTCAGGTCAGATAAATATCTACCAGACAAGAGAGCGTCGTCTTACTTATCCCTCTCTTGCCCACACATACCCCCGTCTTGCGCTCTTTTCACCAGTTCAACCATCTTTGCTGCCCTACCCTCATCGTCGTTTCACCATTTCCACCACATTAGCTGCCTTACCCCCGTCGTTGTTGAGGCTTCGTTGCCTGCGTGTTCCCCGAACCTCAGTGAGCTCTGGTCTGTTGATGCGTGCTGAGGAGGACGTTACTCACCTGTAGTTCTGCTCTCCACATTAGAATGAAGCACCCCGGCGAAAGCAACATCAACTTGGACGCTTTCGTGGCGAGCGACGTCGATGATAGCGAGCATCGTATCTTCACGGCCAGTATATCTCCTGGGAGTACCCCGGCGCGAAACACTCGTGGACAGACGCGAGGTCGCCTTCGTACACCGCCATCGCCTCCCAAACCTCGGCCTAGAGGGCGTCACGCAAAGAAACCCAAACTGGTCGAGGTCCCTGTGAGCGAGCAACCCCCCCAGCGATCTCCGTCACCCGACCCTTTCCTGGCGCCGCCGGGTACCACAGGGTTGATGTCCACACCTGCCCCCTCAACGTCGGTTCATGCACCGCCGTCTTCGGTGTCAGCGTCCATGCCGACCACTATCTCCTCGTCGTCGTCGCCTCAGGACCCGCCGTCTGTGGTCGCGTCCATGGACACTGGGCTTCTATCCACGGTCTCCTCCTCGTCGTCGGTTCTAGCCCCGCCGTCTTCCATCGCTCCTTCCTTCGCGTCCACTCTCTCCTCGGCATCGTCGACTCATGAGCCGCCGTCTTCCTTCGCGTCCACTACCCTCCCCAGTGCTTCATCATCCGTAGGCGTGTCCCTTCTGACTTCGGCGGCGCCGTCACCTACGTTCGGGGGCCAATCGCTTTCCATCGGCTTCGAGTTTTGTACCCTCGATAGCTGCCCAGGCCACCTCGTCGACGTCTACCACACCTACACAGTCGACCTTGGTTCAGCCCAACGGCGTCGCTCCCGCACCGTTGGCCGCCCCTTATTCAGCATCAGCTCTGGGCAGTATTGGCGCCCGTGGTCTTCGCCTTCCTTCGCCACCCCCCTTCTCCCTCACCCGTGATCAACTTACCAGCATGGTTCAATCGGGCGCGCTGCATGCCAGCGTCTTGGATTCCTATTGCGGTCCGGGTCCATTCACCATCTCCATCGGCGATATGGGCAGGCTGGTAGCGGCGTCCAACTCCAATGCAAGCGCCGCATCGTGCTCGACCGACATGATGGATAACATTATGGAGGGTGTTGATTGGGATACCGTCGGTAGCTTGGTCGATGACGCCTCCCTAGCATATGCCCGGGAATTTCCCAAGTTGATGGCGTCCCAGTCGAGTGGTGAGACCCAGGATGTGTCAATGGAGGGGGATCCGGGCAGGGTGGACGATGATGATGTAGAGATGGGGTGGATGGATGACGACCAAGATGCAGATAACGCGCGACAAGGTACCCCGTCTCCTCCATCGCAAAACACTGCAGGTCCTAGTCAACAGCTCGCCAAACAAGGTCCCGGTCGCATCTCCAAGGAAACGCACAGAGTCATTGAGCTCGTGTTTAGCGCCGTGGGACGAGCTCGTTGACGACATTTCGGCGCAGACAGGCATCGTGGCTAGCCGGGTCCGATCAATCTTGAAAAGGAGGTTGGAGGGCAAGGACGTCGTGTGGTCCAAGATTCCCGATACGACCCATGGACCAGAGAAAACAAAGCAGTTACTCGAGTCGGGCCTACGACAAGCTGATTCGGCATTCGACATTGCGGCTTCCCAGTCTGGCCGTACCAAGGATTCGATTGTCGCGAAATACTTCAAGACTTATGCCCACCATCGACAAGGCAACGAATGGAACGAATTCAACCGCGCCAACGGCATCATCGCGAACGCAAGGAAGGCTGCAGGAGGTTCCACCGCCGTTGGTCTGATGCCTTCAGAAGGTGAGTGTTGGCATCTCCGTCTTGATTCATCATGTTACTCATTCGGCCATTCCACTTAGCTGCGGACGCTTATTCCAGGGCGAAGGACAATGGCGATCTCGACAAAAAACTCGAAGCCCTACGCGACACTCTTTCGACGGCAAACACGGCCCAGATGACCGCCGTGGCTCGCCGCAATCTCCTTGAAAGCTTCAAACACTCGTCCTCGAACCTGATCAGAACTGCCGAGAGGGCCAACGCTGCCGCCATCGTCTTGTGCGTCGGTGCAGGGATCCATCAAGACCAGAACTTCATACACCTCGACACATCCAGTGGTTTACAGGGGGTGAGTGCGTCTACTTGGGTTCTGCATATATATTCACCTCCTCCCCCAGTTCCTCGAAAAATTGACAGGTCTGTCGACTGATGATATCCTCGGGTTAGCCCGTACATGGTCGTGGTAAGGTCCAACGTTCATCTTCCCAACGCCGTATACTGAATATCTTGACGAATGTGAAGACGGACACATCGCAGGACAAGGGACCAAAGTGAAAACCAACACGCAAGTGTACGATGATACGGGTACGATGGCCATGGTCTGTAGACACGACTATCCGCTCTTCCTCGCCAACATCGACACTCCTGGCGAGCAGCAAAAGTATGCTGTCGCTCTCATCAAAAAGCTGTTCACCATGATCCCCCCCAACGCAACCGTGGTGGCATTTTACGACGTTGGGTGTGTCCTTGACCGTTCCCTACAATTGGTGAGTCTTGCGTACGGTATCTGGCGTCAGGTACGCTGTAACCAGTGCAGCCGGGCTTATCCACCCCTGTTCGCTAGTATGAAATTCTACCCGAGTCGATCACCTCAAGATTGGAATTCTGCACAAGCGCGATGCATGCGTATGCCCACCAGTGGGCGTGTCAACTCTACTACAACCCGCGGTTCCAGGACGGTACCGGAAACACCAACGGGGAGGGCACAGAGAGGCTATGGGCAATTATGCGAAAGCTCATCGCGATCGCGAGAATGTCTTCTGTAAGTCCCTCGGCTTCAAGTATCTTCCTGGAGACCCGGTGACTCATCCTCTACATCCGCCAGCGCTCGCGACGTCTCTGGTTGATAAATCAGCTGATGAAATCTCATCGAAAGGGCACCCGACAGAATCTGGGGAAGTGGGTCAAGACTCAGCGCACGGCTATCGCAAAGCAGATCCCCGAGCAGCAATCCATCCTTCAAAAAGTCGGCATCCCAATTACGGAGCTCCGGTCGGAGTGGCAGGACCAGCGAGAGAAGCAACTCTCCATTAGAGGGCGTACGTCTCTGCCTTCCGCTCCGTCGTGTGCTCACGCTAACAAATCTCAGACCAACCCACACGGCTGAAGCAGCAACTCGATGAAGTCCTTCGCATCCAGGCCGACATTGACCGTATCGATGCGCGGATCGAGGCGATGGCCGCAACTGTCCAGAAAGCCGACGATGACGACGACCCATACCGCAGCATATTACATAACATGAAGGTTACAAGGCAGAACACCCTCCAGAAGATGGAGCAACACTATGAATCATTGAACGTGGGGGACGCCTACCCCGAGTTGCGCGGGATGGACTACAAGTTTGTCAAGACTCTACTTTTGATGCGTGACCTCAAAATCAATATTCGGAAGCGGGCCATCGCCCAATTTCTCGAGTTCGATCAACTCAATCAAGCCTACGGCGGGAAGGAACAACCCCTTGGTGAGACAAACGAGTTGAAACCCCTCGGAGTACCCAAACGTTCGCTGACATGATCACACCCAGGCACCAATCTCCACCAGCTCACGCGCAAGGCCATAGAGAACCGGCAGCCCGCCCTCATGGCTGCAATTGAGAGATTCAACACTCACCGAGCGCAACTTGTCAAACTTATCAAACCCGAATGGGGCATTGTCCTCCCCCGTGAACTCCCGGTAAACCTCACAGAACTACGGGACCACTCCGATCTCATGGAGGACGTATGGCTCACGCCCGCTACGGGGGGAGCCCCTCCTCCCAGGTGGTTAGAGAGTGTTGATGTTCGCCGAGGCATTCGGGCGATGCTCACACTTGAGAGGTGCCAAGAGGAAATCGTGCGCCTCAACCTAGAGGCTGACAACATGTGTCGCTGGTATGGGCGAGAGATTGCGAGCGTCGAAGTTACAATCAGGGAGACACCCAGCAGACCACTCAGTAGGATACCCCATGTCCCTTGAGCGGGCTGACGGGCAGATATGGCATCAGACATGTAGCTAGCTGACGAGCCGAGATCAGATCAAACCATCAGTAGCCTTGGGTCAGCCAATGCAGTGGTACTACCATCACCTTTGTAGCAGCCCTTTAGTGACTTGACCCATCTAAGTTATTCCAACCAACAGAGAAGAACCTGCAGTTCCTTTGTATCAGCCTTTTGCACTGGAAGGCCCCTAAACACTTCTTAATTTGGCTGTGGGAACCTTTAGTCAAATTCATGTGACATCACTGCTATAGAATTTCCTTTTGCGGGGATTGATTGGATTTCTATGTGGCCGGGATTTTCTGGGGGAATCCCGGAGAAAGACAATGAGGGGATTGGTTAAAGGTGCTGGTGTATATTAGCAAATGGTGCAGATCAGATTTAGTCTGTGCTGGTGTACTCAAATTGACATTCTGGAACTGCCAAAATCTGTTGGAGATTGCAAAAATGTGCCAGGAATTACAGAAAAAAATTGTCAAAAATTGCACAAAAATGTGTTGGGAATTGCTGGGAAATGTGTCGGAAATTGCGGGAAAATGCATCGGAAATTGCGGGGAAATGTGTCAGAGATTGTGGAAGTCCGAAAAATGTGCTGAAAATTGCGGGAAATTGTGTTGGGAATTGCGGGGAAGTGGATTGGGAATTGCGCAAAAATGCGTCGGAAATTGCAGGAACTTGTGTTGGAGATTGCGGGAAAATGTCCGAAAAATGCGCCGGAAATTGCGGAAAAAATGTGTCAGAAATTGCGGGAAAATGTGTCGGAGATTGCGGGAAAATTGCGTCGGAGATTGCGGAAATCCGAGAAATGTGCCGGGAATTGCGGAAAAATGTGTCAGGGATTGCAGAAATGTGTCGGGAATTGTGGAAAAATGTGTTGGAGATTGCAGAAATGCATTGGAGATTGCGGAAAAATGGGCCGGAAATTGCAGAAATGCGTCCGGATGTATCAGTTGTACCTTCTTGTGAACAAAAAGTGTCTATCATATTTATTAGGTCTTAGGAATATACTAAAAAGTGGTATAGATTGGCAAAAAGACAATAGGAACTTACTACATGCATTTCAAATTTGCTAAAAGGATCCAAAGTTAAAATCATTGGGAGCTTATTAACAATGTACCATGTTGGGATAATTGATAGCATTGGGAATTTGTTGAATGCACCAGCAATTTATTCAAGGTGGTGAAACCCAACACAGATGTTGGGAACTTGTTCAAGGTGTCGCAGATTTGCTAAAGATGCTGGGAATTCATTGAAGGCAATTGGGAACTTCCACAGGGTGTTGGAAAACCACTACAGGAATTGGAGTTTGCTGAAGACGTCCGGAATCCAGGTGTCAGGAACTTGCTCAAGGTGTTAGTAATGTACTCCAAACGTTGGAAACGCACAAAAGAAATCAGAGATTTGCTCAAGGCATTGGAAACCCCCAAAAGACGTAAGGAACTCATTCAGGGAGTCGGAGACATCGGGAATTCGTTGAAGGCGTTGGGTACTCGCTCAAGGAGTCAGGAATTCATTGAAGACATTGGGGCATTTGTTCAGGGAGCCGGAAACCCGAAACAGACGTTGACAGATGTCAGGGATTCGATCAAGGCGTCCAAAACCAACAAAGGATGTTGGGAATTCATTGAAGGTATTGGGAATTCATTCAGGGAGTCAAAAGCTCCCAACAGACGTCGGGAATTCATGCAGGGCATTGCAAACACCAAGACAGACTTTGGCAATCTGCTCAGGGCGTCGGAAACCCGCAATAGATGGCGGGACTTTGATTAAGACATCGGAAATTTGTTAAGGGCGTCGGAAATTCCCTCAGGGAGTCGAAAACCCGAAATAGACGTCGGGAATTGGCTTAGGGAATCAAAAACCCGCAAAAGGCGGTGGGGATTTGCTGAAGGCACTGGGAATTCACTCAGGGAGACAAAAGCCCGAAGTAGACGTCTGGAAATTGCTTAGGGCATCAGAAACCCGCACAAGGCGGTGGGGATTTGCTGAAGGCATCGGGAATTTGCTCATGGAGACAAAATCCCACAATAGACGTCGGGAATTTGCTGAAGGTGTCGGGAATTCACTCACAGAGTCGAAAACCCGCACAAGACGGCGGGGATTTGCTAAAGACGTCGGGATCTCGTTGAGGGTGTTGGGAATTTGCTCAGGGAGATGAAAACACGCAATGGACGTTGGGAATCTGCTCAGGGCATTGGAAACCCGCAACAGACGGCAGGACCTTGATTAAGACGTTGGAAACCCGCAAAAGATAGCGTGTATTTGCTAAATACATTGGGAATTTGTTAGGGGCATTGGGAATTCGCTCAGAGAGACAAGAACCCGCAATAGACGTTGGGAATTAGCTTAAAGCTGTGGAAATCCGCAAAAACCGGTGGGGATTTGCTGAAGGTGTTGGGAATTTGTTGGTGTCGGGAATTCGTTCAGGGGAACAAAAACCCGCAATAGACAGCAGGAACTCACTTAGGGCGTCGAAAACCCGCAAAAGAGGGCAGGGATTTGCTTATGGCGATTGTGAATTTGCTGAAGACATCTGGCATTTGTTGGAGATATCAGAAACTCACTCAGGGTGTTCACTATTTGATAGACAGCTACATGCATTGAAAATCCGCTATAGGCGTCTGAAATTTGCTGAAGGTATTGGGAATTTACCAAAGATATTTAATTGGACCTTGGTTGATTCAGCTGAGGCATGTTACAAGGAATTTACGTTACTTTAGCTGATACAGGTCTAATGGCCACTTACCACTCTCAGCTGATACATGGGTGTAAGGAGTCTAGACCCTGTTGGCTCATCAGCTAGACCTATAACTGATGGCATATTTGCCCGTCAGCCCACTCAAGGGACATGGGCATGGTCTACTGAGCCTTGTGCTCCAGGGGGAAAGGCCCCGACGATAGACGTCGTCGTCAGTGAACGTCGGAAATAATCATCCTTTGGCTGAGATCGTACCTCTCCAACTCGCCAACCCACCCCTCCATCCGACTTCGATCTTGTCTCTGGACACTGAATCCCCTCACATCTGCGATGGACCAGCTTCTGACGTCTCTCGTCTACGGAGGGGCTCTTTCCCTCCTTGCCGTGGCCTTGGTGAAAGGGGTAAAACAGGCCTCTCGTCCTCCCACTCCACCGGGACCCAAAAGATACCCGCTTATTGGAAACATCCTCGATCTTCCGAGCAAGAGGGGATGGGTACACTATCAGGCAATGGCTGAGAAGTACGGTAAGTTCCCGCGCTACAAGACAGCTGGACGCCGCTGACCTTTTGGATGACCTAACATAGGTGACATTATCTACCTCGAGGTGTTCGGGCAGCCAATTCTCATCTTATCATCCATGAAGAGAGTCCACGACCTCTTCGAGAAACGGTCGAGCAACTACTCTGATAGGCCTCAGCCTACCATGTTATGCGAATTGTAGGTTCAGACGCGTCAGCCCCCTGGGCCTTCCTTCACTGCTGAATCCTATTCCTGACTACCGGTTATAGGATGAATTACCGTCACCTGCTCAGCGTGATGCCCTACGGAGACGAATGGAAACTCCAGCGGAAGGTCTTCCACCAACATTTCCAGCCTAATAATCCCTCGCTGTGGCACCCCATCATCGTCAAACAAACCCGAAACTACCTCAAGGGTCTCTCGAGGTCACCGGAAGAATGGGCTACCCACGCAAAACAGTAAGCATTCCTACTAGCTTCACCTACGGAAAAGTCTAATAAAAGGCGTGATGCAGACTATTCAGCGCCATAATCGTCGAGATCACATACGGCGTCGAGACCGAGTCTCCAGAGGACCCATTCATCAGCACTATGACAGAGGTCGCGAACGGGTTCGGCGAGGCGTGTCTGCCTGGGCGCTTCCTGGTCGATACTATCCCCATCCTGAAATACGTACCAAGCTGGTTCCCAGGTGCTGGATTCCAGAAGTTTGCTGCGTACTACAAGGCGATGGAAGAAAGGTCGAGGTATGAGCCGTTCGAACATGTCCTCGAAACCATGGTAAGTGTGCTCTGAGTGTTGCGCAGCTGTGTTCTGGACACTGACGCTTCGTGGCTATAGAGAAACGGGGCTTCCTCCCCTTGCATGGTTACGTCCATGGTCGAGGACTTGCCGGAAGAAGGGGATCCATCGCGAGCAAAAGCGGAAGATGTTGCTCGAAGCGTAGCTGCTGTGACACATGGAGGTTGGTTTCAGTGCTTTCCACAAACTCCAAAAGTCATACTAACAGCTTCTTGTCGCCCAGCTGGTTCCGATACGGTCTGTACAGTGTACTCGAAGTGCTTTTTACTTGCCTGTCTTAGCTGACACAATCCCTCAGACCCTGGGATCCGCTCTCGCATTCTTCGTCCTCGTCGCACTCCACCCAGAGGTGCAGAGAAAAGCACAGCAAGAGCTCGACGAAGTCGTAGGCTTCGGCAGGGTGCCCGACTTCTCTGACCGTGAACGGCTGGTCTATACGACAGCAATCGCCAAGGAAGTCTCTAGATACCACCAAACCATGCCTATGGGTGCGTGAGCGATGATTGGACATTGTCTCGAACGCAGTGATTTATGACCCAGAATTCACTCGATACAGGCTTTCCCCATTCAACAACCCATGATGACATTTATGACGGTTATTTCATTCCCAAGGGCACGATTGTCATGGGCAATGCATGGTAAGCATTTCGACTCCTAGGTGCATAGCGACTGGGCCAATAATATCTGCATAGGCATATAATGCACGACCCAGAATTATTCGAAGACCCGATGTCGTTCAAACCAGAACGGTATATCAAGAACGGCCGAATTGACCCCACAGTTCTCGACCCAAACGACGCTGCATTTGGGTTCGGTCGAAGGTGAGCCGCGAATTCCCTCTCCAGGTCTACATGAATCAAGCAAAGGATCACCTAAACTCTTCGTCTAGAATATGCCCTGGACGTTTCGTTAGCGGGGATTCACTATTCTTGATGATTGCCTCCACCTTGGCCTACTTTGATGTTGTCCCGCCTACAGATGAGACTGGCAGGCCGACGATCAAATACGAGCAGTCTGACCGTAGTATGTCGTAAGTTGTCTCTCCTCTTATCCCAAATTTCTATTACTTACGAGGCTAACACCGGCTTCCGGCCTGTCTTCTAGACATCCAGAGCCTTTCGAGTGCTTCCTGAGGCCACGTTCAAGGACAAGCGAGGATCTTTTCCGGCATTTATAAGAACTGGAGGATCACATCGATCACACCGGACAGTCAGATGTTCACTTTACCTTTCAATCGTTCGTCACCTTCGGGTCGGGTCATACTGAGCAAGATATAAAAAGTAGTAAATGGTAGCTAATACACGTACAAGAAAGGGTAACAATGGGTAAATTCCAAGTAACTGGGTCGTAAAAGGGAGATCGAATGGCAAAGATCTATCGTCGTGAAGAGGGGTGGTGGTGGTGGTGGAGGAATATCGCCGGTAGCGTAACAAGATCCCATGTGTTTCCCATGAATTGATAAGGGGTGCGAAGCGAAAGCAAGGCATAACTCGTGTTACGGAGAGCAAGAAAGCAGAGGGGAAAGTCCGCAGAGAAACCGTGTAGGGAGAGGATAGAGGGATGGGCATATAATTTCTGGATCCCGCCAGTACTTTTTGGTGATAGCACAAGATCGGTTCTATATCCACCGACGGGGTCGTACCATCATCATATTTGCAAGCATAAGCAAATTTCGGTTAAAAGTGGGATATACTGCATGGAGCGGTCTTGTGGTGTCAGTGACAGCAGAGCGGCAGAGCCTCACGTTTTTGTCATGTCCGTCACCGGTACAGCCGGGGAATGCGGCGAACATCAATTGTTAGGTTTCTCGAATCGTCAAAACGGGCATGGACAGCGCCCATGTCGATATCGTGTGGCGGGAATGTTATCTGCCATTCGTAGTGACCTAGAAAGCAAGCACAATGGAGTCAATGAAGGAATCCGAGTAGCAAGGGACGCACTCTCGTTCTCCAAATGCCAGACATCCGCCACGACCTTGAGTTTATCCCCCTTGTTCGCACACACAGTCACCATCTCGGGTTGAATCGCTGCTGGGAGCTGTACCGAGAGGGTATAGTTGTACACCGTCGATGTTATCTGCATCTGCGGTGAATTTGATGATGGCGGCATCCTCCGACTGCGGTCCATGGGGGACGGCAGGTCCTCATAACCCGGAGTGGATGTAGAGGGCCTCGAGCTGTGGTAGGAGACTGGTTGCACCTGAGGGCCTGAGTTGCGATGTCGCGATGTTGTAGCTGCAAGGGAAAGTGTCGGGGGATTAGGAATGTGCATGGCAAATTGCCTAAGCGCTTCCTGTTCAGGTGTCGTCACCGAACTGGAACTCGTCGTCGTCGTAGCGCCGCTGGGGTTTCGGGAAGTCACGGTGGCCGTTATGATTGGATAAGGGGTAGGACTGGGTATATGGGGTGAAGCAGTCGCTGAGGGCGATTGGGATGATGCGGCGGTGGATGGTGCGTGAGGTGAGAAATATGATGCGTCAGAGCTTGCTGGTGATTGTGGGCTAGAGGGTGCTCTGGACAGGAGAGGGGCACTATAGCCTCTATTTACTTGCGGTCGAGAGGCGTTACTTGCCATCAGGTGGTGAGCGTATCAACGGATCCCTGGGTTTATAAAGACCAGCGCTGCGTGAGGTGCTACCTTGAGTGTTGGGGCCTTGAAGCATGAACGTGGTGGAGATCTTGGCCGAATGAACCCTGTCTCGACGAAACAGAACTGAATGAAGGGACCGCCGTCAACAAGATCAAACCGATTCCGAGAGGGAAAGACGAAACGGAAAGGAATGAGGGGGTTGTTTGGGCGAAGGACGGAGTTGGGTGATGGGAAGATCTCTGAGAGGCTCCAGCGAAAGAAGGATTACTCGGGCGTTGGACTGAAAGATGTCGGCTTGTGGAGCTGTTGACGTCGAGACTGACGAATCACGGGCCTCGTTGCCTTCAAAAGGACATATGTTGAATATGCTCTTCCACTGTATTGACCTCCCACTGTCGTCTGCTTCCGATGTCAGCGATACTCGTTAGCGACAGGCTAAGGGTCAACCGCACCGGGTGACTCGAGGTGAGTGGGAGGGAAAGAAGCCCGACAAAATTCTGGGCGTCCTTGCTATTTCGTGATGCTGATTAGATTCAACCGGATGACGTCGACAATCTCTATAATCCCTCTGTGAATTGTTGTGTCTTCCTTGATGCTCTGATCCCCGCGCAGCCTGGTGGAGTCGCACAAGCGATTTCTACCAGGAGACTAACGAGCAGAATTTTGCTTTATCTCTGGGGATTGGGACTCCAACACCCTAGTAGAAGCAGCCATCAACAAGAACCTCCTCTGAGACCGCTGTGCCGCACTGCTCACCGAAGTTCACGACCTCTCTTGCCTAAAACAAATGTCGGTACCATTTGTTCCTGTGACGCGTGTTGATGGAGGGCCCATGCCAAGGCGTTCCCGAAGCCTGCGGCGGAATCGCATTTTTTCCCTCCAAAGGATTCATGCCATCGCCACCAACTTCTTCGAGCTGGCCTTGCGCGTGCTCAAGTCCGTGCAGCAGGCATTCGAGTTGTATGAACTCACCCTTCTTCGAACTGCTGACGTTCGTGACGCGTCGAATTATGAACGCGTGGACCCTGATCCCCCCGCACTCAGTGACTCGGATTTGCTGCATCGGGATACCCGAATGATCGTCCTCTACTTCTTGTCCGTTCTGGCAATCCAAAGCTTACCATCTTCTTGAGCCATTGAACTTTTCTGACCTCGCAATGGTTTCCTTCAAGTTCTCTCTCTACGCCATACGTCATAACGCTGCAATTCCTGGATCTTCGGACGGTCTTTGCGGTCGAGTTAAATCGTACCAGGGCCACGGTCGGGCGACGAGCTGTGGCGCAGCCTCGAGGGCATCTAGATTCTAGCTCGAGGCTATTATACACACTCCATGCCTTGACGTGTGCCCGGTCCGCAGGCCTAAAAACGTGGTCACCGAAAGCCGCAACGCGCTCTCGGAGGGGAGAATCCAGCTGGACTTACAACACTGTGACCGCTCTGCCCGGTGATCACCTCTCTGCTGGATGATTGGCTTCGTGGAGACCGCATCCCAAGTTCGAAGTGTGACTGTTCTTTGGAGCAAAGCTTGCCGCATGAGTCCGTGATCGATCTATGATTCTGGGCCTGGCAACAGCACCTATTATCCTCCAATACCGGCGGCTTCTAAAGGTATCGAGAGCGCCTCATGGACGAGGGCCGTCCATACAGCTGCTGCAGTAACTGTAATAGAGGGGGAAAACGTCGTTTCAGACTTTGTGTTGTCAGCGTACGTGCAGCTCGTGTTCTTCATCTGCACACTGCGCGTGTTCTGATGCTGATCCCGGCATAACAGCAAGTTTCACGCCGAAGGCAATTCGAATGTGTGAACGGGGTGCGCACCAAATCACTGGCTGCACCCTAATTCATCACTCGCTTTCACTTCTCTGCCGCGAAGATGAAGAGAAGGGCGAAAGAGGCGTGCAATTTCATCACACTTCCGTAATAACCAATCGATTGGTTGGCCAGCCTTGTCGGCGAATCGAGAAGTCTAAGAAACTAATGATTTGTGAGTGGCCTTTCTCGTTGATCATCGCCGAGTCTTCCCTCCTTCTAGCGAGAAGGCTGACGTCACGTTAGTCTGAAGCAGATATTCTTTCGATTTCTTTCACGTTCGTTGTAGAGGTCCTAAAAGGCAAGAGATTTTGTTAGTAAAAGGTCTAGAGGCCCCAATGTTTCGATCGGTACAGGCAAGAGAGGAAGGATAAGGGTCCCGATCTTAGTTCGCTTCATATGAAAGGAACGTTGGGGCTTCAAGTAGGACGGCTGAAGTGCGCAGGACCCGGCCACATTCTCAACTCGCGGTATTCAGTCATGTGCGCCAGCTGCATCAAGTGAGCTTATGTGACAGCAAGGTTTCGTGAGCAGCGCTCCGGAAATACGGACATGGTGACATGGTCTCCACAGAGGTCTGACTCCTCACGACGTTGCCGCTCACCTCGTCCGACGGGTCACAGCGATAAATATCATCAAATTCAGCTGGAATCAGTCATGATACAGAGTTCATGTGGACGTGCCTATTTTTTTCTTCAACCAAGGCGGGTGGGTTAATGGGAAGATTGTCTCACTTCAGGATGAGGCGTTAAGCCCATGTCGTGTTGGTGGGTCGGGGTTGCTTCACTCCGTCAACCCATACGTCGACTTTTTCGTCGAAGAAACAGACATAGCCGCGGATCGGAGAGCTTTCCAGGGTAGTGTTTGGGTACCACCACACCAAATCCTTGAGGTGCTCTCCGTTAGGGAGAATGACGTCGTAGTAACTCGCCTCTCCCTGATTACGAGGACGGCTCGGCTCATTAATCACGAAAAGAGGGTACAAAGGGGACGCTCCTCACCTTGTAGGGGCAGCCTGTCTTGAGGTCCGATACTTTCCACAGTTTCATGTTGCAATCGACCTTGGGGATATAGGTCCTGACAGGCAGAAGTGTTTCGAAGAGGAGTCTCGGGTTGCGTGTGTTCGCTAGCTCCACTCCGTTGACCTCCACCCTAACATGACGAGAGGACTGGAGTATGTCGACGCGCTGGGTGCACACAAACAAATCAGAGCTTTCCTTGACACGACATCTGACTGTGTGCGTACTTTGTATGGGTCCTTGGGATGGACGAAGATCTGTTCCTCTTCTTCAAACCAGGCGTCCATTTGGGAGAACCTGTTGATGGTGAACAGGCCCCTGAGATCCCCAGATGTGAATTCTGTCAAGGCGTTTTTCCCTTTCTCGGGCTCTCCCAAGGTGAGGTTATAGGTAACGCTTCCGTCTCCTTTAAACTCGCATTCCAAATGTTCTTTTGGAAGGTCCTTGGAATCGAAGAAATAGGTTGGATAGGCAGGTTTTTGCCAACTATTATTTCGAGCCCGAGCAATCTCTTTAGATTAGCTTCCGTCAGATAGATCATGCTTACACGAGTTTCGCCTCTTTTGTGTCAATAATGAAGATTCCAGAGTAGCACACTCTGACCCTTTTCGCGGTTTCTTCGATGTGAGGTAGCGGGAAATTCATGATGGTAGTAGAGGGAAAAGAATTCTCCGAGACGGGGTTCGAACTCTGAGACAGATGGCCGACTGCCTCGGGATTTGCCGATCGCAGGTTCCCACATCGCGTCAGCCGCCACGGCACCTTGGGCGCCTTTGACCGACGACCACCACCACCGAACACGCAAAGCCCGTTTTCCTCAACGGCGTAGCAGATTCGAGACCCTGGAGGTTTAAGGAATCTCCATAAAGGGGCTAAAGTCTGGGTCAATCATCGATTTCAATTATTTGGCGCAATTGGGCTGGTATGTGCACTGTAACTTTGAATTGTAGTCCAGGTGTTGACCGTTCAGATCGCAGTCACTGGATTTAACATGAGCCTAATGCTAGATGCTCTCTTGCTTTTAACTGGATGGACTCACGTCCTCCTCGCACCTTACACCAAGGTCGAAGAAAGCTTTAATCTGCACGGAATACACGATGTTCTTATGTACGGCGTCAGTACAAAGGCTTTGCCAAAGGTATGTTGTGATTTGAATCTCCAGTGCACCGATTCCAACACTAATGTAGCCAAGTATGACCATTTCGTCTTCCCTGGCGCAGTACCTCGAACCTTTATTGGGAGTACGTTGTTGGCATGGGCAGTACGACCGATAGCCAATAGTGTTCTTCCGTTCGGGCTTCTTCAGACCAAATTTGACCTCCAGATTATGGGTATGTCAAGACTCTACGAAGAAATGAGTGTGTGACTGACGGAACACGCAAAGCACGCCTGGTTCTGGCAACCACCAACGCTTTAGGCCTTTGTCTGATTCGAAGAGCCGTCTCTCAGAGATTCGGAAGACTCACGGGTCTATTCTTCGCGGTTTTGACGTGTACCCAGTTCCACCTGCCTTTTTGGATGGGACGAACTGTGCCTAACATGTTTGCACTCTTTTTGGGTGAGTTTCTACTTGGTGGCCTTTGATGTATCTAAATCTTCGCGTTCAGTGAACCTTTCGACCTACCTCTTGCTGAAGCGGGCACCGAATGCCTTACGACTATCATCCGCGACATCCTCGACCATCATCTCTCTCCTCACCTTCACCGCCGTCGTCTTCCGGGCCGAAGTCGCGCTCTTCCTGGCGCCCGTCGCGTTACAACTTCTCCTCACCAAGAACATCGGATTCCGAAAGTTAATCACCGTCGGGCTCACGGCTTCCCTCCTTTCCATTGCAACGACAGTTTTGGTCGATTCTTATTTCTGGAACCAACCTTTGTTATGGCCCGAGTTCTCGGCCATCTACTTCAACGTTTTCCAAGGCAAGAGTGCGGAATGGGGAGTCTCCCCGCCTTTGACCTATTTTACCGCATTCCTTCCCAAGCTCCTGTTATCGGCTCTACCGCTCTCGATAATCGGAATGGTGACCGACCTCAGGATATTCCGGTTGTTGCTTCCTTCGTGGATCTTCGTTACCTTGATCAGCTTCTTGGGACACAAAGAATGGCGTTTCATCGTCTACGTCGTTCCGATATTCAACGTTGCCGCTGCTCGAACATGCAAGTCACTGTGAGTACTCGAACCACTTGCCTTGTTACGTCAATAACCACCTTTGTACAGGGTGTCTTTCCCCAAGAACGGCCGCATGGGACGCATTCTCTTCGCGATCCCCTTCGCGTGCATCCTGGCAAACCTTGCCTTCACCTCATTCACCACCTACGCCTCGATAATAAATTACCCTGGTGGCGAGGCAATGCGACAATTCCACGCGCTATACCCTCCTCACTCGAAGCCAGTCCACGTGCACATTTGCAATCTCGCCGCACAAACCGGTGCCTCACTCTTCCACCACCTCAATTCACCTCCTTCATGGCCGACGCTGGAGCCTAACGTCCAATCGGCTTGGATTTATAACAAGACTGAAGGCCTCGAGATCGACGATCTACTGGGCAACTCGCGCTTCACCCATCTTATCATCGAAACCCCGCCTACCGATCGGTTACTTAGACGCAGGCCGTGGAAGGTTGTCGACAGTATCCGGGCATTCGATGGCGTCAAACTGGACCTTTCTGCAACTAAAGGCCTGCTCCAAGCGCGGGACGCTACCGGGTTGATTCAGCGACTCTCCCATGCAATTACTAGCACCATACAGATCAAAAGGACGGACAAGCTTTGGATATTGGAACGGCAATCGTAGTTCATTGTAAGTCAATTTCGCGCTGGCTTCCTAATAATCTCCGCTTACACCTTGCCTCGTAGATATACCCTGTACTTATTTATGAAATACATGATCCATGATCGTTCGGATAGAGCTGACCGGGCTACTTCAAGACAGCAAGTCACGGACTGGAGACGCAGAGCAGACTCGATCGGCCGTGGCTGGGGTTGCAATGCAATCTCCTTTCATGCGAGCTAAAAAGAGTCGACGGATCCCCTCGACCTACCCCTCTTCCAGGACAGGCATCCTAACGCTTCACGACTAGTTACGAACGTTCCCCTCAACTCATAACGAACTCGACATGCCTCCTTGGAACAGCAGGTTGCGAAATCTCAAACCGTTCAGGAAGGTTAACGACAGGCTCAGGGTATTGAAGAATAACATCCTTGAAGCTACATGCCTCGGGCATGACCTCCTCCACTTTGACGAACGACCTCTTGTTGATGCCGGAATCACCCCTGGGGAGAAGGTCGAAGAGAAGGTTGTCAAAGGTACCGGCGGAGAGCTTGCTCGGACTATGTCCCGGTTCAACGAGGGCGCAGGCGCCACCTCATGGCTCGGGGTTATCCCGTACACTCGGTCCCCAATCGCCTTCAGCGATGCTTCTACCGCTTCACACTACGATGGTCTGTCCCCCATCATTGGTGCCTGAAAGATCCCTACTGACTTGACCTTGTAGCAGACGTCGAGGTTGTCCCCGCTGAACATGATGGGGAGCACCAATATCACTACCGGCTGCGCCGTATCCACGTCCTGGAAGACCAGGAGGACGAACCCGAAATCGACGATTCCATCGCCCCGTTGGCCTTCATCACACCCATTCCCAGCGTCAAACTCGAGTCTCCCCCCAATGCTCCTCGCAAGAGTGAAGGCACCTATTCCCGCTACTACGCCATGTTTGACCGCGCTCTCGTCTCCACCTCTTTCAACGATTACAGGCCGTTCGACTCGGTCTCCGAGAGGCAGAAGAAGGATGAGCAGGCAAAGCGGTACCCCAAGCTGGAGGCTCTCTTCGGCCAAGATCAGCAGGACTCGATCGAGGTCTCTGACCCCAGGAAAGCTCTTTTCGCGGGAAACCTCCAGCGCGATCCCTATTCCACCGAGTCAGCCTTCAAGTATGTCGAGGAGGTGGAGAGACACCCATCAGAAGTGTTCATGAACGCTGGTATCGACCGCTCGACATTACGCTTCCTCGATAGTAACCGCGACAGCTCGACAGCCAGCAGGGATATCGAAGCCGCTCAGTTCTACCAGCATCGTAACGGCTCGATGCTCCATCTTCCCAACATCGACTCTGATTCAGGGTCTTTGGACGTCCTTTCCCAACCGCAGTTCCAGCATTTCGACGCAAAGCCGGCTTCGACTGATTCTGGATCGGTGACGTCGCTTGACATGGCTGACATTCGACCCATCTCGGTTTCCATTTCGAAACTCGGTTCGACCTTGTTCTCGACCCCTGCCAAGGTCCCATCTGCCCCTCCCAACACACCCTGGTCGGTGAAGACTGCTGTTGAGGACCAAGTCACCCCTGGTGCGAAGGGCAAAGGGAAGGAGGTTGATCACCAAGATACGGTGGACAGGATGGCCCCTTTGGCAATGCAAACCCCGCAGGTCGGAACACCGAAGGAATACAGCTTCATTTCCTTCGCCGCTCCCAGCCCCATCTCCCTCGCCCTTCCGGCCCCTCTTCCTGAGATTCTTCAGAAGGCTATCCCCACCTCGCCACCTCCAACCCAGACGCAATCAGAGTTGGTCAGACGCCCAGCAACCAGAGTTGTTTCCAACGGACCTCCTCGCTCCAAGTCCCACTTCGAGAAACCCACCAAGGTCTCCCCTGTGACGAAGAGAGTTCGCATCGTTGAGGAACCCAGGATCATGGAGGACAAGGTGAACCCGGTTGTCCGTCGCAGTCTCCCTGGGATCGTCCCCTCTTCCGACTTTGCTGAAGAACTCAACCAGGCCCTGGAGGCATTGGATATGATTTCGGAGACCGCCGAGCTTGCTCCTGGGTTGTCTTCCAATGCTGCTGATAAGGCGTCGTTCTCGGTCAAGCTGAATGGCGATGATGGGGCTGAGTTCACTTCGTCGCTTCCTCCTTCAGCATTACTTAGCCCGGTTTCGAAGTTCTCGGTACGCTGCGTTCTTTTTTTTTATTCGACAACGTCGACTGACCCGGGCCTAGGAAGGGGAGAGTACGCTCAATGAAGGAGATGATGCCGAGAGCCTTGCTGAACCTCCTATGCGACGACGCCGCAAGTTTGGCCTCCCTATGAAATATGCCCCAGCTGCCACGGGTGTCCCGCTTACCAGGACCAAGACACGAGACTACCGGACTCGCCGCCAAACACCTATGGTCTATCGCAAACTGCTCGAACTGTATTCGACGCAATATCAAAATTACTAGAGGTAAGTTGAGCTTGTCCATCGTTCGATCCTTCTCTCTTGGCTAAACGCCATTCAGAGCAGACCTCGACACTTGGAGCATATCCATGACACCAGCTTTTGCTGCGACGCGACGCTATGATTCTTCAACGTTTTGTTATGCTTCTTCATTTTGATGTCATTACGATTGGGGACTATGTTTACGTTTTATCTGGATGAAAGATTCGAGCATGCCTGGTATCTGAAGGAATGCTGTCGGTTGACGATTACGTCCACGCTTTTCGCCATTTTTCCACCGAGGGACCCAATATACAAAGTTTGAAGGTATTTGATTCCATGTACAACCAAACTTAGATACGAAATTAGGACGACTAGAGTACCGCTCTTCTTAAACGAATGTCCGAGAAGCCGACCACCCTCTCCATCATCCCCGCAATACCCTTGCCATCTCGACGGCTTAAAGCATCTATTGGCCGTTCCAGACGGGGGGTCCGGGAACCTTGTACTCGAAGATGTTGGGGGCGTTCTGGCTGTAGATGTCGACACGGACGCCGGGGTCGGACATGGAGTAGGCACCAGGGAAGCGAGTGAGGTATTGGCCAGAGGGGAGCTTTCCGCCGCCACCAGTGACGATGAGCTGAGCGCACTCGGGGTAGAATTGAGGGGTGTTGGCTTGGTGGAGAGCGAGAAGTTCGTGCTACACAAAGGAGGAGAGCGTGAGTTACTCGAGTATGCGGAATCTAGGAGCAGATATGCTTACCCTGATGAGGTATTCACCGTCAGCGAGAGCGGCGGGGATGGTGGAGGTCCAGACGAGGTCCTTGAGGACGATACCGTTACCCCATTGGCCACGGGCCAAGGAGCCGGAGAGGAGACCGGCCTCGTCGATCTTGAACCACTCGAGGTTGTTGCTGTTGGCGCTGTTGCAAGAGCCAGGGCAGCGGGCCATGTAGACCATGACGGGGCCCTCGGCGTGGGTCCATTGTCCCCAGCGGGCGGTGATCTTGTCACCAGCACGGATGTTGGCGGAGAGCTGGCCGCCAGAGGGCTGGCCGTTGTTGTTGCAGGACATGCGGGAGTCCATGGCGTTCATGATGGGGTCATAGGAGCCTAGACGAGGGAAAAGGTCAATTACCTATTGGCGCTACAGAGAGATAGGACAGTGCTTACTGTAGGGGCGACCGATGGAGCGCTGGCCGTTGGGTGAGTTGTATGGTTGCCATCCTGGGTAGGTTTGGCCTATGAAAGCCTATCAGAGACTGGTGAAGCGGCCAAGTAAAAACGGGTGCTTACCGTTGATGATGTAGGAGGTAACACCACCGTGGGCGGCGACCTGGCTGACGAGGAAGGACGCGAGGGTCACAAGGGAAGCGACGAACATTTTGACACTGAGAGCTGGGGGCTCAGAGGTTGAATTGAACTGAAAGGTTCTTCCAGGTTTTTATAGGTTTTCCGTCGGTCCCTGTCTTCCATAGTTCCAATGAAGGGAGAGTCTGGGGAAACCCCCACAGCGTCGGTCAAATGACAGTATCAACCATCTTCCGAGATTTTTCAAGGCTGCAACAAGGTCCAGAGAAGCATGTCCCAGATCCGAAGTTGTGTTTATGGAGCAAATTGAGGGGGCAGTCATGATAGAGTAGTCGGCGATTTTGGAAGACTGCTTTGAGAACCCTGCCCGGATATTCAGTTCGAGCTTCGAGGAGCCCCATGATCGCATAGAGAAGTCTATGGAGTATCTTTTGCCGAACTGTTTCCATCTCACCGAATGGGAAAACGAGCTGGTGGTTTTCTCGGGAAATTTAAATGTTCCGTTAAACTAGAAGCAGGTTGGTCGGATAGGTTACCAAGTGGGCTGGAAGCTTTGAGGCATATTCTGTCGCATCATCAGGTGACCAACTCGAGGAGCATGTCGACAGCAGCGGATTGAAGAATGGAGATGGAGATTTCATGCCCAGCTATTTACATTGGGATTTAGCTCAGAGTTTATCGTCATCTAAGGGCGCTGCGTCAGAAAATTGATTTATTGCACATAATGTTGGTTAACGTACCTATGTGGTAGGTTTTGGAGGCCGCCCACCAAAGATACTGGAGCCAACCCGGATTATGTCACTACCTGCTTTCAAAGCGGTCTCGAAGTCGCTCGACATCCCCATACTGAGCAAGAGTTTCCCCGTTCCTTCTTGACCCCATTGTTTCGTGCCATCCTCGCCAAAGGTGGTCTCCAGATAAGCCTTCAGGATGTCCCGAGTTTGTTTGAGCCTTTCAAAGTCAGCATTCTTCTCTGTCTCTGATGCATGGATGGAAAGTTCCAGAGACCCGATCGTCATCAACCCCTCCAGCCTGAGCGCTGGGCATTCTCGGATAACATGGGCAGCCAATTTGCCCAATTCCGAAGCGCTGACGTCCTCAGACGACGACAGTGGAGGTAGTCCAGACTTGGCGTCTTCTCCTGAGGTATTGACCTGCAGAAGAACTCTCAAAGGCGTCGTTCGATCCGAGGAAAGAGCTTTATTCAAAGCATTTGCCGCCTTGACAGACCCCAATGTTTGGATCGAGTACAGATTGGGTATTACTTCATTTATTTCGTCAGAGTTATGCGGTGGCAGGTGGGTTAAGCGCTCACATGCGAGGGTCTTTGCTTTATTCGACTGCAAAGTTCCAATGAAGTGCCATCTAATATCGGAAGGTAGCTACAAACCTATTAGCACGGATCAGAAATTACGACTGTCAAACTTACAATCTTCGCCTTCTCCTCGAGTTCTTGGACGTAGTTCTCGCCAAAGTCAAGGTGCCCCAGCTCATGGCAAGCCAGGATATCGCCTGCAGGTTTATACTTGGAAACTGCGACCAGGGTGGGCGACGAAGATGACGCTGTCGCAACGCGCTCCCTGATTGCTCCCAAACAGTCCTTTATTTCTTGTTTCCTTTCGGGGGAAGCTGGGTCCAAGGCCATTTTGCAACGTGTTCCAAGCTGTCGGGTATTGGGCTTATAGGATAATCGAGAAACGGTACTGCGAATGGGCCATCGCATGAAGATGACCTCAACAAGCCAGCCAAATCGGGGCGTCGAGAATGGCCGGCAGAATCCGGCCCGTTATCTCACGGTCGAGATTAGATAATCCCAAGAGGATTCGCTTGATTGTTTGAAGCGATCTCTAGACTCTTCCTCCTCCACGTAAAAGGAGGTTAGGTGCGTAGAAAACGTTTTTGGCGCTGGAGATGTCCTGTGATCCTTTCAAAAGGAACGAGGCTCGGCTGAGCACGCAAGCTGACTTCTAAGCCATGTACTCTGCTCTTCCTAAGGCTTGATGATCAGGATTGGAAGAAGGTTTGTGCACAGCATAGGTGCTCAACTCTTTCGACTAAACCCGCTTGGGCCACTTAATCTTTGTGATAACCTCATAGAAGCGCTCTATTCACAGCATAAAGAGACTGATTTAACAGCAACACCGCCCGTCTGGGAATAGACAACATGAATTCGGGGATCTTTCTGCCTGTCTAATCGCTTCAAGTGAGGTAACTAACGGCATTGCTTTTGGAAGCCTCGCTCTTTCTCGAGGTCCTGTCTGTGTATACATATAGCCCTGGATACTCTGGAACTCCTTCATTAATTTGGACCCACTGGCCTCATTCATCGTCGAAAGCGAGGGGTGCTCAGATTGGCTTCGCCTTATCTGCCCTCACATTTATGCGATGACAAGCACAGAAGCGCTCGGTGCGGGTATCGCTGTGGAATGTCCGGCTCTTTCTTTTGACACCAACTACCGCACAACAGCCGATATCGTCTGGAGCTGTCTCGTCACTGTTTTCGCCTGCACTTGGCTCTCTGTTCATCCCAATGTATCCGGTCTCGACGCTTCATGGCGGCAGCGCATTCAACAACGTATTTATCTCATGTTATGGGGAATAGCAGCACCCGAATTCCTGGTCATCTTCGCGTATCGACAATGGGCAGGAGCTCGCGATATTAGTGAACTCGTGCGGCGGATTGTGAAGGAAGAGAAAATCGGTGAATGAGCATCTCGTTTTCTCAGTCTGTCTCCCTAAACTGACCGTTCCGTCCAGAAATTCCAGAACGTCAGTCATGGACGCCAGCCCACAGTCATTTCCTGCAGATGGGAGGCTTTATGTTTACCGATCCATCTTCCCCAAACTCCCGGGCAGAATTCGTCGACATCCACGAGCTGGCTACCAACAATTCGGCTGACGCCGGGCGAGAAGCCCTACGCGTTGTCCTCCGTAATGCACCAGCTGTGGATGAGATTTGGGACAGAAGCAAAGGAGACACGTTGTCGAAGGCAGTGGTGGCAGCACAAACGGCGTGGTTCTTGGCCCAAATTATCTCCCGGGGAGTACAGCACCTTACCATCACCGAGCTCGAGGTGATCACCCTAGCGTATGCTGCGTTCAATGGAGCGATGTACGCCTTTTGGTGGAATAAGCCACTGGACGTCCAATGTCCCATCGTAATTCCGTCCAGTGGCATATCCAGACTTCGACCCTACCAACGTCAGAGCATCTTCGATACCGTCACGGGCCTATCCATCCATTGGCCACATGATAGGTCCGGAAGTGATTCCTCCGTCTTCTCCCTCACTTCACTTCCAACTAGCTTTCAGAGAGGTCGGGGTCGTGAAGGCCCCGACTGGAACCTTGGCCTGACTACACATGGTCATGCGATCTATTCCATGTCGCCTAATCGGCCGCTTCAGATTGCTGATATTGCGAGACCAAGTATCCTATCGAGGTGGACACTTTTCTTCAGGACGCTTTTGCGTCGCGTAATAGACTGTAAGGTCACTTAGTCTTCCTTTCTCCTGTGCTCACATGAACATCCTGCTAGACATCCACAAGCCTCTCGACATTATGCACCGTGTGTATATCCTCACCGGCTTCAAACGCCCTCGACAAAACTACCCGTTCACAATCTTTGATCAGGCCCATGGAACCGAGTCTAAACGACAAGCGAGGCAGCCCTCCGCCAGCGATCCCTCAGCAGTGCCCATGTTCTACACCTATTCCAGTGCACCAGACCACGCACCACGCTCTATTTCAATATCCGCCTTGGCGATGTTCCTGGCATCGTGCTTTGGTGCTGTCCACTGCATAGCATGGTACTTTACTCGCCAAACCCTAGCGGAAACTTTGCTTTGGCGGATATCTGCTTTATTAATTTGCCTGTCCCCTGTCGTATCGTGTATCACTTTCCTCGTAGCCACGTGGTTCTCGTGGCTTCTGTATGGGTCTGCACGATGGTGGCACTTCCTCATCGTGAAGAAGATGTTAATGAAGGTTCTGGCCCCTTTCCATAACCATGTTTTTATTCCCCTTTTACTCCCTAGTTATCTTATCGCTCGATTAATTCTGATAGCTTTGGCCTTTGCTCAGCTACGCAAGCTCCCGCCTACGGGACATAAAACGGTAGAATGGTCCGAATTCTTACCCCATGTATAATACTGTGGCTTGTCTCGATATCTATTCCAAATGTACTAATGTCTTTTGCCTTCTCCCGGGGCCATCCCTTGAACCTTTCGCGGAGCAAGCAGACCAATGATTGTCTATCCAATGCCAAGCCTATGGGCGTCAACTTCTTGTCCTGGGCGCTTATTTCTAAGGTCCATCGATAGTCGAACAAGAGAGCGCTATGGTCGTCTACGTAGACCAGGCTTCATCATAGCATACCGAATGGATCTAAAAGAGCCCCTGGCCTCACCTTGTACCGAGCATGGGGCCCATACAGTAGGGCAGGAGTCTTGTATGGGAAGTAAAGAGAGTACTAAGCGGAGGTGATCTATTGCTTAGGCCGTCGACGGCTCATGAGGCGATTGACCCGCCCTCAGCTACAGTCATTATCCTATCAGACAAGTGGTAGCTGTACGCATTCGATAGATAATTGACCTGAAAATTCACAGGTCCGCCACCCGTCTGACTTTAGCACAAAGAATTTCTAAATGGGAACAGGGTAGTTGCGACTCAGGATAAGGACGGTTAGAATGTCGTGGCATGGTGCGTTTCTTATCTCGGTCTGCACGGCCATGTGGTCTACACGGTGAACTAGACATAGATTGATCCCAGGTACCGTTGATTAATTTCAATGGCCAGGGAGATCGTCTTGGAATTCAATCATGAATCGATACTGACATGGATATACGTGGTTACATGTTACATATCTGCTATCTTTGGAGAACAAAGTTTACAGATTGTGAATACACTGCTCAGCTTCCTTCGAGCGAGGGGTTAAGTAGCAATCGTAGGGTTCCGGGCGGCTATAACGAGCATGGCTATAGTCAGTTCCTACATAAGCCTGATTGAAGGGAGGTTCACTTACGCAAGTCCAAGCTGCGAGAATTTGTAACGGATTGTCGGCTCGCCATTCCCATCTTTCGGCGGAGTGATGTCGAAAAGCGAAAGGGTGCACGCAATGAACAACCAAAGTGATTCTCCGCTCAAGAACCGTCCAGGGCATATTCTGTGGCAGGCGTTGAGCCATCACGATACTCGCAGAAAGAATTTAGCACTGACCTTCTTCCGTAGCCAAACACAGCAACCCCGGGATCGACAGTGTCGGGGTTGATCTTTCCATCCTTGATGTACCTCTCCAGTTTGAATTTCATCGGTTCGTCGAAGATCTCAGGATCGTGCATGATATGCCTGTTATCATTCACCTAAGCTCAAGACTTCGACCTCGAGGGATACATAAGTCTACTCACCATGTGTTTCCTAAGACAACAGTGCCTTTGGGGATAAAATATCCGTCGTAGATGTCGTCGGTTGTCGTGGCATGTGGAAATCCGACTAGCAAGGGTATGTGCATCCGTTGGAGCTCCTTCATAATCGCGGTAATATATACCAGATCTTCTCGGTCGGAGAATTCGGGGAGCCTCCCCTTCCCCACAACTCGATCGAGCTCTTGCTGCGCCTTGCGTTGAACTTCAGGATGCGTTGCGAGGAGCACGAAGAATGCCATAGAAACACTGTTCGTCTAGAATAACTCGAACCGGGTCCCAACATAGAAGCAAAATCCGCGCATACCGTATCGCTTCCGGCTAGATGTGAGTGGCGGTCAGACGTCACGAAACAATTGGGCAACATGAGACAAGCGCTTACCACCATGAATCACCCCAGCAACCCACTTGGCTCTCTCTTCCTCTGCTGCCCTCCTCGGATCGCCTTCGTCAGGAAGCTCTTCAGCCATCTTCGTAGCCAGGCACGGCTCAACGGTCCCGCATTTCTGGAAAGGCAATGTATTGAAGTTGTCCCGGAGAGGGTGTCATTTCCGTCACTCACCATAGCCTTCATTACGTGCTCCCATGGTTGGGTCCTGGCCTTGATTTCCATGTCCTTGTAAAACGCCGCCCACCTCTTGAACCCTGCACCGGGGAACCAACTCGGAACGTACTTCAGAATTGGGATGGCATCGACCAAGAACCTGCCTGGGGCAGCTGCTGTTCCGAAGCCAACAGTAACCTCCGTCATGTCCTGGATGAAAGGATCATCGCAGGACTCTGTCACAATACCGTACGTCATTTCAAAGATTATCGCGCTAAACAGCCTGCGAGAAGGATAAACACCGTTACACCGGATTGAATAGCGTCAAACAACGGGGACCTACTGTTTGGTATGGGCTTCCCACTTGTCGGGTGCGGCCAGAAGGCTCTTCAGGTAGATACGCGTCAGCTTCTCAATTAGCGGGTGCCATATCGAAGGGTTGTGAGGTTCCATGTGTCGATGAAGCATCTTGCGTTCATCAGGAAAAGCCCATCCGTCGAATTGGGCTCTATTAGGCGCAAGTGTGCCCGTTTCAACGGATTTGACGTAGTGTACAAATGATGTCTAATTACAAGCTCCCTCCATTCATTCAGGTTAATCGATGTCTAATTGCCACTGGCCCCCTCCTAATGGTGTATAGTTCGAGACATTTGAAACATAAATTATCGCAGATTTCACTCGGATACTTAGGGCCGTAGCACGGGTTCTCGGTAATAGGGAGCTGTATTGGTCAACTAGCAGTAACTACAATACAGAATAAGAGGGAATACGGTAAGGGTGATGAGGGAGGGATAAATATGCTATAAATATGGAGGAACGACTACAAGTGAGACAAATCCTCTAGTCATCGGAGACTGGCATGTTTTCGATGTCGACGAGCTTGAGAGCATCGTTTGTAGATGCAATGCCCGATGAGGCTGTGCCCTTGCTGTAAAAAATGTCAGACTCGGAGACTAGGTGACAGCAGAGACGAGAGATGTGCTTACCCGCACTCAGTATAGATCTTGGCCATGAGGTAGTCGTACGCAGCACCTTGTCGTGCCTCGCGGATAGTATCGAGAACCTCTCCCAGAACATTGTAGACATCTTCGTACGTGTCAGCACTAAAGGGGGTGGGCTGGTGGATGCCGTTCTTCCAGTCGTCGAGGGCGGCATGCGTCTATAGTAACAGTCAACTGTCAGAGATATCAACGTCAGAGCAAACTAATCACGTACCACTGCAGCCGCTAAGCAGACCATGGCATCAGGAATAGCACGTCGTTGTGGAGCATCAGCAGAAGTCGAGGGCAAGGTACGGAAGCCCTTGTCGTACTTGTGCGCCAGGGACCCGGTACGTCCCTTCTCGGTGAAAACACATTGTCGAAGGACAGCGAGGATGCAACTGTGGAGGAATGGCTTGGCAAAGATAGGTGTGTCGTTCTAATTAGCCATCGCATCAGTTGCAAGGCATGGTCGTTGAAGTAGTTGGGAACGCACCGAATTGACTTCATACACGTAGGTGAACCCACTGAGGACCTTGTCGACACGTTCTTTGATCTGCTGCTGGCTGCCAAGGAGGCGGTAGTGGAGCTCTACCTTGCGAGCCGCCTCTTGCTTCCAGTTTCCCCGCAGGTTCGAGAGACGTTGGACAATCTAACAATGACCATGACCGTTAGAAGCAGTGTGGATAAAGATATAGCACTTACCACTCGGGCAAGAGCAAGCGCATACGTAAGTTCTTCCTTGACACGTTTGGCAACATCGTGCTGGCCAACCTGGGTGGCAACCTCAACAATGAGGTCACGGTGGTACCGATAGTCATCGTCGATGGAAGGGAACGGATTCCGGAACAACACCTTGTAGATTGCACGTGTGATGCCGGTGGCCAGAACGGTCCTGATGACCGATCGTTGTTCCTTGAGACGGATGTTGCGGACACCAGGGGGAGGCGGAACCAGGTGGGTATGAACAGGCCAGTTGTGGTCGTTGGCGCTCAGAGGATGGGGTCCAGCAGGAGCTGAAGCGGCACCAGTACCTCCAGTCTCCGGCTCACTGTCTTCTTCACCATCGGAGATAAAGACGGGGGAACTCGACTTCTGCAGAATGAGAGAAAGGCCTCACAACATAGCTTGGTTGACTCACGTTGGGAAGGCTGGGTTGTTTGCGATCAGGGGTTGTGAAATGAGGGACCTCATTACGTCGCTGGCGAGCACGATTGCTCTCTTGAGTCTCGCCTGGAACCCGATTCTCTTTCTCTGAACTGTCGGGGTCGTCAGCCTCCACCTCGTCGTCATCGTCGATGGAAATGGCCTGTCAATACATGTCAGGGATAGATGTATGGGACACAGCCTTGGGTGACGTTACCTCTCGAGAAAGCTTCTCAACCAGGGCACGGCCTTCCAGATGTTCGAGGTCGTCATCGTCTTCATCAGCGTCTTCATATTCGTCTTCATCCTCATCTTGCTCATCGTCGTCAGATGCCGCAGGTTTGAACAGTGTGCGGCCCAGGACTTCATGACTGCCATCAGAAGCCTCGTCGTCACTCCCAAGAACAATGACACGACGGTTCGCAGAGGCTAAAAGACTAAGTTCAGCCTTTATACAAGTGCGAGGAGTATAGTACATACCACGAGGAGCGCTGCCCTTCAACCGGTCTGCCTTAGCCTTCTGTCGTTGCAGGGTTGGCGAAATCGGAGCAGCGCGTGATTTCTTGTTGACAGGCTTGCGCTTCGAGGGGAGGGATGGACTAAGTGTCCTTTTGGTTCGAGTTCGCCTAACGGCTTGCTCGGGCTCGCGTGGCCTCTTGTTGGAAGGACCAGCGGCAGTTGACGAAGCTGGAACACTGTCAATCTTAGAATCCAAAAGGTTAATGACAACGCACCTTTCCTGCTCGATTTCCGGGTCTCAGTGGGCATTTTTGACGATAGAGGCGCAGACTTGAGTGTCGATGGTGGTGGTCGAGAGCGAAGAAAATTTGCCGCGGAAAGGTGTGGAAAAACGGGTCTCGGAAATCCCCGTCCAGTGCCGATCGGCAAGCCAATCTAGTTGAGTCCTGGCTGGTCTTACACTCAGAAAGTGCACGCACATCCCTACAAATGGCAAAGAACTGTCGGTGTGGTCAACGGGTCCGTGCAGGTGGACTCCGGAATCATGTCCTACGGAGCACGAACCCACTCTGTCGAGGAAACCCTGAAGAGAATCCTTGGTCAGACAATAGCGACGAGGAAGAAGATTTGAACATACCGGAAACCCAGTCACCCCATCTGACACATTCACCTCGTCCACCCATCTCCCATGCTACTTCCCATCCCTCCCATGCACCCACAACACCCACACCTGCGACACCCTCCAGCCAGCAGCGGAACCCCCATTCCACTTCCAACCCGGTCTCTCCGGTGACAATATTTGATCCTCGAGGCGATATTTTCGGCGACTATGGTGTGCTGCTGGACGAAATCTTCTGCGAGGAAGCAGTGGGCAACGAGCTCTTCAGTAGTGACGAGGACGAGGGAGGGTCAGATGGTGTTAGACTCTACGGAACTGCGGAGTCTGCGGAGTCGAAGGGACCTTGGCCTCAACGTATTGCGTTGTGCCCACGCTGGTGGTATATGGTCCAACCCGAAAGGAGAGGGGGAGGAGAGGGAGAGAGAGACGCGCCTTGCGGCGGAAGACGAGTAGAGAGAGGAGAGAGCCTTGCGGAGCGGAATCAGGAGCACTGTGCGGATATGCGGAGTATGCGGAAAGCTCTAGCAAGCCTGAAAGGCTCAAGACTGGACAGAGGAGAAGTTCTGTATAAGTCTGATTCGAGATTCCGGATGAGTATCTACTACAGAAATCTAGCTAGCTTATATATCTGTAAATACTCTGGATATACTCTGGGACAAGTCTGGGACAAGAGATAAAACTGAGTCATAAGAAATGCGGAATACCGCGGAATGCGAAGAGGATGAGTAAGACGATTCCAAAGAACAATAGCAAAGCAAGGAAGGGAGTCATAAAGAAGTATAAGGGGTCACATGCAGAGTCTGGGCGCCTAGAGGGCGGTTACGAGGTTTCTCCGCGCGGTCCGCACCGGCCCTCAGTTGCGGGCCGTGTCGTACCAGGCGGCGCTCCGCATAAATGCGGAGCGGAGTGTCTAGCGCCCGTAAACTCCACATGCGGATCGACTGCGGAGCATGCGGGAGTGCGGAGGGAAGGGTCGCGGAGATATGGGGATGTGGGATGCGGAGAGGTGATGGTGAGTGTGGGGATGTGCGGGATCATGCGGGAGATCATGTGAGACTGTGCGGGGAGTGTGGGTCAAGGCTGGTGGGTTGTGGGTGGATGTGGGGTGGATGTGGGTGGATGTTCGAGACCCTAACAGTACCTCCCTGTTAAGGCCGAGCCCTCGAGGCTTGTGTTAGGACTCGGTCCGTGCACAGAATCATGATGTCCGCATTTTGCAACTCGGCATCATCAGCATGCTTGTGACTCTGCGGTGCGTTTGCGGAGAAGTGAAAAAATAATTTCTTGTCCTCTTGAAGTGGAAATGAAAAGTGCGGACAGGAAATGAAAGAATGAGGAAAGAGAAGCGGAGGCAGAAGGAGAAATTGAAGCATAATGTGCAGAGTAAGGGAAGGCATAGTGAAGCGGAGGAAAATGAAGGCAAGTGGAATAAAGTGGAGTAAATGAGAACATCAAGAAAGAGGGAATGCGGGAACAGGAGAAAAAAAGGTCAAACAGGTAAGGCATAGAGGAGCGGAGGAAGCATAGAGGGGAAAGGAGTAATGCGGAACCACAAATTGAAAAGAAAGATGCGGAGAAACAGGATGCGGAAAATTGCGGAGAGCGGAGAAAGACAAAAGTAGAACTTAGAAAAATAAAAGGATACAAAGGTGAAGAAGAAATGCGGAGTCAACTGCGGAATGCGGGGAATGCGGGGAATCACCAATGAGGACCAGGCTTGCCTGGGTACCTCTTGTGGAACTCTCCAACGATCTCTTGGGCGTGTTCAAGCTCTGTGGCAAGGAGCCAGCTTCGTTCCTCGTCCGTATTCTCGTATCCGCGCCACCGCACTTCGTAGAGGAGCTTGCAATGTTTGCGGCGACGATCCAGCTTGGAGTCGAGGATCTCCACAATCTCGTATTCAAGTTCCCCATCCACCTCGATTGGAGGCGGAGGCGGTTCGTGGCGTTGCGGAATCTGAGAGGTGTAATGCGGTTCGAGCATAGAGACGTGGAAGACAGGGTGAACAGCGCGGAGAGAGTCGGGGAGGCGGAGAGTGTAGGAAACCGTTCCAACTTGGGCAATGATCTCGTAAGGGCCAAAGTATCGTTCCGAAAGCTTCTTGGTAGGTCTGGTTGTGCGGAAGAACTGGGCCTTAACGAAAACTCGGTCGCCCACCTTGAAGTCTGGCGGAGGTAAGCGCTTCTGGTCCGCATAGCGGCGTGCGGACTCCTGCGCGCTGGCGATACCGGTGCGGAGGTGTTCGTGGAGCTCCTGCAGGTCGACCGCAAAGTCGCGGGCTGCGGAACTTGCAAGATCGCGTTCAGGGTGAACAGAGATGTTCGGATGATAACCCTTATTGGCGAAGAATGGCGAAACACCAGTTGTGGCACTAGGCGCATTGTTGTACGCAAACTCCGCAAGTGGGAGGAGTTCATGCCAGTTGTCCTGCTGGTAGTTACAGTAGGTCCGCAAATACTGCTCAAGCGTCTGGTTGACCCGCTCTGTCTGTCCGTCTCCTTCTGGGTGATAGCCGGATGTGAAGTGGAGCTTCATGTCCAGGGCTTCCCCCAAACTGCGGAAGAAGTGGGAGACGAATTCGGAGCCGCGGTCGGAGGTTACATGGCCAGGAACACCATGTTTGGAGAAGACGTGGAGCACAAACAGTCGCGCAAGCTCTGCGGAGGTGAGGCGGGAGTCTGTCGGAACAAAAATGGCTTGTTTGGACAGTCTATCCACCACCACCAAGATATCCGTGTATCTGCCGGATGCGGGGAGCTGTTCGATGAGATCCATCGAAATGGAGTCCCAGGGGCGGAGCGGAATAGGCAGGGGTTTCAGCAAACCATAAGGCTTGTGACGCGGAGACTTGTTGCGCTTGCAGACTGTGCAGGAGCGGACGTAGTCCGCAACAAAAGTGCGGAGTTCCGGCCAGACGTAGTCGCGGCGCACCAGCTCAATCGTCTTGTTCTTGCCGTAGTGTCCCGCAAGCGGATGGTCGTGTTTGAGCTGAAGTACGCGGAGGCGGAGTGCGGAGTTGTCCGGAACGTAGATGCGTCCGTCCTGGCGGAGTATACCATCTGCGCGAGAGAGTCCAGCGAGGGTTGGAAGGTGTGGGGAGGTGTTTGGAAGCGATTTCGTCCGTGGAGTAAGCAGCCTTGATGTCCTTGAGGAGCGCTCCCTCATCAACTACGACCGATGCGCGGAGTGCGGGGAGCATGATCGAAGTTGCGCGGAGCGATGCGGAGAGCTGCTCATTGGTGAAGATGGGTCTGAAGTTGTGGGGATTGACTGACGCGTAGTCACTACCTCCCTGTTTAAGGTAGACGTCCCAACGTCTAGTGAGGGCATCGGGCTTTGTCCCCAGCTTTCCAGGGCGAAAGCGGATGACAAGGTTGAACTGGGAGAGATACTCCGACCAGCGCGCTTGCCTGCGGGTGAGGACCTTGGAAGTGGCAAAATATTCCAAGTTCTTGTGGTCCGTCATCACATTCACAGGCTCCGCAGATCCCTCGAGGTAATGCCTCCAAATCTTGAAGGCCTCGAAGATAGCCAGGAGCTCCTTGTCGTGGACGTCGTAGTTGAGCTCCGCAGCTTGGAAAGTGCGGGAATGGAATGCGACGGGGTGGATTTCGCCAGAGTCAAGTTGTTGGGACAGAATGGCGGCAAGGGCGTAGTCAGAGGCGTCAGTTTCCACAATCAGGGGTCGGTCGGGTTGCCAGTGCACCAGGATGGGTGCGGAAGTGAATGCGGACTTGAGGGTTTCAAATGCGGAACGTGCGGAGTCGCCGAACACGAAAGGGGGTGTCTTTGCGGGTGAGGCGGGTAAGCGGAACAGTGATGTTGGAGTAGTTATGGATGAAACGTCGATAAAAGTTGGCAAAACCGAGGAAGGATTGTATATCCTTCACAGAGCGCGGTTCAGGCCAGTCCTGGATGGTCTTGGTCTTGTCCGCAGACATAGTGAGGCCTGCAGGCGACAAGATGTAACCCAAGTATTCCACGCGCTCCGCATGAAATTCGCATTTCTTTGCGGAGGCAAAGAGACCATGCTTCCGCAGCAGCGGCGGAGGACTTCCTTGACGTGCTTGCGATGATCCTCCCATGTTGTCGGAATAGATGAGGATATCATCCAGGTAGACGATGACACTGACATCAACCATGTCCCGCAAAGATATCGTTCATGAATCGCTGGAAATGCGGAGGGCGCATTGGTCAGCCCAAAAGGCATCACCAGCCATTCATACGACCCATAACGTGTGCGGAATGCGGTCTTCCACTCATCCCCGTCCGCAATGCGGACTAAGTGATAGGCATGCTTCAGGTCAATCTTGGTGTAGACCTTCGCGCGGCCGGGTGCGTCGAGGAGATCGGAGATCAGCGGAAGCGGATAACGATCTTTCTTGGAGATGCGGTTGAGTCCGCGATAATCGACGCAAAGGCGGAGCGATCCATCCTTCTTCTTGACAAAAAGGATGGGAGCGCCTAGGGGAGAGTTGGAGGAGCGGATGAAACCAGCCCGCAAGTTCTCTTCGAGGAACTCGCGGAGTGCGGAGGTCTCCGCAGGAGACAGGGAGTAGAGACGACTCGGTGGAAGCGGAGCGGCAGCGTCAAGCTCGATCTTGAGGTCGTAGGATCGATGCGGGGGCAAGGTGTAGGCCTTGGCATTGCTGAAACACGTTGGCAAACTCGTGGTATTCCCTCTGGAACAGAGGAGAGGTCGACGGGTTCCGCATCGACTGCTGCGGCGCATGCCCGCACCACGTTGTCGCTCTGGGAAAGGGAAAGGGAAAGGGAAAAGGAGTGTGAGCCACGCATCGCGGATGCGCGGCGGAAGGCGGCTGCATTGACAAAGGAAATCGGAACTGGATTGCTGGTGAATGCGCAAGAAGGGGGAGTGGGCGGAGCACTAGGCTCCGGTGCGGAGAGAGGCGGAGGGATGCTGGAAGTTGCGGAGGTCTCGACGTTTGCGGCGGCGAGTGAGCTCAATGCGGAGGAGTTATCGGATGATTCGAACGAGAGTATCTGGCCTCTGCGCCAATCAATCAACGGATTGTAACGGGCAAGCCAGTTGTGTCCTAGAACCAACGGATACAGGGCATCCAGGGTTGTGATGAAGCACTTGATATGGAATTCCTCGCCTGAGGAGATGCGGAGCGTGATGTCCGCAGCTTGCGATAACCAGCGCGAAATGGTTCCATCGAGGAGTTTAAGCGGAACAGGCGGAATGTCATAGAATTCGATATTGTGCTTGGATACGAATGCGGAGTCAATAAAACAGTCCGTACAACCCGAATCAATCAAGGCGCGGAGTTCAGCAGAGTCCAGAGAGGAGGAATGAGTTGGGGGTGTGGAGAAATCGAAAGAGAATGGAAAGAGCATTGGGATCAGAGAGGGCTGCCGCATTTAGTCGGACCCTCAAGCCTTTCTGCGGCGGAGACGCAGCCCTGAGGGAAAGGCGAGGTCACAGGGCTGCTCAGTAATTTCCCGACTGAGAGGAGTCGGAAACCTGCGGAGCGGACGCGTTGGCCCTGCGGGTGCGTGGGCAGTCCGCTGCGCGGTGTCCTGAGGCAGCGCAGACAAGGCAAAGGTTGTTCCGCATGCGACGTTCGCGCTCCTCAGGGCGGAGGCGACCGTTGGTGATGGTGTTACTCGGCGTGGACATCCCATTGTTGCGACCTTCAACGGCGATTATCAGGAGCAGATTCTCTCAACGGGGGTGAAGTCGGGCGAGTGTCCTGTGTGCGAGGTTGACCGAGATGCACTGGGAGATAGTGCAGTACCAGAGGAACTGCGAGACCTTGACCACATTCTCACAATACTCGACTCTTTCGACGCTGATCCCGCCGGATTTCTCAAGACATGCAACGACGCTGGAATCAAACCCATTGTAAACCCCTTTTGGAAGGATCTCCCGTACACCAACATCTTCCAATCGATTTCTCCCGATGTTCTTCACCAGCTGCATCAAGGCATCTTCAAGCACCTGGTCCACTGGCTGACGACTGTCTTTGACCCAGCAGAAATTGATGCTCGGTGCCGACGTCTCCCCCGGAACCACAACATCCGCCATTTCTCCAATGGCATCACCAGCCTGAGCAGAGTTACCGGCCATGAACACGATCAGATGTCCCACATTCTGCTCGGCCTCATACTCGACATGAAACTCCCTGGAGGCCAGTCGCCCGTTCGCCTTGTCAAAGCGGTGCGGTCATTACTCGACTTACCTAGCCCAGTATCCTGTTCACACAGATGAGACACTCGATGTTCTCCGAAATGCGCTTCAAGCTTTCCACGACCACAAATCGGTTTTTGTTGATCTTGGCATCCGCGACCATTTCAACATCCCAAAACTCCACTTCGCCTCTCATTACGTCGAAAAAATCAAGCTGTTTGGGACAACCGACAACACCGACACCGAGTACACTGAGCGACTGCATATCGACCTCGCCAAGGACGCCTACGCAGCCACCAACCACAAGGATGAGTTACCTCAAATGACGACGTGGCTCGAGCGCCGGGAGAAAATCTTCAAGCATGAGCAGTATATTAATTGGAGGATCTCAGGGGAGAAGCTGCCAGTACGCCCTCCATGGTCGCCACCAGGTCTTGAACTGGATCGCGAACGTCATCTCTCACAAGGTTAAGTAGTTTCGAAAGTTCATCCTAATACACAACGAAAGATCCGTCAGAATGGCGGGGGACACGCGAATTGAGCATGTGGCTCTGGAGAATAAATAAAGCTCACAAGGTCATCATATGGAAGGGAGGTCTGTCTGAGTAGATGGCCGAGCGCTCGTCGAAGAGTTCTTTCACCCTCTTCAGTGAAGAGAGAATCAACATGGGCTGGCCCAAGGCCTCAAGATAGATCAAATCGCCTTGAAGAAAATCAATTTAGGGTCACCAAAGAGTCAGTGTGATAGGGAAAGGACGTACCATACTTGCGAGTGAGTTCTTGGTAACCCGTCGTAATGTTTTCAGTGGGTATGTCAAGAACGTTGCCGATGATGGGGTAGCCCTTGGGACCGGGGGGGCCTGGGCGGCTTGGAGACTTCTGTGGCCTTCTTGAGTAAGAAGAATGTAAGAATCGCGGCAGGGACGATATACGAGACAGGGACCGCGCTCAGATGGAATGAGGTTAATGAGAAAAACATTGCGACGAAGCCGGTTGGTACAAAAGCTGAACCTGAACTGGTTATATATCCCAAGGTTTGTCGTAATTTGGTGCTTCGAAAAGAGGATTCTGCATAATTGCGATACCCGAGACGATAGGCACATTGGTACATATCCGTTCAGTGGTGCACTTGGAGTAGTTCGACCGTTGACACCGCCCCACTGATTCCCCCCACAACTAATCCCGTGCTAGGGACTTCTACGTCCAGGTCCATTCTATTCTCTGTTTAGTCACCAGACCTTAGGAACGGGAGAAAACTCACAGGGGGAGAATGTCATGAAAGACCGCCCACTGCGAACGATGGCCTTCTTCAACCAATTCGAGCGTCTTGCAACAAATTCCGCGACTTCTACCGGTGCCATGCTGACACCATTCCCAGACTGGCCTAATGGCGGCGTGACAACTGGGTCTCCTGATAAGGTAGGCACGGGAGCCGGGATTGGGGAATCAATCTTCATCGCACCAAAAGCGACATTGTTTGGTGCGGATGGCAGATGAGAGAAGAACGAGGCATCTTTGACTGATCTCGTCCATACAGGGTTCCCTCGTGAGTGACCAGTTAGGGTCAGTGTGAGTAATATGAGCCAGTATAGTAAAACTAGAATAAGACATCAGCAGCAGCAACTAGCAGGGGGTTCAAATGGATCAACAACTTACGGGATGCCCAGTTGAAGAGGCTGATCACCAGGAAAGTGTGTAATTCTGTACAGAGAGGCCCGTCCGCTACGTCGTGAGTTGGAGCAAGATGGTTCTTTGGAAGAAAGCACACGAAACTCACACGTCTGGCACCACAGAGAAAAGAGTTTAGGCGACATGATCAAGAGAAGGGTCGACTCCACCAGCCAAAATAGCCAAAGCAGAGCTGCCGATGAGGTACGGCTCAGCGACGGCGGTGATAACGACAATTGAAATTGCTTACCGATGGAAATAAGCTCGCATGAAATACGTGTAAGATGATGTAGACCTTTCTTGTAAGGTGCGACGATTCTAATCGAGCCTCCATGTTAGAAACGAGTCGGTGGATCGTGGATGTGCACGGACAGAGTTGCCAGTAGAAGGGCGCTGATGGTTCCCGTTACAGTTCCCAGTATTGCACATTCTAAATGCCCCTCTTTTCTGGGGCGAGATTGATGAATGAGGCGACCTCCAAGAGCGACAGAGGTGGCAGATAAAACGCAACAGGCCGCTAAGAGGTTGCGGGGTTTGTGTGAACGTTCTTGACTAGTCAAAATGAGTACAGCGTACCAAAGAATGTGACACGGGTTGCTAGAAGAGATTTCATGAGCTATTGTGCGTGCCCCAGTCAGGTGGATGGGAAGGTGTCTGACTGCGCAACTCGAAGGCCGTTTGTCAAGATAATAACTGTTGGTCCAGAGCAATTTGTCTCATTCTATGAGTCTCTTTTTTGGAACTGAATGAAGACCTGGCTATCGTGAACATTCATTTTCCCCAATACGATCCTGCAACCTTACCGGAATTGTTCCATGACAACAGATTCATGAAATTGTCAGTCATTGCCACTGATTGTGCCTTCTCGTCGCGAGCCAATTCAATAAGCCTGTTTGTCACAGATCTTCGCCGTCGTTGGATAAGTACAACAATCATGAAGGAGAAGTTGAGGAGAAGACGAAAACTGGATTCAGTCGCGTCAAAGGACGATTACGAGCCTTTACGTAAGTAAAGATCGTTTTTACACAGAGCTACAGTGTCCGACACATAAACGTGACGTCTCTGCGCTTGGCGCATTTTTGCGAATTTCAACATGATTTTTTCACTTTTGTAACCTAACTTGGGCCAATTAGCGTAAATATGAGGTTTCCGAAAATCACGGAAATTACGTAATCTGTTCACATTTTCGACAAGAACCCAGTGACCGAGTTGAGTGCCGATTTCGTCTGCTTCGCATGATCCTTCGCCATGCCTCGTAACAGTGGGCGGTCTGCAAGGGCAAAGCGTCAGCGCGCCGCTGGGGGTGGACAATTTGGCAAAGACCATATCCCGGATAGTGATCACCAGGGGTTAACCCCGGGTTTCGGAAGGCCGACCCGGACCCGACCCGTGGCTTGACCCTACCCGTAACCCGACGGGTTTTCCGCACGGGTTGAGCTTTAGATCATCCAAAACGGATGAGAAATGGTAGAGATACGGTCAAATAAGTGTTTTAACCATATCTCATCCATTTCTCATCCGTTGTTGGATGATCTACGGCTCGTTTTGAAATTCCCGGGTCTGGGAATCGCGACCCGTACCCGACCCGCGACAGGGTTGACCCGAAAACCCGGAGGGGTCAGCCGACCCTTAGTTTTCACTAATCCCGGACAGTCCATCCGAGCTCAAGAACGATCCCGACTTTGTTCCCAACTCGGAAGATGATGAAAGTGATAACGATGAGATTACGGAAGGGATGACAGAGAGCGTAAATCCGAGGATTGGAGACAGTGTGGATGAAGGGAATGGCTCGGTATTGGGAGAAGAGCAAACCAGAGTTGAGAAGAAAGAGACACACAGCTTCTTTAAGCTGAATTTCAGAAAATCGAACCAAACTGAACAGTCGGTAAGCACTCTCAGCTCATAAATCAAGTGAAGCATAGTTTCTCACACAAAGCACATCATAAGGCATCGAAAATGAAGGGAAAGGAGAAGAAGGCACCTCTGGGTGCTATGCCTAGCTACAGTGGTACTGGGAAAACGACTTTATGGAAGAATAAGAAGAAATATATGCAAGCAGCCATCGGAACGAGTGCGATTTCAGGATTCTTCTCGCGCGCTAAACAGTTGGCCTCCGAATTTAAAGCGCCCACGCCAGATTTGGCTAGTGGCAGTGGATCTGCTTTGGCGCCCATCGATGTCGACACCGATTCTGATCCAGAAATCATTTCGGTCGATGCAGCGCCGAGCACGAGCTCAATCGAGCCGGACACAAGCCATCCAGGCCCCGAAACGGTCGTTACGGCACCTATGTCTGTGCCAGACTGTCAGTCCCAGGCTGTCATCGAAGGTGAGTTAACCATTTATGTCATCGATGGGAAGATTCTGATGGTTCTCAGAATTGCCTGCACCCAGCGCCGAGCCTGCGCCTCTTCCAGTCGAAGAACCGTCTTCAGCCGAGACTATTGCAGTCCGGGAGTTGCTCGACATATCGATGGAGTGGGAGCCAGCCCCAGCGCGACCGCCCTTGAGGGTAATCTTGATGAAGCTGATTGCGGCTGCGAAAAAACACGGCGCTTATTCCTCGCTTATCAAGCTCAACAGTGTCAAAGATTATCTCAGCCTCGTTTACACCTACGAAATGAACCCGCGCATTAAGAATCCTCGCACAAAAGCGAGTCTGGCAATTGCAGCGAGGATTGGGAAGGGGCCGGCCTTTGCACGTAAAATCCGCGAACTTGCCATTTACATCGATCGGTTCCACACCCTCCCACCACGTAACCGAGGCAAGCACCATGCCCACCCATCACTGTTGAACGATGAACGAGTTTTTCATGCGGTACGAAGATATTTGAGCGTTACGGCTGCAGGAGAGGTGAGTCCTGAATAAAATTGTTAAGCGCCGTCACTTAGACGTAAACACTATGATAGATTACCCCACGCGAACTTGCCAACCAAGTAAACCATGTCATTATCCCTGGCATTGGTTTCGACCTTGATGGAAAGACCATTTCGGAACGTGGAGCTATCCGTTGGTTGATTAAGTTGGGTTACACCCTCTCAAACGTCAAGAAAGGCGTCTATATTGATGGCCACGAGCGCCCAGATGTGGTCAAGTCACGGAAAACCTTGCTTGACAGGCTTGCTGAAGATGAACAGTACGTGACTTCACATCTATTTTCACTCAATCTAATCATTCCGATTTAACAGTTTACGATACACTTTTGACGACAAGACCCTTGAACCCATACCACCAAAGCTCGGCCCTGGCGAGAAATGTCACATCCCTGTTTTTCAGGATGAAAGTATTTTTCGCACCAACGATCTCCGTCAACGGGTTTGGGTAAAGACCAAGGGGCTCAATGGCAACGCGCCAGCCCTGCCGCTCCGTAAAAAGGGTGCTGGGCGTTCCCAAATGGTCTCGGATTTTATTGTCGAGCTAACTGGACATTTAAAGCTCACCAATGAGCTTATTGAAGCTCAACGTCCCTTACCTGAAGGCCAACACATCCCCGAACAAGCACGGGAGATTATTTACCCAGGGAAGAATGCAGATGGATGGTGGGATGCGAAACAGTTGATTAAACAGGTGCGCTTTAATGAAACTTGAATACATTTATCGAAGTCTAATCGAGCCGTGTGTCAGGTGAAACGAAGGCCATCCCGATCTTCGAGGCACTTTTCCCAAATGCCGTGGGCGAGTTCTTCTTTGATCAGTCAACAGCCCATGCCGCCCTTGCTCCAGATGCACTCCGCGCTCACGATATGAATGTCAAACCAGGGGGAAAGCAACCGAAAATGCACGACACCATTATTCCCCACAGTAATCCCAATCCGGCACTCCGCGGTATCGTACAGTCAATGGTATTTGACGAAGATTTACCCCCATCACATCCAGACTATGAACATCGTGGGAAACCAAAGGGAATGCGGCGGGTTTTGGAAGAGCGAGGGCTTTGGGACATTTTGACAGAGAAAAACGGTGGTAAGGAGATTCCCGGTACTTGCCAGACTTGCAAACTCTCGCAGAAAGAGCGCGAGAAGCGCGAAAAGGAAGCTGCAGAGGTTATGGCAGGTCTGGACGAGCCCGAGGAAGCCGATTCTGATGACATCGAGCTCAGTTCTGGTGTTGAACTGACAGGGGCAACATGCTGCATGCGGAAAGTCCTGTCGGAACAGGAGGACTTTCTCAATGAAAAGCCGTTGCTCCAGGTCATCATCGAGAGAGCCGGTCACAAGTGTTATTTCCTTCCCAAGTTCCACTGTGAACTGAATCCGATCGAGATGCAGTGGGGTTGGGTCAAAGGCCGTAAGTCATCACTTCCTTCTCACATCGACTAATTCACTTCACACATTTATTTTTAGGTTATCGTGCACTGGCAGATGGCAGCTGGCAACGCGCTAAAGAGCTCGTTCCCGCGCTCTTGGATTCTATCGAAATTAAGACCATTCGGGCGTTCTTCCGCAAGACCTGGAGGTACATGGATGCTTACCGGTGAGTATTGGGCTGATTACAACTTCATTAACCTGGATTCTAATGGAACTCTTCGCAGACAAGGACTTAATGCTGCTCAAGCCGAGTACGCTGTTAAGAAATACAAATCCCATCGTAAGATTGGGAAAAAGATCTATAAGAACGTCAATATGCTGTTCAATTAACTTCCTTCGGTCTTTCGGTCTTGTAGATGTTCTCGTTATCTTATCTACTGATAAGACCTTCCTTATATGGAAAGTCTTGGCGACGTTCACATTTACAAATGCTCAATTTTTTTAAAAGTCTACAGGAGGGAAAAGGGTCGAGTAGACTCTAAAGTACTTTCGATTTCGAGTTGATTCCGATGGTTTTCGGAGGTTTCTAAAGTGATGGGGAAGACTAGTTGAGGAAGGTGGTTTTGCCGCGCCAAGAGGTCACTTTTGAGCGTCGGACACTGTACCCTCCTTTTTTGCCAAGATTCGCCGAGTTTGCACTTATGCCCATATGGTATGCCGTTGATTGCCGCTCATGATGCTCTGATTTCGGTTTCCTTACTTGTGCCAGTGGTAAGCGGACCTAGTTATGCGCCCGTGGTCGTCGCCAAAAACTGAGGAGTTCCTTGTGTGCTCCCTTTTCGGTCTGTTCTTTATGGTACTGGGTAGAAAAGGAGGAAAGGAAAGAAAAAGAAATTGAGAGAGGGAGACTTCCCACATACCTTCACTGAGGGTTATCGGGATCTCGAGTCACTCAGAACCCGGTCTCATCACGTCTGCAGACACGTATACAGTATGGTGCGCTGCAAATAGTACAGAAATTGCGGAAGGTCGCGCGAAACATGTACATTTAAATTATATGAACAACTACGTAGTAAGTTGGAGAGCCCACTCCATATCTTATGAACGGACATGAGCAAAGGGACCTAATTACCTTTTTTCTTCGAAGGGAGGGTGTTCGACGTTCGTTGAGGTCACACAGGTGGCTGTGTCGTCCCAGCGCGGCAGTGACAGATAACATAATAGGGGCTGTTATCTGCCATTCTCTCGCGCCGTCCGGAGTTTTGAGCAGAAATACACATGAACCATAGGTATTTATACATACTGTAAAATGTACCTATGTGTAGCTTCTGTGTGTCATCTACCACGGTAGTAACCATTTCACTTCCGCCATGATGGCATAACTTAAATTGGGCAAACATATGATACGAAATACAAGCACATCGGACAGCAGCTGGCTCAATAAAGGCAGATCAGACAGCACAGGAATATATGCTATCTACGTCGTAAACTAAATCACTAAAAGGCTCGTATCCGCCGTGCTTGCAACGGCCCACTACACCAAGTCAACCCTAACCTCAGCCCAAACAACGCCCCACGTGATAGTCTTGGTGGGCGCTTAAATGCCTTGGCGCCAACACCATCCTGTCCAGTTTCCTGGCACTTGGTGTAGAGGGCCGTTGCAAGCACGGCAGGGACGAGCCTTTCCTTATAATTCTGTATCAGACCGGTGTCAGGACTCAGTACAAAACAATTGACACAACCCGGGAGCGTAATCTGAACTAGCAGGCTGCGGGCCGCTAAACGACATGCAATCCAGGCCTGTCGGGACAAAATGTCCAAAAACCAACAATAAAGTGAACTGGTCATTCACCAACGACCAGGGTCTATGCACGCAACCGGACCGATGGACCATGGTTGATAAGATAATCAACCATCCCTAGGTTTGTCGACGACGCGACGCATCGTTTCCTTTGTTCTTTCCCTTTCCTTTCAACCTAGTGAAGGACATGGGTCACCCATGGCTCACTCAGGTCTGACCCTCACCCATACCCACCAAAACCCATACCCATGAGTGTGGGTGTGGGTTTCCGTGGGTTTATGTGGGTGTGGGTGTGGGTCTGAAACCCATGGGTTTTGGAAGCATGGGTAGAGTGGAATTGTGAGTGATTGGAGTACAAATAGAGGTTTCCCTCATAGATTTGTAGCTCTGTTGATGTTGGTAGTATTAATAATTACATACATACTCACTTTGTGCCGGCTTGAGCTTGCCCCCTCACGGCTGCGCGAGAGAGCTCAGGTGACCGGCAGACCAGTCTGCACCTGGATTGAGCTTGGGATGCTCAGCGCTCGCGGCTCTACCTGGTGCACAGTCACCCCTTGGTCTGATCTCTATAGTGATGGTCAAGGGGTTTTAAAACCCCCAGGGTAGAGGCCAGGGGTAGAGCGGGGGTAGGGGTAAGGGTAGGTCTCCGGCTACCCTTGGCTAAACCCCTACCCCCAGTCGGGGGTAAGGGTTTTGATAAAACTCAATCAAAACCCATTTATTTCAACATCTATGCATAGTTTCTACTAAATAACTGCTGTGTACGCAATAAAACACATAAAAATATCCATATAGACAACTGTAAGAAATAGTTAGTACCAAAATGATTAAAACCCTTGGTCAAAACCCCCAGGGTTGGGGGTAAGGGTACTACCCCTACCCCTGACTGAGGGGTAAGGGTTTTGGGGGGTGGGGTAAGGGGTAGGGTAGGTGTCGGGCTACCCGGGGGTTACCCCTGTCCTTCCCTAGATCTCTACTCGATCAGTGTCGAATGAACAATGATTTTGCCCCCCAATTCACTCGCCCTCGCTCGTTTCTTCCCTGTCCACCATTCAACGCGAAGCATAGAAGAAATCCACAACAACGAGAGTCGAACCCTCGATTGGACGCGCAAAATCCCGCGCAAAAGAACCCGAGTGACAGTCCCAACAGGCGCGCCAGGTTGTGGTCATGGTTCGAACCCCTGTCGTACCCAGATTTGCCTCAGGTTGTGTCATCAAATCGGCACCCGTTTGGAACCTAGGCTGAGACTTAGGGCACCTCTCAATGAAACATGCCTAACTTCACTCCCCATCTTACCCAGCCTTGACCAGCCCATTCCTGGCCCGTGATGATTCAGGCATCAAAACTCAGGCTCCCCTCACGTGTGTTACTCAACTCAAATATGTTCTTGTTCTGGGTAGTGTCGAGTAAACACTATCTAGCTAAGGTGGTCTACTCTAAGACTTACCAGGTAGAGTGTTATGTGAGGCTAACTAGTGGCTAACTACAAGAGTTGTGACGAACTCTGTCATCTATTCCAAGGCCAGGGAGGGCCGGTATTTATAGTTTACAGGAAGCGTGACAGATGTGACGTATACTACATAAATATGGAAGGTGTGACGGGTGAGTAAGCGAATGAGTCATCATGAGCGATAATGACGCAATATGGTGCAAGTATTAGCATCTACTCATGTGACGTTCCAGAATGTTCTACACTAGAATGTTCTAGAGTGTTCTGGACTGAGTCTCACTAATCTAATCTAATCTACGATATAATCTACAGATAAGATAAGATAAGTTCAACACTCCCCCTCGCTAAGTGCAGCTATGAATAGCGCGCTGAGCGTACTCAAGAACTTAAGCCCTTCCAAACTCAAGTCCGAGTTGTTCACGGAAATGCTCAAACTTGACATGACCGAGAGGTTTGGTGAACATGTCAGCAGGATTGTCATTAGTGTCGACGCGAAGAATCTCGACGTCTCCATCTTCAACACGGTTCGCGGATGTAGTGATAGCGAACATCAATGTGTTTGATTCGACGTTCCTGGTATAGGGTTTGAGCCAATGAAGATAGCTCCATTGTAACATATGCTTTAGCCACATGACCCTGACGGCTACAATCAGAAAGCGCCATATATTCGGCTTCTGTAGACGAAGTAGCGATGGTCTTCTGGGCATGGGAAGTCCAACAGATAACGGCATTAGCCAACTTGACGATGAATCCAGTCACGGACCTGCGTTTGATGGGATCAGCGGCAAAGTCCGAATCCGAGTAGGCGATGAGTCCTTGTGAGGAAGAACCATCTAAGACCAGTGCGTAGTCCATAGTCCCTCGGAGGTATCGGCAGATGTAGAGCGCCTTGTCGAGGTGCTCCTTGGACGGATTTGCTGCAAACTGCGACAGCTTGGTGACAGCATACGCAATGTCGGGACGAGTGCCTAACATAAGGTATAGCAGCGATCCAATCACAGACTGGAAACATTGTCGAAGTTGGTGATCCACGGGACCAGTATTCGGAAGAGGTTTGTATCCCTCAACCATGGGAGTACGAGCCACTCGGCAGTCCATCATTCCGAAGCGTTCTAAGACTGTTTTGAGGTAGTCTTTCTGATCAAGGTGTATGGTTTTTCCTTGACGTTTGATCCGCATTCTGGAGGAATTCGGTTGGTTCACCAAGATCACGGCATTCCCATTTTTGCTTGAACTCGTCTTTCTTTTGATTGACAAGTCGCTTGGAGGGTCCCATGAACAGGATGTCATCGACGTATGCGATCATGATGACGAAGTTGCCATCTTTCTCCTGGAAAATAAAGATTCCGGTATCGGTCGAAAGTCGTCTAAAGCCAAGAAGCTTGGCAGACTCTACAAGTTCCTTGTACCAGGAGTTGGAAGCTTGTTTGAGACCGTAGATAGCTCGGAGCAGCCGGAACACTTTATGCTCCTGACCAGGTACCTTGAAGCCTTCGGGTTGTTCCATATAGATCTCCTCTTCAAGTTTGCCATAGAGAAAGGCATTCTTGACATCGACGGCGGTGACGTACCAGCCTTCGAGTGCAGCGACAGCAAGCATCGTGCGAACTGATTCATAACGAACCACGGGGAGAGAAGATTTCGTTGAAGTCAACACCTTCAACTTGGGAGAAACCCTTGGCGACAAGTCTGGCTCTAAGTCGACCGTCTGGTTTGACGTCGAACACCCATCGGCATTTGATCGCTTTACGACCCAGCAGGCAGAGTGACGAGAATATAGACGCCGCGCTTCTGGAGTGCCTCAATCTCCAGCTTGCAAGCAGCTAACCATTTCTCACGCTGTTTAGGCGGAAGTTTTTGGATGTCACGGAATGTATATTCACGTGGCGACTTCTGAAGGGGTTTATCGGGCGAAACTGCCTTAGAAAGCAAGTATGTGATAAACTCTACTCCCCCTTCCCTGACCAATCGGGCCAATCGTTTCTCTAGGTCTCCACGCTCATCAGCAGTGCCACTATCGCGATTTGGATTATCAGCAGGATTTGGTCTGGGAACCTCATCTTGCGTTCTAGACTTGTGGTAACCGGCAGGCCTTCGCTCGGTATCTCCAACAGTCTTTCTCCAATCACGCTG